GGTACCTGTATTTTCTTTATAAATACCACATTTTCATCGACCCCATCAATATTTCTATTTCTTCATAGTTTTCTTGTTCGTTGGTTGGGAAAAATCAGTCTGAAAACATTACCAGGGGTTGTGATCCTCGATTTCAAATCACTAACAACCCCCATCGATCTCCTACTCCTCCCCCATCATCTGGTCCTCTCGTTCGCTCCAAGGGTATCTCAAGGGTCGGTCAGCCAGTCCATATGCCGGCAATGTGTTGTTTTTGTTGTTGCAATTGCCGTTTTCTTATTGTTTCTTTAACCTCATGTCCTCATGTGTGCGTCTGTGTGTGTTTTACGAGTTCTATGCGTGAGAATCGGAGATGCTCTCAATTTAGCCTTTTTCTAGCCAGGATCTGTGCAGACTAACCCTTAGCAGGTGTATTTCTTGTCTATTTTTATATATTTAAAAAATTAATTTTATAAAATTTACATGGTTTGGCTCCTTAATAATTTACAAAATAACAGAATCATATTCTTAAAACATAAAGGAGAACTTTTGCGTTCTAGCTTTTTTTTCCAAAACTTGGTTTTTATTTCTGGCTAAATTGTAAGTCTTTACAGACAGCCCCAGTGCGGGTGAAGAAGAGGAGCGATAAGTGGAGTGAGAGAGGTACTACGCGACTTGAGCCTTTTTTTCCCTTACTTTTTTTTTGTGGGATGGGGCTGCGCATATTAATCGAGTCGAGTCGGATCGAATCGAAATGAAATGACGTTCGGCGATGTTGAGAGGTAAAGAAAAAGAAGGAGGTGAGGATTGAGGATTGAAGACCGAAGAGTTGCCTGTTTTTTGATTTTATTTCTTTTTATTTTAGGTAGGTAGCGGTCGCAACACTCGCTCTCCTCCCACTCCTTTTGATCTGCCTCTTCTTCCAGCAATGGCGTCGGGACATGGGCGCACACACACATGCGCATGAAACATGGACACGGACTTGGACATGCACAAAACACAGATCAAAATAAAACGACAAACGTTGTTGCTGTTATCGCCTCTTGGCAGGAAATGGAATTATATTTGTAAAAAGTAGTCGCCGTTTGTCGCTCTTAAGTGAGCCCCTCTCTTTCGCTCTCCCGTACGGTCTCAGCAGGAGAGAAGAAAGGCATGGGGCAAAAGGAGAAGGGGCCAGGCCAGCGAAGAGCGATCACAATGTGGCGGAGGGGTAGAGAAGGGGAGGGGGGGCCTGAAACGTAACACCGCTGATTACGTACCGAGGATTTCGTTATAACAAACTAAGCACATTTTTTACACATTTTACTTTTCGGCCTGCAGCAAACACAACTGGAACCAAAAACAAAGCAAAAAATGCATACAGCCGAAAGAAAAGGCAAAACTGCATACAAAATGCACATGTTCAGCGACAGTTGAGGTCAAGTTAATAGTGAAAATCAGCCATAAAATACGATTAATTAAAATAATTAAGAAAGTCTACGAAAAATTAATCTACACATTTTCTATGAGCAAAACATTTTTTTTAATTTTTCAAAATACTTTAATATTCTTCTTAAAAAAAGCTATTATTTCAACGGCATTTGTTTGTATAAATTTCATAATAAAACAAGAAGAAGCTGAAAGCAGAGACGAAAGGAAAATTTATGCGAAAAAGTAAATTTTAGTTGCAGCCGCTTCTCTTTGCCCCCCGTCTATATGTCTCTTTACTCTCCGATCTCCACTCTCCGGTTTGCCTCTCTGTCCACCCGAATAAAGTGTACCAAAAGTAAAGTAAAAAAATAAATACAAGTTTTATGATCAAAACTAAAACCTTTTTTACCAACTAATTCCTTCAGTATTTATAGTTTTTTATGAAATAATTATTCCGAATTTTTAGAGTGCCGAATGCGACAATTTTGTCGCCTGGACAAAAAAGTAACAAGTAACAGTTGCAGCCGCTTCTCTTTACCCCCCGTCTGTATGACTCTTTACTCTCTGATCTCCACTCTCCGGTTTGCCTCTCTGTCCACCCGAATAAAGTGTACCAAAAGTAAAGTAAAAAAATAAATACAAGTTTTATGATCAAAACTAAAATCTTTTTTACCAACTAATTCCTTCAGTATTTGTAGTTTTTTATGAAATAAATATTCCGAATTTTCAGAGTGACGAATGCGACAATTTTGTTGCCTGGACAAAAAAGTGACAAAAGCTGCTGCATTGGCCGTCGTTTCTATTGTGCATGAGATTGTGTGAGTCTGTGTGTGTGTGTCTTTGCTTCTCATCTGTGTAGATTTGTTGTGCGCCCTTTCGCTTTCGGCCGCTGCTATTGCAAAAGCAAAAATAAAAAAACCAAAATGTTTAAAAACAATGCATTTTCCATGCCAATCGTTGGCGATTATCGATAACACGCGGCTGCTGGCAAAGTTCATTTAAAATAAGTGGGGAAACAACAAAAGTATTTTGCAACTTTATCGGACATCAACCTGCCTTGGCCCTATTGCTGTTGCTATTTGTTTTTCTCCTTTATTTTCACTCTTTTCCCTTTTTGTTTTGCCTCTTTTTGGGTTCTACTTGACCCTTTGGCCCTGCATTTTAGTTTACGCAAATTCGCAAACAGGCAAAAAAAAAAATACAAACAAAAACACAAATAAAATAAAAGCAGCGAACACGCTTGGATACAGTAAAGAGCAATAAAAACGCCGCTTACCCCATGACTTATTTATTTAACTTGGCCCTTTTAGCACTTGTATTTCATAAAATTTTAATTGATATCCCAGTTTCAGTTTATTTTCGCATTCTTTGCAGTGTTTATTTCATAATTTTGTTCAGTGTTCATGCTAGGAGGTATTTACTGTAAAAGCAACGGTCATTTGAGTCGGTCGCCATACTCCCTTCTCCCACCACTCTCTCTCCCCCTCTCTCATTCACTCACTCAACCGCATCTCTCGTGTTAATGACGAGGAAAAAAAAAACTGCACGTAACCGCAGCAGCAGCGCGACAGACAGAGCTCTTAACTTGGCTCATTTAAGAGCAACTTTAAATCCCGGACACAAGAAAACAGAAACAAAATATACACCAGAAATCACTAAAAAAATATATATATATATTTAAAAAACAAAAAAAAAACACAAAAATTCAAACCATACCAAACCCGGAACTGACTTAATCGAATTTGTTGTCGATCAACAGCTGCTGCCGGTGTCGGCGTCAGCGTCGCTGCCACTAACTTTCCGCACGCACACACACACAAACACACACGGAAAATAAATGATCACGAGTGTTGTTGTTGTTGGTGCTGTTGTTTTTAATGATGCTGCTGCGATGACGCCAATTGTTACAAATTATTTTGATGGGCGAGAGGGAGAAAGAGAGGGGGGGTAGTTAAAGCGAAGGGAAGGCTAAAAAAAAAAACAATTGCTCAGGTGAAAAATGCAATTTGAATACCCTTCGTTATAGAGTTAAAGTATTTAAGCTTTCAAGAGCTATGAGAAGTCTACAAGTTATATCATCTAGTTTTTTATGGAATATATATAAACCAAGAAAAAAAAAAAAACAACCTTTGGGAAGTCGGAGAAACAATATAATAATTTTTGAAATAAATCAAATTTAAAAAACCCCAAAGCTAAGCCAAAAAATGATTAATTAATTTAATTTTCATTTGGAAAGCGTTCCTATATTAGTTTTTAGTAGGTTAACAAACCTGCATATTCAATTTTAAATTTAAAAATAGTTAACAAATTTTGAATTTTATAAAATTCTAACGATCGCCCTTATAAAATTGTGAAAAAATTATAAAAACATTTTTTCTACAAGACATGGCCAAATCGAGTCGGCTATTGATGCTGATCAAGAATATATATTTATAGGGTCGGAAATGACTCCTTACAGCGTTACAAGCTTCTGAGTGAAATTATAACACATTTTCCAGATTATAGCCCCAATTAAAGTAAGGGTATTACAAGTTGTGCTAATAAAACAAGTGTCCAAAAGACTTGATATGCCCCGCCCCCACCCTGCTCTCTCAACAAGCTTATCACACAAAAAAAATCCTTATCAGACAATTATTTAGTCCATTTTACAGTCTGCCGTTATTTTTCTTTGTTTTTTTTTTTTTATTCTGGTTTCGTGAGTTGACAAACCGAAATAATTATGAATCAGCTTTAATATTGAAAATAACAAACAACAAACAACATGAAGAACTGCTGCAGTATGCGGAGTGTAACGAAACGGAAATAAAACGAAATAATAAACAACATATCGAAATGAAAAATGAATAACAAAATTTAAAACGGCCGAGTGGAAAACACGTTATTGAGAAACGACTAAAGACTAAAGACTCGAAATTCAGCAAACGGTGCAAAAATACACACTAAATATTGCTTTTAACGACGCAAAACAAAAACTGCGGAAAATGCAAGCAACTACAGAAATTACTAAGAAAAAAAAAAACAACAACAATAAAACGCAACTCCCAAAATAAATAACCCAAAAACATGTGGTTTAGGCATGTTTCAACTTATATTTAAATTGTTCACTCAGTTGGAATTCTACTTTGTAACCATAATTAAGAAAAAAAAAAAAACACGATATTTTTAGGTTGTAATTTACGAATCTGCAAAATTGAATTTAGAAACAGCAATATTTAAATTGAAATGGCTAGATATAATAAATTTATAAAGAATCCTGACTGAAATTATAATACCCTGTAAGGAAACATACATATATTACCTAAAATATTCCCTAATAATTCAATATTTCCAACTTGGGGCGCTTCTTTGAGATTTCAGATAACCTAAATTCCAGGAGGAGTTTTAAAGAAATTTCCAAGAGACCCATTGGAACTGGATCGGGTAAAATGTGGGTTTTGGGAAATATAGTAAACTATGGGAAATCGAAAACACTTGCGAGCAATCCGCTAGGGAACAAGTCTCTAAACTAAGAAAAAAACCTTTGGGACTATACAGAAACCCTTCTTTATGGACATTTCAACCGGGGAATATTCATAAAACATATAGAAAAAATAAAAGAAACTTGCACTTACCGCCTGGAATATGTCGCCGCACTCGAAATAATGCGAATTTCCAACTGTCGTCGATTTCTGTACTATGGTCGCCGACATTTTAGTAATTTTTCCTACTGTTGTTGTTGAATTCTTATAGATTTTGAACTTGATTTATTTTTTGTTGACTGCTTTGCTCGATCTTTGACGCTGCTACTGACGTTGCTTTTGTTGTTTTCACTGGACAAGACAGAAAAAAATATTCTTTATCTTGGCGATTGCGTTTTATGTTGTTGTTTTTCGTTAGCTTTTCTATACATTTATTTCTTTGTATTTTCCTCTTTTTGTTTTCAAAATTAATTTATATATTTATAATATTTTGCACTTGAATTGTTGTTATTTGTTTCGCGTAAATTGCATTGCAAAAAAAATCAGCTAAAGGAGAGTAAGAAAGAGAGAGAACGTGCAATTAGAGAGATGTCGTTGGGTTGGATAGTGTGATAGGGGGGAAAGGGGGAAGAGGATAAAACAAAATTACACGTGCTCGTCGTACGCTTAGGTGTATGTATGTATGTGTGCGCGCGAGCGGTTTGTAAGTCGGCGAGTGCGCGTCAGGATATATATTTCTTTTCACGCACATGCGAAGCTGGAAAAGAAGCAGCGAGCGGCAAGGCTTCGCTTTGTTCCTTTTCCTCGAGTTTTATTTTTTAGTTCTTTCCAAAACAGCAACAGCCGATGTGTGCTCGAGAGTGTGTTCGTGTGTGTGTGTTTGTGCGCGGTGTTTGCTTTACTTTTATCGTCTTCTACGTTCTCAGAGAGATAAGCTCGCGCTTGTTTTCGTCCCTTTCCACTCAATAGGTCGGTCCCTCTGGCCGTCCCTGTCGCACCGCCACTGTATTATGTGTGCGCGATCTCTGGTGGTGGTCGTACTTCAGCTCGTATCACACGTCTGTGTGTTTGTAATTTTTATTTTATTACTGCGCGAGCAAGAGGCAAAAACAAAATAAAACAGAACCAACAAAAACGTGAGTGCAAAGGCAACGATAGCTGTTGTTGTTTGTTCCGTTCTGCTTCTGCTTCTTATTCTTATTCCTTTTCAGCATCGACATCGGCATCGGCATCGGCTTGCGAGTCCTCGACGGCTGCGCATGTGTGTGTGTTTGCTTATTTGAACTTGTTGCGTTTCTTTTGGATCCTTGTTTTCGCTTTTCGTACACCATTTAAAAAAAAATTTCAACAAAAACAAAAAATAAACGTTTCTACTAGTTGCGCCTCTTCTAACTGTTTTCGTTTTTCCTTTCGTTTCGTTTCCTTGATATTTTACAGTTTTTTGCACGACAAAAACTTGAAAAAAAAAAATGCAGAAACCGCAATTCACGCTCACACACACAGACACTGGTTTTCGTGTTTTATTTTTTTAATTTGTCGAATTTTGTTAATTACTTTAAATACGGCCGCTGAGGTCCTTCGCTCGCTCGCAAAAAACCACAACAAAATGAGTGGAGGAACAGACGGAAACACGTCCACACACAACGATTATTTTTTGGCGAATAAGGGAGAAGGAGGAGTGGCGAATAGAGGATAGTGTTACCAAACTCGGCGAAGGGAGGGATCTTGCCATCCACAGTCAGCTGGTCACACCGAAATTATCTACATTTTACATTTTACACGTTTACAGAACAGTTTTACAAAATTAACGGAAAATTTTTAAATAAACATATATTAATAAAAGATAAATTATATATATTTATGTTAAAAAAAAACAATAAAGAAATGCGTTCCTTTCACTAACCTATACATATTATATTTAAAATTTAACATTCACCATATCTCAAATTTGATAAAAATTATAAAAAGAATATGTAAAGATTTTTTTGTTAACATTTTCCGATTGTTCCTATGGCAGCTAGATGATATAGTCAACAGATTTTCGTATAATTTAACACAAAATTGTAGTATAATATAAAATTATTATTAAACATTAGGAACTAATATAAAAATCTGTTGAAATTTGGAAAAGCTTTAATTTTTTCTAGCAATTTTCCGATCGTTCCAATGGCAGCTAATATAATATAGTCGCGCGATTTTCATAAAATTTTACACAAAATTGTAGAAAAATCTAAAATGACTATATCTTAAATTTGATCAAATTCTGTTAAAAACAAAAAATGTTAAAATATTTTTTGTAAATATTTGCCGATCGTTCCTATGGCAGCTAAAATGATATTATGTAAAAAAAAGACAAACAATCAAATAACGCCTTTGGATAGCTACAATAATAATTTCTTAAACAATATTAATCTTAAAATAATGGTAGAGGTTGACAATAATAAAATATATTAAATATTTCAAAATTTACAAGTAAATTTCGACAAGAAATATATTAAACAATAATAATTTTGCATTGTTTTAAACTTTAAACCAGCTGAAAGCACTAAAAAACAAAGACGCCCTTCTCTCTATGCCTCTCCCTTTCTATATCGCTCTCACATCGTCCCATCTCTTTCTAAATGCAGGAGGTAAAAATATGTTTAAAATTTGTAATTTCAACATATTTATTGATGTAATTCAAAAATTAAATATAAGTTATGTTTATAATTATTATTTACTGCTTACTAATGCAAAATTACTTTGCAGTTTTGCGTTGGTTTTTTTTGTTGTTTTTTTTTCCTTAATTTTTTTTTTTATTATATTTATTATTATTATTTGTTTTGTTTTAACCATGTGGGCTGCGCTGCATCCTATTACTTCCCCCAGCTCAGTTTTTTATATATTATATTTGTTTATATAATTCTCCTCCTTTTCATGCATTTTATTATATGCCTTTTCGGTGTGGGTGTGTTTTGTGTTTTTTTTATTAATGTTTTATTGGTATTATTTATTGTTTAAACCTACATATTTTGTTTTTCATATTTATTCCACAATGTGTTTAGTTTTTGAGTTGTTTTTGTTTTGCATCGCTCGATTTTTGTTGTTGAAATTAAGCATTTGGATTCGATCTGACAGGTGAATCAAATGGAATATATATGCGTACATAATTGTTTTATTCGCTGCTATATATGTATATATATACATGTATATGTATTGACATATTTATATATATATACATATATATGTATATATATATATAACTATGTGTGTTTGGGTTTTAGTTTTATTTTTATTTGTTTGTTTCTTTTTCTTCGAAAATTAACGCTCCTGTACAGCGTTCCGTTTTGTTACCAGTATTATTTTCTCGTAATTTATTAGGCTAAGTGTTTTGTTTCTTGTTTTCATTTCCTCGCCATTTGTCCTCCTCGATTTTTACTTGTTATTGTTGTTTTCATGTGGAGCAGCAATGATTTGAGTTAGAATTTGAATCGATTTGAATTTAAAATCGATTTGATTCTTCGTTTTTTCTTCGAATTCAAATTCCTTCCTCGGTGTGTTTTTACTATCGATCGCAGTGATTCACTTGTGAATCACATTTGCTGGGGTATCATCTTCTTAGTTGTTTCTTTTCTTTTTTAATTACATAATATGTGGTTTACGGTTTGCCTTTGCTGTTGGATTGAATTTTAATTAATATTTAAGAGAAACACCCAATGGATATTTCTCGACGCTGCGGCGGCGGCGGCTGTTATCCCACAATCCGTGTTCATTTCTCAATCTTCTGCATTTTGAATCTTTCACATATCCCCCCTTGTTTTTTTTCCCCACCCATGATGATGATTCGTTTCATCCCCTCCTCGCTTAGTCCGCAATTAGGGGCTTGCCATTCTGCTTCTCCTTGTCCTTGTCCAATTGCTCCAAGAGTATAGCTGGATTGGGTTGACCCTGATGGGTCTTCTGCTTCAGCATTGTCCAGTCGTAGATGTAATCATACTGATGGTTCAGCGTCCTAAACAGTATGCTAAAGGGAGCATAAGAGAAAGTTGGAAATTAGATATATGTTTAAAATACAGAATGGGTTAATAAGTAATTAAAATATTCAGATTCTTTGAATCGATATTTATAGATACCTTATATGACAATTTGTACGACAAATCAAAGTTTAAAATTCGCATAACTATGCCAAAAACGGATTAATTTCAATTCGGAAAGCAGTCCCATGCTAGTTTTTATTATATTAATAAGTCTGCATACTCAATTTAAAATGTACAAAAATTAAATTTTTTTTCCAATTTTTACGATGCCAATTTTAACGAAAGAATGTTGAAAAAATTTCGAAAATTGATTTTTCTGCCTGAAGTAGCTAAATCGACTCGTTTGTTGATGCTGATCAAGAATATATATGATTTATAGGGTCGGAAATGACTACTTCATTGCGTTATAAGCTTCTGACTATAATTTTAATCAATATGAAAAGGAATCGGTAATATTTGAAAGAAGCTTCAATTTCTTCGCCTTAGAGGTTACAAAAATATATAGAAAGGGTATGTTATAACATATAACCGATTTAAGCTAAATTTTCTATCCATAACCTTGGTTGGCGCAGCTTATTCTTCAAGTGAATTATTAATATTAACTTGGCAAACAAAGCTCAATGTAAGCAAACTCTTATTCCAAAACAACACCGTGTTTTTTATAGATACTACTTTCACTTACCGGAACAATTGACGTAGGTACATATAATCCGGCTGCTCTTCAAAGCGCAGGCTACGACAATAGTTTAGATACATAGAGAACTCCGCCGGCGAGCCCTTGCACAAGACCTCGATCGGTGTCGACATCTTCTTTTCGGAGATCTTCTCATACTTCTGCTGCTTGGTATTGGCCTTCATGCCCTGCCAGGGCAGGACGCCGCGATTGAAATACATCATCACATAGCCAAGTGATTCCATGTCGTCGCGACGCGACTGCTCGATGCCAAGATGGGCATTGATTGAGGCATAGCGGGCGGTGCCGGTTAGATTCTTATCCTCACGATATATGATATGATGGCGCGTGTGCGGATCGCGGAACTTCTTGGCCAGACCAAAATCGATCAGGAAGAGCTTGTTGCAATGACGGCCGATGCCCATCAAAAAGTTATCGGGCTTGATGTCCCGATGAATGAAGCACTTCAGATGAATATACTCCAAGCGCCCAATCATCTGATCGACGAGCATCAGCACCGTCTTGATGGTAAAGTGACGCGTACAAAAGTTGAATAGATCCTCCAGGGATGGTCCAAGTAGGTCCATAACCAGCGTATTAAAGTTCTTCTCCTTGCCATGGTGACGGATACGAGGAAAGCCGACGCCGCCGCTGAGGATGCGATACAGCTTGGCCTCGTACAGCAGCTGGGGATGACGGGCATGGGCACTTTCCATCTTGATGGCCACCTCCTCGCCGCTCTGGATGCTCATGCCCAGATAAATGTCGCCAAAGGAGCCGCTTCCTGCAGGTGACCAGCAACAAGTTAGTAGGAGACTCAAGAATGCGTCAAAAAGGGTACTTACCAATCTTCCTAATCACCCGATATTTGCCACCGACGATTATCTCGGGGCGGCTTTCCTTCAATATCCGCATCTTGTCCATCTTGGCTAGCTGCTGCTGCTGCTGCTGCTCCACCGCCTTAGGGACTTCTCTTATTAAAGCACTTGTGCTGGGTTACGTGAAATAACAGCTGTAATCAAGATTTACCATAATTAATGAAACGTATTCAATATAACTGGGCTATCTTTGAGAAAACATTGAAACATGAAAAATGAATGATGAAATTAACTTTGTACCCTTAAAATCCAACTTCTAAAGGTAATATAAACTTATTTAAAGGGAAAATCCCTAGTACCGCGGCACACAGCGGGATGAAATCTGATTGGCATATGATGAAATATAAATAGTAAACAAAATAAATGTAAATACTACTCACAATCAGAGCTTATTATTGCGCCGGAGAAGGTTCTAATATTCCACAGCTCGGATTTCTGTTTATTCAATTATAAAGGAAAAATATCGAAAAAATAGAAAAATGAACTGGTTTGATTGATTTTTTTTTTGATTCTGCCAGACTAAGCGTCTCTTTTGCAATGACTTTGTTTTGCCAGTGAACTTAGATCTAACATTTGAAAGCTGTTTTTACATGTATAAAAAATGTAATTAAAGAATTACTTGTAAAAATTTACAATGAGTAAAGCCAATATTGATGAAACATACAAATGACAAAGAAAACTCCATTATAAATGGCTAAGTTTCTTTTCCTTTGTGAGTAATATAAACTAGTTAAATTTACAGCTTCAACAAAACATTAAATGTTATCCATTTGTGTTTAAACACAAATGGGTTCTTTTGGTGATTCAAAGAGATCGTTTCAACGTGTTTTGACAGAAATTGAACGTTTTTAACAGCTGATTGTTTTTTTTTTTTTTGTTAATTCGTTTTACCTAAAGCTGGTTTGTTTTTGTTGCCAAGTCTGTACTTTCTTTTCCTCTTCTCTCCTTTACCCCGTTGGAATGCACATTACACACACACACACACACACACACAACACACTCGGCAGCCCCGCTATGACGCACAACAACAACAAGAAGAAACCAGAGGGATACATACATACACACAGGCTAACTGCTCGAGCAACAACACACACACCGTTGCAGTTGCACCTTACAAATGCTTTACACAAAAGAAAAATTTCGAACGCACAGACATACAAACATACACATGGAAACGCTCAGCGAGACACGCACACCATGAAGCAGCAAGACGACACACACACACACACTCACACAAACACGTCCGCATATTTAGCACGCATTTGGGACTGGACGAAATAAGAAAATGAAAGAAATGAAACGAAACACATCCTCGCGGATATATTTTATTTGCTCGATTTTGTTGGCGAGCAGCAAAAATCTTACCAAAAGACGGGCGAGCGAGTGAAACGAAAAATAGCTGCCGTGCTGGGTGTTTCTCAAGGTTGGTTTTACAATATATTCGTCGTCGTCTGGTGGAGAAAAAAACGGAACGGGGAAAATCTCTTCCGTTGGGCCGTTTTCCACTCAATATTTCTCGTATTTATTGCACTTTTAACGCGAGCCTTCGCAGCTGTTTTCGTACGCGCACAACCGAAAAAAGAAGAGAGGAAATATGTATATTTTATTAACTAAAATAAAATGGTAGACTCCAGCAAAAAGTAACATCGATGTAACATCGATACCCCGATGTCTGAACTTTTCGTGCCTATCGATGGTTTCTTCCTTCCATAGTCGATAGCAGTGTATATCGCTTTCCGAGAAACAATTATTTATTGATAGCTGTCGTAAAAAGCTAGCGAAATGATTTAATTGATTTAATTTAAATTGTGGATTTGGTTTTGTGTTGGGATTTTTCTTTATTTTTTGTATTTATGTTTTGTCACACTATACGACATCGACCTATCGATACTATCATTAATTCAGTGGCCGTATTTTAGTGTTGCAAAGAAGGTGTTCTACAACACTGCATTGGCGGTATATTCAAATTAGTGACACATTGGAAAAAATGTCCAATTGATGTATTTCCAACAAGATTTTCATGTGCGCAATAATAAGATTTCCATTTAATTAGAATATTTCTAATCTAGATTTAGCTATTAGATCTAAAAAACAAAAGGCAAAGTTTGAAAAAACCAATTTAATAACCACACCTTAAAGAACAACCACAAGCCGCTTGCTTTTTTGGTCTATATATATTTTTATTAAAAACAGTTTTATTTTTTGTTTTTTGGTTGGTTTTTCTCTTTCAGTTTTTTTTTGTTTTCTGGTTTTTGTGAATTTGTTGTTTGGTTTTGTTTTTTTGCGTTTTTTGTTTTGTTTTGTAAATAACGTGACGACTTGAAAACAGGAAATTAAATAAGTGTACTTTACTCGTAATGTAGTAGTAGAAAGTGTTTATAAAAGCAATATTACAATAACTGTGGTAGAATTGGCTCCTAAAATAGATATTTTACAACTGATACCACTTCTTGTCTTTATATTTAAGCATTAATTGATGCGCAGTGCCGCTGAAATCTTGAGCAGTGTTGGCCATACGCTCGGCGCGCTCCTCCAGCAAATTAAGCTTCTCGCCGCGCTCCATGGCCAATTGGTGCGCCCGGCTAATCTCCGATGCGGCGGTGGATGCCCGCTGGCCGAGCTGTTCCAAATTGGGACCAGGTATGTGCCTGGCCACCGAGCGATTCGCCTTGCCGCTCTGCTCACCAACTGAGGGTAGGTTCAAATTCATATATAAAAAGAATCTTTTAAGAAATGTACGTGTATAAAAACTCACATAGCTCTTCGCGATCGAGGAGCTTGGCGCCGCCGCCAAATAGACCCTTGAAGAAACCCTCCTTCGGCTGTTCGGGCATTTCCTGTACCGTATATAGTTCACCCATCATCTCCAAAATAAATTGACTGAAAAATGAATAAAGTAATATATAATAAATAACATATTTTGTAAAAGAAAATAAAAGACTTACCAAAATTCCGATGATATCGTGAATTTTTGAATTTCGGTGGGCGATGCCATGTACAATCCATGACCTTTATGACTAAAGCAAAATATTTTTGATATTCTGTGTGCGAATGGGAGAGAGTATTTAATATATTATTATTCAATGGTTATTATTAATTATTATGAGCTGCACTCACTGAGTTGTATCTTCATGAACAATGATCTGTTGACCCCATATCGAAAGCATTGGATCCACAATTCCCTGTTTACATTTTGTTTGAAAACTAAATCCAAAACAGAGTATGATTAATTACAATATCAAGATAAATACTAGTATGAAGAGAGGCCAACCTTAAGTCCATAAGCGGTAAGAAATCAGTATCCAATAACAGTTTTAGACTAGGAAGACTATGTACCATTAGATGGCCATTCGAAAGATAGGTTGCTAAGCAAGAGCCATCTAAAAGGATGCAGAAAATTTACATAAATATATATTTTTTACAACTGATTTAAGTAGTAGTAAGTACCTTTCATCGTGATAGTTTCTGCCTTGACTGCAAAATCCATTTCCGATAATTGTATGCGATTGATGCAACACTGATTGGCCACATCGAAGACTTTTGTTTGCTTCTCGCTAGCGATAACGATATATTGTCGATCGGTGAGTGTTTCCAAGCCGGTGCTAACACTTCCGCTTATTCCGCTGCTGCTGGCGCTGCTGCTGCTCATACCGCCGCCGCCGCCGCCACCTCCGGCACTGCCGCTGGTCGCTGCTCCGCCACTACCACTGGCACCGGGACCACCACTGCCGCCCGCTGCAGCTGCGGCTGCACCAGCTCCTGCTCCTGCACCCGCTGCACTGCTGCCAGCGCCAGCACTACCACCGGCCGCACCACCAGCTCCGCCAGCGGAGGCACCACCACCACCACCACCACCCGCAATCGAAGTGTTTGATATTGTATTGGCAGTTGTCGGTGTGAATGTGGGACTGGTGCGGCTGCTGCTCTTTGTGGGTGTGCCTGTTGGTATAACAATAAATATATTATTATGATGTTGATATTTATATATTTATTTAACAGAATATTATAAACAGAGCTCATAAAATGGTCTTAATTGATTTCATTTAATTAAGTCTCTCGCTTATTAAGAGAGAGCATGAAAGATAGTTGGATCTGATACCATTTTCATGTTATGTTGCTAGCTCTGTTTCTAACCAACTATTATTTAAATAATATATACAAAATAATTATAATCTTACGGTCTTTCTTGTCCTTGTTCTCGTCACGCCAGGTCTCAAACGTATAGGGTATGATCGAACCGTAAGAGTCTAAAAAAGACATGGAAGTTATGGATCCTTTAAGTCGTACTACGGGGCCACCTGAAAAGGAATTAAAACGGATAAGATTATATTAAGCAGTGTTAAAAACGTTGAATAATTTTGAATTAAATTTTACTTTATTGATCACTCAAAAGAGTCTATAAAAATATAGTTTTAATCATTATTTAAGCACCAAAAAGTAGTGGTTAAAGTATCAAAAAGGCTTTACAACACAATCATTTAACTTTGAATGCCTTTGTATCATAAGATCTTAATGGCAAAAGCACTTACCATTTATTGTTATCAATACTGGTTGAGATTTGCGCACATCTCGGTCCGGCATGGTGATAAACAATGTCAGTATCGAACCGAAACTAGTTCCAATCCACAAAGTAGGAACAAGTGTCAAAATATCTGCATCATAAATGGGATTGAAAATTTAAATTAATTAAATAATAATTACAAAATAAATACAAGTTGCTAAAACTTACCATTTCGTTTTGCATAACTCTCGATGAAAGCTAAACAAGTAACAGATTCAGAGGAAGACATATCAATGCTGGACATTGACGATGATCTGGATCTTGAGAAAGTTCCATCCAATTTATCTGTAATTTATTTTTCGTGGTTGGTTTTTTTGTAATTTTTTTTTGGTATATTTTTTTTTTTTCAGAAAGGTTGATTATGTTGAGATGGATGCGCATCATACAGATAGGAGAAAGAGAGAAACAAATAAAAAAAAAACGAGTTACAACAAGATTTCAAGATACACATTTTTAATAATTATTGTGAAACAGAGACAGGCGAATATATAGAAATAGAGAGAGAGAGAGAGTCAGAGATAGAGTGATAAAGAGATAGATAGAGAGAGAGAGAGATAGATAGTAAAAGCGGCGGGCGGTAGTAGGCAAAACTTTTGCTTAGGATTTTGATCGAATTTTTGCTTTTATTGTCTAATTTTACTTTAATTTTAATTGCGATGTTTTTGTTTTGCACTATGTTGCTTTTTTTTCTTATTGCGCTGCACAACACTAAGATACCGCTAGGCTGCCTAATATGTGTACGTGATTTGCATGTGTTTACAATGTTGATGTGTATGTGTATGTTTACTTTTCTATATAAATGTGGTATGCTTCAGCCGCTCGCAGGACTTTATTGTCCTTTAATTTTAGCAAAAATTATTAAGGCTGCAGTTTTGTTTAGACAAGCTAATTAAATGAAAAGAAAATTAAAACTTGTCGTTCAAAAGTATTTGTATTAAAATAATATTACTAAAATCATTATTTTTTTTTAGTTTTCCAGCAACTTAAATTAATTTAATTTGTTGATTTTTTTGTTTTTGAGTTTATAGAAAGCTCAAATGTTTTAAATTTAATTTATAAATATTTTTAAATTTAATTCCTTCAACAAAAATTTAAAATTTGCATACATTGTGTATGTTTAACTCCGAAAACTAATGTTCAAAGTCCTTTTAATGTTTGAGAATCCTGGAATCGGGAGCTTGTAGTGCCATCTCACTTGCACACACACACCTGCGAGCAACTGTCGCCATTCTCTCCTGTTTTTTTTTTTTTATTCGATTTATGATATTATTGAGTGATCTTTGCTGTGAGTGCAATTTTGAAAGCGGCATTATAGTAACGAAAGAAACTTTAAAAAAAGAAAGAAATAAAGGAATACACAAAAAAAAGGACGATTTGCTGCATTTGTGTGTTTGTGGTGTGCTCAGCTAGGCGCTTATATGTATAGTTGTGAGAGTATGTGTATGCTTGTATGTGTGTGGACTATGCAAAAGTTAACGTTTTTGCCAAATTCAAAATCCAAAAATAATCGGATATTGTTGTTATTCTTATCTATGTTCAGTTATAAATTAATTAATTATAATTCCAGTTAGTTTAGTTTATTGTTTAATTATTATTTCATTCGCTTTTCTTTTTTTATGTATATCGTTAATTTTTCTTTGTTGAAAGCGTGCCAAATGCAAATACAAAATACCGAGAGAGGCAGAGAGAGAGAGATAGAGAGAGAGAGAGTGGGAGAGCGCTAGATCGAGAGATATAGAGCGAGCGAGCGAGCGAATGAAACAGATAGTAAGACAGTAGCAGAGACAGAGACAGATAGAGAGAGAGATAGGAATATATAGAGAGTAGAAAACAAAAGAGACAGCGAGCAGAGAGCGAGCGAGCGAGAGATAGAGTAAGATCATATTTAGATCCTTTTTGTTCTAGGGCTAGAGAGAGACAAAGAGAGAGAGAGAGAGAGAGAAACAGAGCGAGCGAGCGATCGAGCGAGAAAGAGACAGACAGCTCCAGCCATCGACCCCCACCCCCCCAAAAATATCCCTAAAGTTAATCAAATAAAAAAAAAACACTTCAAAAATAAAAACGGAAAATATTTTCCAAATTTTACACACACACCAACAGACACACACACACACACTAGAGCGAAGAAAGGGGGCGGGGCCACAAGCAACGTGCATATCCTGCTGTCCATATGTGCCTGTGTGCGTGTGCGCGTGTATGTGTGCGTGCGTGTGCAGATAGAGACAAATAGGACACTTAGAGGGAGACAGAGAGAGAGTTACAGTGGAACTTCTACAAATCGAAACTTTGAGAGAGCTATCGGAGGACCTCTTAAGACACTTTAAACTTAACTTCCCGATCTACAGCCTTTGTTTTATGGTATTTCAAGTAGCTAAAAACTCAATTAATTATTTAAATTGAATATGAACTTATTTGACTTATTAAATTATTCGAATCATAATTCGTCATAAACGTCAAGTGTAGGAAAATATAAAAAAAATTAAATAGCGCCCATAATATATAGCTTTTGTAATGCAAAATATTTAATAGCGCGCAAAATGAGATTAGATTAAGAGCCAGGAGCTTAATTCAAGTTCTCTTTGTATTCACTGTAGCGAGAGCGTGCAGTACTGTACTGGTTCTTTCTGAGGTTAGGTTCGTCTTTGAGAAGTTGAACTGTATACACTGTACTGTAGGTGTGGGAGTGTGTGGAAGTGGAAGTGTGTGTGTGTGTGTGTGTGTGTGGTACACTTGAAAGAAATGCTTGTGGGTGCAATCTCAGTTCTATTTTTTGCTGTTGTTGCTATTGCTTTTGCTTGTTGTGGTTGCTGTAGTTGCTATTGTTGTTGTTGTTGTTGTTGTGGAAGTTGCTATTAGCTTGTTGTTGTAATTGTTTTTAACTGTTGTAGTAGTTGTTGTTGTAGTTGTAGTTGTAGTTGGAGTAGTTTGTTGTGCTCTCTGGTTGTGCTCCCACCTTGTGATTTGGACTTTTTTAGGGACTCGTACGATGTCACTGACTGCTGTTGCTGTATAACGGATGTTTGATGCGTAAACGGATGCGGATGCGGATGCGGATACGGATGCGGATGCGGATACGGATGCTGTTGATATTGATGTTGTTGCGCACCTGCACCGCCGCTAGCACCGCCGCCTGCACCGCATTCGCCCCAAGGATAATCAGCAGCGTCAAAGGATTGAGATTGCAACTCCTGCTGCTGCACCTGTTGCTGCTGCTGCTGCTGCTGTTGCACCTGTTGCTCTGTTGCCACCTTTAATGCAGCAAATCCACCACCAAATCCACTGCTTAAACCACCAACACCAACACCGCCACTAGCAACACCCGCACCTGCATCGTCTGCCCCATAAACGGATGATCCCGATGATGATGCAGCTGCTCCTGCTCCTGCTCCTGATCCTGATCCTGCCGCCTCCTCCTCCAACAAAGCCTGCTGCTGCTGTAACTGCTGCTGTTGCTGCTGCGATTGCTGCTGCTGCTGTGTAAACTGTTGCTGCGCCTGCGTTTGCTGCGACTGCAATTGCTGCTGCTGTTGCTGCGCTTGCGACTGCTGTTGCTGCTGTTGCTGCTGCTGCTGCGCAGCTGCAACTCCGCTGCCGTTGATCTGAGGCAATTGCAAAATATGTTTTTTTTATATAAACAATAATTGTGGGAGACACGGGAGAGAGAGAGAGAGAGATACACACACATAGTCAGAGATAGAGAGAGAGAGAGATATATATATATAGAGGAAGAAAGACAGAGAGATAGAGAGAGAGAGACAGAAAGATAAATGCACAAAATGATTGAATGTCCTTATTAATTCTTCTTTATCTTTTTTCTTTTAAATTTTTCGTTGCCTTTTGAAATTTTGGTATATTTTTTTTGCTGTTTACTATTTTTTCTATTCAGTTATTTTGTGCTATGCGTGTGTGTGTGTGTGCGTGTACGTGTAGGTGTGCGTGTGTAGGTTGTGCTTATGTGATTGTGAGTGGTCTTATGGCAATCTCTTGCGAGAGGTGCGCTCAACATAGGGGTTAAACGGAAACAACGAGTGTGCAGAAAACGAAACGTGGGATTAATGTACAGTGAACGCTGGCTAACACCCAAAGACATGGCTTATAATTTGTAATAATAAATAGAAGCGAAAAGACAAATTTTCAAATTAAAGCAAGCCTAAATGTAACTTAATACATTTCTCTATTGATTTGAATTCTTTTTGAAGCATTAAAACGGAAAAACTTTGCATTTTGTACACGTGTCGAATACGTGATTTTCGTATACATGTCGTATACTTGATATTTCTATCATAAATACGTGAAATTCACCAAGGAATTACAAGAATACACAACTCCAAATAAGACTACAGCCAATTTTCTAGTTTTAATTCTAAATCAAATAATAATTGACTTTAAAAAAGCTCTATATAATTATATATTTCTAGTTCTATTTCGTGTAGAACATAACTCGAGTCTATGAATGTGTTTATCTCAACACATTTTGCTCTGAAATTGAATTTGAAATAGTTACAAAACAAATGATAAACTTACGCTTTAATTTGTTTAGAATATCAGTCTTTTTAACTCGTTTCTTTTTGAAGAGAAAGAGGTGTTTCTAGGATAGAAGAGTTTTTAAATACACAAAAGAAGAATGTTGAATTAAATAAAAAAATATATATATATAGAACATAATGTACATGTGTAAATTAAGCGAACTTAAAGTCTTTTGTAGCAAGCGATCACTGTCGTTGGAACAATTTACAGTAGTGTCTGCTGACGGTCATCGTTAAACGATTATTACATAGGTTTTTTTTTTAATATGATACAAATACAAAAGCGTTGAATGGTTATTGAATTTCGGTGAGAAGTGCAAAAATATCGAATTATCGATAATATTCGACAACAACACAAATACGTATACACAGCGAGAAACGTAGGCAGAGGTCGTTGCATTGATTTGTTGGGTGTTATTTTGGGTGACATCGATTGACAGTGACATTAATATGAGTAAAGGCACAATAAAAAACACGAGAACACGATAATAGTTACTTAAGGTGATCATAACAAGGAATACGAATAGAATAGAATATTTATGACATATGTGTGTAAGTACGAATAAATGCGAGAGAGGGAGAAAGAGAGAGATTGGAAATATTGGAGAGATATATGTATGTATGTAAATTATGTAGAGTAGAGCGAATAAACTTTTGGTGGGTTTTTTTTTAAATCTCTGGCTTAGAACGTAGAAATAGACATCATGTGGTTATATGTATGCGGGTGGATATATTAGCTGGTATTAAATATGAACAATCGATTTAAAAGTATTCGGTTATATGCATATATGATTTAGCTTAGAGGTCAAATCTTTCTGCTTTATATATTTACAAGTGGTTTAAAGTATACAAATGTGGTGACTTTGGAGAAAAGCGATAAGCGATAAACGAGGACGATAATAAAGGCAACGGTAAAGTTTTTCTTTTTTAATTATTGCTTATCGATAGCCAGAACACACACACATTCAACGGAACAATCGAAACGAAAATCATTTTCAAATGAAATACAGGAAACAGAAACGAAACGAAAAAGAAATCGTTGAAATAACCCAAGTTATCGGTACCCCGAAGCCAAGGCCATCGATAGATTATAGAGACGACCAGGAGGAGCATGGGGCTTTTGGGAGGAGATTTGGGGCCAAAATCGATTGATGGGAGCACAGCCTCAAGCTTAATCAAACTCTCTCTATTAATGCGAAGATAACATCAGATCAGATCAGATCAGATCAGAGTAGAATCAGAAGAGTACACAAGGTAACGATATGTATATACATTGAGGTTTCTTTCAGCATAGAGGTGTGTGTATGTTCGTGTTAGAACTTATAGACTAAACACGGGAATATTTAACGTACAACAATCAACATTGGTTCATATCATATTCGATATTTCGATTTTGGTTACATTTCATGAGAATGTACCAATTCATTTTTGCACAGTGCACATACATAGACTGAGTGGTGAGTTTATGTGTGGTGTGATGTTTGGTGATTGGTGAAGCCTTTTTGTGTTTCCTTTTTTCGTTTTCCTTTTGTTTGGCCTACAGCACCCGCGTTTACATTCAATTTCTAAGCTTAAAAGTAGGTTTCGTGTCTTGCATACTAAGGAGTTAGTTGGTTGGTTAGTTAGTTAGTTTCGAGAGTTTGAGCTTTATAGTTACACATTGTATGTGGGTATGATGATGGTGCTTGTAAGTGGTTCTTGTGGTTCTTGTTCTTGTTGTTGTTGAGTGTGGGGTGACTGGTGAGAAGTTGTGGTGTTTTTGGTGGTGGTGGTGGTGTTGTTGTTGTTGATGTTGTGGTTGTTAAATGATTTACCAAAGAACTTCCACACAATCACATAAAGGCAGTTGTATTGCAGCTCTTCTGCATCCGTTGCCTAGGTATTGAGGGAGAAGAAGAAGCATAGAATAAGACATTTTTGGCAAAAAAGTTTTGAAAGATGTTGGTTTTCGTTTTTTTTTTTTTTGCTTATTTGTAATTTAGTTTGTTGCTGTATTTGTTTTGAATTGGGTGCGTATGTAAATTTGTTGTTTGTTGGTTGCAGTAAAATTTTTGGTTATTATTTCATCACATTTTGTGGTTGCTGAAGATTGCTGTTCTAGTTGTTGTTGTTGTTATTGTTGTTGGTTTTCGTTTACATTTACGTATAAGTATATATATGTATATATATTTATATATATTTACGATTAATTTAACTTGGTTTTCATTGTTATTTGTCATTGTTGTTTAGCTAAGACTACAAAGTAGGCTCTATACACAAAATGCAATTTTGGTTTCGGTTTTTTTTTTATCATTTCAACAAAATTAACATAAGAAGCAACGGATTTTTCATTTTGGTATCGTTCGCATTTCTAGATTTCGACTTTTGTACTTTTTGCACATCGCTAGCTGTAATTTGTATTTATTTTTTTGTTTGGGTAGGGAATAGGGTTGCTATGTTTACAATACTTTCATCTCATTTTTGTTTGCTATTCTCTACTAGCTAAGTAGCAGCAACTAAAAGCAACAAAAAGCAAAGGAACAACACATAAATAGGGGAAGGGAAGGAAAAGCCATAAACCCAACCAGTAGCGACGACAAAACGTCATTTTTTTTTTGGGGATAAAAGAATTGTTTTTGGAGAAGAAACGGGGAAGGAGAGAAAACAGTGTCAGGTCAAAGAGAAAGAGGAGAGAGATAAACACTTGCAACGACGATAGAAAGAAAATGATACTGTGTTTAGACGCGGTTAAACTTGTAGAATTCTACAGAGAATCTATAGAAAATCACTAAGTACCGGATTTAATGTTTCTTAATGTTTCCAAAATTAGATACATTAAGATTTTCCCACACTCTAATAGCAAGAAATATTTAATCGCATAAACACAGTACATTTTCGGCTCCGATGGTTGGTTGATTTTAGCTCTCCGATTCCAGGAGTCCGATTTGGATTCCATATCCATATTCTACCTGCCTGCCTAGCGATCACGCAAAGAACTCGCTCGCTCGCTCTGCGCATTTCATTAAATTAAATTAAATTTTTTTGATTTGTTTTACTTTTTTTTTTTGTTAAAAGAAATGGGATTAAGATCGCTGCTGATATTGCTAGCGTCTCGGAAACTCTCTTATTATTCTTTAGGGGGGCGTAGGTAGGGTGAGGGTTTTGAGGATTTTTGAGGGGGATGAGATCCTTCGGCGGGGGCCATACTTACGTATCTTTTTGCCTCCGCCACCGCCGCTGGCGCCTCCGCTTACACCACCAGCTCCTCCACTTCCAGTGGTGCCACTGCCACCTCCGCCGCTGGTCAGCGGGGATACATCGTTCTTGAGGATTCGCACACCGCCACGTAAATCCCGTGGCTGGTACTTAATATTTGGAACTGATAATAGGCGTTGATCGCGTGCCTTTTCTTTGAATTTTTGACGGACCGGCTTCAGTGGAACAGGTGCCTGTGATTCTGCCAATGGCAAATTATTGGGCCTCTCCACCTCCACCGCTGCCGCCGTTGTTGTCATCTGCTCAAAGTCCACACGACGAGGGCCACCTGGGGCTAGTGCCCCATCATCTGGTGAATCAGTGGTGGAGGATCGAAATTTACCCCGCACCGCTGGTGATGGTGATGATGATGCTGCTGCTGCTGCTGCTGCTGCCATTTCAGCATCATCCAATGCTTCATCTTCCTTCAGCTCGGCCGTCGTCTCCTCTTCGGTTGGCGGTGGCGGTGGTGTTGGCATAACGCCATCAGGTGACGCCTCCTTGGGCGTGTAGAATATGGAGCTATTCTTGAGCGACTCCAGATCGGTGTTGACATTCATACCACCGATTTTCATATTGACTTTCGATAATTGACGCTTCAAATTGAACGTTTTCCAGGACATGGACTTGCGTCTATCCTGCATCTCCTTGGGTGCAGCATCTTCACGCTGCGGACTCTTGGCCATCATGGCCGCCGTTGCTGCTGCCGAGCCACTGATGAGGGTTTCCCTCGAACTATTCACCACAACGGGATCGGGTGAAGTGGGACGGGAGCCGACGATAGCCGTGGTATCCGTTGGATCGGTGCTCGAGGCCTCCGGTACAAATTCAAGTGACGGACTATCCGGACTGGTCGTATCGTTCAGCTAGATTGAAGATCGGGAGGTTTTTTTATGGAGGGTAGGAGGGGGGCAGAGTTTTAATTCTCAGTTTTTTTTGTTTTTAATTATTGTTTTGTTTTGGTTTTTTGTTTTTTAAGTTTGTTTAGGCAGCAAAAATAAAAGTAGTTGTCGTTTTAATTTATCGACAAAGAGAGTGGGGTTTTTTGATTTGGATGGTTTTTTAGGGGAGGGTTAAGGTGGTTTAACATTCACTTCATTTTGGGTTATTGGGTTTCTGTTTCTGTTTTTGTTTTGGTTTCTGTTTTTGTTTTGGTTTCTGTTTTTTTTTAATTTTGGCAAACCGAAATGTATAGAAAAAAAGTAGCAGCAACAATTAAAGCATTAAAAGTGATTCGTGAAGGGGACTTTATGGGGATGAAACGTATATTACAGAGTATAGTTAATATTTGGAAAATATTTATTTTGAATTTTGTAAAAGACTTTCTCAGATAAGTAAGTTTTAGTCACACTTTTTAATCAAAGACAGCAAAACGTTGGTTACATACAAGTGGCGCCCAACGAGGGACTTGCAACATGTTGCAACATGTAGCAAGTCCCTGGTTGGGCGCCAACTGTACGTAAATAAATATACAGATTATATATAAAGAATATTTTCATGGAATTCAAACATATTGTATTTATATGTGTATTTCGAAGCAAAATGACCTTGTTGAGGCTTTAAGTGAGGTGTCAAGGTAATTTCTTAAAGTAAAATAACTTTTTGTGGCAAAATGGCAAGTGTACAAAGTGGCCAAGCATTTTTCTTAGTTACAAGTTCCTAAATCCTGACACTTTTGAAAGACGGAAAAAGATGATGATATATTTTACACATATGTATGTAGACTGAACTAGGTCAAGGGATATCAACAAACAAAAAGGAAATGGAAAAAGTCAATGACAGAGATTAAAAGCGAGAGAGAGAGGGAGCAAATGCAAGGAGCCAGTTTTGGCCTTTTTGGGGAATGTGGATGATGTACCATAACTTTTTTTTTATTATTTTTGTGGATGTAAGCTGCTTTTGCCTTGTTGCTGCTGCTTTTTTCGGTGCTTTTGCTTTTTTTTTTGCATTCTTTTGAAGTGTTAAGTGTGTGTACTTTCTTTTTACAAGGGTTAACAGGGTTTGGGGTTAAACGAGGTTTTTTTTGGTGGGGTTTTACTTGGGTTACTTGGAAAAAGAGTATCGTATCAACAATTTACAATTTATGCTTGACATTTACTTTATTATTTGGGTTGGTTTGGTTGGTATTTTTTGTTTTGTTATTTATTTGTTTGGGGTTAACAAACACTGAAAGGGGGGTTAAACTTTAGGCAACGAGTTTTATTTAACAACTGTTATACGTGAACGTGTATAACGATTTGATGCTACATGTGTGGTTGCGATGCACAACACACATACACACACCAACACACGCACACATACAAATACACATACGCATAGGCATTGGCAGACAAAAAAAAACTCAAACACAAACACGCACACACGCACAGGCAATACAACGGTATTTTTTCGATTATCATAGATTTAGAATAGAATTTTGGAAGATTTCAAAATTACGAAAAATAATTAAAACTACGTTCAATCAATCAATTAATTAATTCGAATTAGATTTCAAATAAAACCGTATAATTTATTTATATAACTGGTGAGTGTGTGTTTGGGTGAAGTGTTCAAGTTACAAAGGGTGTTTTTTTGGATTTTTTTTTCTATTTTCAAGAAAGGTGACAGTAAAAGTCTCGCAACTAACACACACAGAAAAACAAACACTTCTTCAATCAATGCGTTAGTACGAAAAGACAGAAGAGCGGGATAGACACAGAGATAGAGAGAGATAGGGAAAGAGAGAGATAGACACAGTGGGAGAAGGAGAAACGTAGTTTTTCTTTGCTGTTGTTCTTGTTGTTGCTGTTGGTTATGTTGTTTTCAGTTTGTTGTTTCAATCATATCATATCATGTTTCTTGGGTGTTCGCTAGGCTTTTTTTTTTGTTCTTTCTCAGGCACAACACAGATCAAATCAATTCAAATCAACTCAAATATCGGAATCGTGACGAATGAAATCGGGGTTTCGATCACATATACAACAATCATAGCCATCAAACGCGTCTATGCGATGGACTTGGAGCGGTGGCAATCACAGAAGTTATACGAAAATAAAAAAAAGAAGTCACACCAATCAATCCAAATCCAAATTGAAATTTAAATCAATCATCGAGGCAATCATCGTATGCAAGCTTCGTGCAAAAAACACAATTAAATTAAATATCAATCAATTAATAAATATGATTTTACCATGCTGCAGTTTTGTGCGTTTCAGTTAGAGGCAGTTTTATATGCTGGGAAACAGATACAGAAAACAGATATATATACATATACATATATATGCATATATATAAAGGTAGATAGGTAAAAAAAAAAACTAAAAGTATCAAGGGAATTACTTTTTGATCAGTTCTTCTATCAAGAAAGTGCCTAGCTAGAAAGGAGAGGATTTTGCAATCGGACAATTAACTAAAAAGCAGTATATTTAGATTTTAACCTATAACAATTAGAGCAGGATAGCACTTGATTGTGAAAGTTGTGAAAGATATAACAGTATTATAGTTAGACTGGTCAGATTGACAGAAAATATAGCAGGGTAGGTCACTTTGGTTGGAATGAGAAAGCGATACAGCAGTTTGTTAGAGACGACTGAAGCTCACCGTCAAAAATACTAGTAAAAAACGGGTACGAAGCTATAACTGTAGTTAGTTTAAATATATAGTTTTATTGGTATTTAAGTCATATTTAATTTTCAGCAATATAAATACGTAAGTTGGATAGTTTTTCTTGCTTGCTTGCATGTGTGTGTATATAAATGTATATATAGTATATAGATATGGGGTTATATGGGGATCTAATTGCTAATTCTATCGGATTTACAATAAAATGCAGGAAAGTGACAGCGAGATAGAGCAAGAGGGGAGGAGCGAGAAATTAACTAAGAGGGAAACGAAAACAAACCAAAAAAAAAGAAAACAAAACAACAAACCAAAACAAACATTTTTGGATCGGCTACAAATGTTTAATGTTAGCTTTAAACATATATAAATATTATGTATATATAGATATATATATATATCAAATTTAGATACTTTTGTTAGTAATTAGAAATTTCGTTCGTAATGTAATAAAGTAAATATATATATTTTTGGTATGCATATTAAATTTAAATATGTTAAGTACTGAATAATATGTACGTGGCATGTTCAAATGAGCTGAGCATTTGTAATTGTAGGTCTTTTGTTAATGTGTGGGAGTTTACTGTTCTGTACCGTACTGTACTGTACGGATACTGTGCTCCACTGTACTGCAGAGCATACATATATATATATAGCATACTTATGTGGGGCGAAATCATTTCGGTCTGTCTGTGTTTCTGGCTGTGTATGTCTGCGTGTTTCAATTCGAATTAAATCGAATTCGAATTTGAATCAGATTTGAATTCAATTCATATCAAATAAATAAATTTTATATTGATTTAATTGAATTCTAAGCGAATCAAATCGAATTCCAATTATTTTTTCTGTCTGTATGTATTCGGTTTGTGGTGTATATATTTATTTTGGATCTCAGGTTCCACTGCGATTAATTGGGTTTACAGTGGTTACCCAACACACACAGTGTGTGGCAGAGAGTGGATACAGAGAGACAGACAGACAGAGAGAGAGAGACAGAGCGAGAGAGAGAGACAGATAGAGAGCGAGAGGGCACTTACCTGATCTGAGCTGGGCGATCGGCTTTGCTCCTCTTTGTTCTCAATGCGTTTTGGACTTTTTGGTGTTCGCGAGTAAGGATCATGTGCGCCATACAGATCGGGGCATGCAACACTCAATAGGCAAATTTTTTGGATTATATCAATTATGACAAGTCCATATTCGGTACCATAAGCCATTCTAAAAACAGAAAATATTCATATGTATTTCCAAAATCAACTGCATACAAATCAACATGTTACAAAAACCAAAAAATAACACCATCATTGAGGAAGGGGTATGGAACATAATTACTCAAAATGTACAAAACATTTTTAAAATTAGGAGAAAACAAAACGTGAAGTAAATAGTAATGGTAAAAAAACATACGTTATTGTAAAATAAATTCAAAAGATACTGGAAATACTCAAGAATACCGGAATAATAAAAATGCTATTGTTGAAAAAATTCTACATTTATATATAATTAAAAATTACTATATTGTTTTTACTAAAAATCAATAAATATTCGAAATAGTTTAAGAATAAAAGTGCATAATGAAACTACAGTCAAAGAATATCACCAAAGAGTACCAACCAAAGATAAGCAGATACAAAATGAAATATGAAATCAAACGGGGAAATTTACCGAAATACATATTACAGATTACCATTAAATTGAACAAAAAACTGAAAGACAAATGAATTATTTTGATGCGCATCATCACTCACACACGCGCACACACCAGGCACTAAAAATACGGTACAGTCCGGTTCCTGAGAGTCACGATTTCAGTTTTGCTTAGATAGTTGGTTCTTAAGCGTCAGTTTTGGGGGGAATCACCCGAGGGACTGGGACTATATACCATATTAAAATAATTGTTATATCGAAATTTATAATTTGAATCAAAGCTATCCTTTAGAATTTTGTTTTTAGTTTTATGAAAATCTATTAACAGCAAGTTACTTTGATTAGTAATTAACATTGAACAGTAATAAACTCAAAAGAGTAAGTATTTATGACCAGTAACTAACTCTGATCAGTAAGTATCTATGGCCAGTAAGTATGTATGTATGTATGATCAGTTACTAACTTTGAACACTAGTAAACAATGACTTGCAACTTTTGTAACACAACACATATCTGAGACGTGGTCGGTAGAAGTGACTTCGTTCCGGGGATGTTAGAACTAGTTGGGAATCATATGCACAGATGTGCGAGATTTGATTTGGAACAAAGAGCAAGCTATTTCAATTAAACTATGGAGTTAATCTTCTATATAATTTTATTCGTATATATCGGAGCATGGCGAATCGGTGGACTATATATACACATATATATAGCTGCCATAGGAGCGATCGGACGATCTATAGAACTATGATCAGCAATTAACTATGAGCAGTAAGTAACTCTGAACAGTAAGTAAGTATGTTCAGTAAGTATCTATGAACAATAAGTAACTATGAGCAGTAGGTAACTCTGAACAATAAGTATCTATGGCCAGTAAGTAATTATGATCAGTAAGTATCTCTGAACAGTAAGTATCTATGACCAGTTACTAACTTTGAACACTAATAAACAATGACTTGCAACTTTTAAAACACAACACATATCTGAGACATGGCCGGCAGCAGTCACTTCGTTCCGGGGATGTTAAAACTAGTTGGGAATCATATGCACAGATGTGCGAGATTTGATTTGGAACAAAGAGCAAGCTATTTCAATGAAACTATGGAGTTAATCTTCTATATAATTTTATTCGTATTTAAATCGGAGCATGGCGAATCGGTGGACTATATATACACATATATAGCTGCCATAGGAACGATCGGACGATTTATAGAACTATGATCAGCAATTAACTATGAGCAGTAAGTAACTCTGAACAGTAAGTAAGTATGTTCAGTAAGTATCTATGAACAATAAGTAACTATGAGCAGTAGGTAACTCTGAACAATAAGTATCTATGACCATTAAGTAATTATGATCAGTAAGTATCTCTGAACAGTAAGTATCTATGATCAGTAACTAACTTTGAACACTAGTAAACAATGACTTGCAACTTTTGTAACACAACACATATCTGAGACATGGCCGGCAGCAGTCACTTTGTTCCGGGGATGTTAAAACTAGTTGGGAATCATATGCACAGATGTGCGAGATTTGATTTGGAACAAAGAGCAAGCTATTTCAATGAAACTATGGAGTTATTCGTCTATATAATTTAACTTGTATATAAATCGGAGCATGGCGAATCGGTGGACTATATATACACATATATATAGCTGCCATAGGAACGATCGGACTATTTATAGAACTTTGATCAGCAATTAACTATGAGCAGTAAGTAACTCTGAACAGTAAGTAAGTACGTTCAGTAAGTATCTATGAACAATAAGTAACTATGAGCAGTAGGTAACTCTGAACAATAAGTATCTATGACCATTAAGTAATTATGATCAGTAAGTATCTCTGAACAGTAAGTATCTGTGACCAGTTACTAACTTTGAACACTAGTAAACAATGACTTGCAACTTTTGTAAAACAACACATATCTGAGACATGGCCGGCAGCAGTCACTTCGTTCCGGGGATGTTAAAACTAGTTGGGAATCATATGCACAGATGTGCGAGATTTGATTTGGAACAAAGAGCAAGCTATTTCAATGAAACTATGGAGTTAATCTTCTATATAATTTTATTCGCATATAAATCGGAGCATGGCGAATCGGTGGACTATATATATACATATATATAGCTGCCATAGGAACGATCAGACGATTTATAGAACTATGATCAGCAATTAACTATGAGCAGTAAGTAACTCTGAACAGTAAGTAAGTATGTTCAGTAAGTATCTATGAACAATAAATAACTATGAACAGTAGGTAACTCTGAACAATAAGTATCTATGACCATTAAGTAATTATGATCAGTAAGTATCTCTGAACAGTAAGTATCTATGACCAGTTACTAACTTTGAACACTAATAAACAATGACTTGCAACTTTTGTAACACAACACATATCTGAGACGTGGCCGGCAGCAGTCACTTCGTTCCGGGGATGTTAGAACTAGTTGGGAATCATATGCACAGATGTGCGAGATTTGATTTGGAACAAAGAGCAAGCTATTTCAATGAAACTATGGAGTTAATCTTCTATATAATTTTATTCGTTTATAAATCGGAGCACGGCGAATCGGTGGACTATATATATACATATATATAGCTGCCATAGGAACGATCAGACGATTTATAGAACTATGATCAGCAATTAACTATGAGCAGTAAGTAACTCTGAACAGTAAGTAAGTATGTTCAGTAAGTATCTATGAACAATAAATAACTATGAACAGTAGGTAACTCTGAACAATAAGTATCTATGACCATTAAGTAATTATGATCAGTAAGTATCTCTGAACAGTAAGTATCTATGACCAGTTACTAACTTTGAACACTAATAAACAATGACTTGCAACTTTTGTAAAACAACACATATCTGAGACATGGCCGGCAGCAGTCACTTCGTTCCGGGGATGTTAAAACTATTTGGGAATCATATGCACAGATGTGCGAGATTTGATTTGGAACAAATAGCAAGCTATTTCAATGAAACTATGGAGTTATTCGTCTATATAATTTAACTTGTATATAAATCGGAGCATGGCGAATCGGTGGACTATATATACACATATATATAGCTGCCATAGGAACGATCGGACTATTTATAGAACTTTGATCAGCAATTAACTATGAGCAGTAAGTAACTCTGAACAGTAAGTAAGTACATTCAGTAAGTATCTATGAAAAATAAGTAACTATGAGCAGTAGGTAACTCTGAACAATAAGTATCTATGGCCAGTAAGTAATTATGATCAGTAAGTATCTCTGAACAGTAAGTATCTATGACCAGTTACTAACTTTGAACACTAGTAAACAATGACTTGCAACTTTTGTAACACAACACATATCTGAGACGTGGCCGGCAGCAGTCACTTTGTTCCGGGGAGGTTAGAACTAGTTGAGAATCATATGTACAGATGTGCGTGATTTGTTTTAGAACAAAAGAGCAAGCTATTTCAATGAAACTATGAAGTTAATCCTCTATATAATTTTACTAGCATATAAGTCGGAGCATGGCGAATCGGTGGACTATATATATACATATATATAGCTGATATAGGAACGATCAGAAAATTTAAAGAAAAAAAAATAATTTTTCAACAGATTTTCATCAATGTTGATATATTGCCATTTATATTATTCAAGAATTTCGGTTTTAATTTTATGAAAATCGGACTACTATATCATATAGCTACCATAAAAAACGATCGTTAAAACTAGAGGAAAATTCAAAACGATGAATTTAAAACTAACATAAAAATATATGATTTATATTGTGCTAATTCCTATTGATCGAATTTCAATCAGCAAGGGTATACAAACTTCGGCGTGCCGAAGTTAGCTTCCCTTCTTGTTAATTATTAACTTTGATATATCAAGATGCAGCATAAAGATATCATTATTTTTTGTACTATCTACTTTTGTGTCAAATATCGATATTTTATCTTTAAACAAATAAATAACAATTTGTATAATCGATATGATTTCTGATATTTTCCCCAATCCCTCGGTCATATCTGTCGTCCATGGGGGCTTTTTGAGGCTGTATTTGTATTTTGGTAATCAATTACCAAAGAGGGAACTGGGTTAACTCGTATTTCTTGGCGTCTTCTGCTTGCAACTGTTGCATACTACGGAATATAATACACAACGCAAACAAATTCAACAAAAGCGGTGCTGCTTAGGGCGGGGACAGAGGCGTGGCAAAACGGGGGGGTTCTAGGCTAGAACACTCTGGGTGAGCGTTAGCGGCGGATAGGTTCTTCTTCACTGTTTTTTGTTTTGTTTTTTTGGCTACGTCTCAGGCGCTTTCAGAGAACGTCATGCATATTAGTACGAATACAAAACTAGACTACGTCTAAGTATTTTTGTTTTTTTTTTTTTTTGGGCTGGGGTGGAGGGTTCTAGTAGTAGTCCGCTTTTCCTGTGTCCTTTGTCTTGGTGGGAGAGTTGTTGTTGGGGGGGTTGGACGGGTTGGCTTTTGATTGGTGGCAGGGGGGAGGCTTTTTGGTGGTGGTGTGTGTACGTGTGTGGCTGGATCGATGGACAGATGGATCACTGGATAAATGGATGGATGGACATATCGAAGCGAGTGTCACGGGAATGATGGGATGGATGAATGGATGATTACGGCGCGGCATGGTTTGGCTACACTACTTACAGGCCATAGCTGGAGCTGATGCACAGCGAGGTGACCTGCACGTTCCGACGATTTGGTCCGGTTGTGAGGCAGACCAGCTGCGATTGGAAGCCCGGTGGCTTGCGCTGTGCTCCAAAGCGCACCTTCAACGAACACTCGGTCGTCTTTTTAATGGAGAAATGGGAAAGAAATGCGTTAAATTAGTGGAAAATAGATTTAAAAACCAATCTAAGAGGTACCTATCTTTTTGAACATTAAAGTCTAGATTAATACCTTATCTGAATCACTCGATTCCGTCTTTTGCACTTGATGGCCCGTAAGAAAGTCACATTCGGGACTGGTGCCATAAATGTCATCAAAATTCTCATAGAGTATGGGTATCTCCAGCACCAATACCTCCGATGTTGACTCCATTTTACGGAACTTAAATAGCATAACCTGGCCCATGGCCCCCGCCACACAGAGGCGTCGCGATTCCGAACAGAGGAAGATGAGATGCACCGCCAATGGATTATCGCTTTCCGGATGCGAGTGGGCGACGTGAGAGCGCGGCTTCTCGAACATCTTGGCCGTCTTCAGCTTGTAGAGGATCTGCAGCGTACCGGCACCAGAGTCCCAGAACTTGAGGCTACCATCCTGGTGTCCGGTAATTACGATCTCCGAATAGCTGCACGACGCCGGCGACCACTCGCCACCGGATATTGGCCATTCGCGCTCCGAGAAGCAGCTCTTTTTACTTGTCGTTGTGCGACCAACCTGTAATATGATAATTATAATGATTTGCGATGATTTATAAATAGATTGAGGAGAATGATAACTCACTGAATAGAAAGCAGGAACCAAATCCGATGGGCAATCGGTTAAATATGTGCAACATGTAACAGGTGATTCGTGTAAGTCCATTGGATAAGGCGATTCAAAACATGGAAAACCGGGTGTTAATAAGTCTATTAATACTAAGTCGTATTGCAGCAGCACGGCGATTGCATACGGCTCCTGGGTCTCTGCAATGGGAAACGTATGAAAATATTAAACAAATATATTAAGGAATGTTAGAGAATATCGATACTGTATCCATATTTAAGGCAAAATTCAATTAAGCTATATTTGAAGCTTGCAAAAACACGATATTCTGTTTGATATACCAAAACATAACATTTTAAGTATTACATTTCTATTAACACTTTCTACGTACCACAGGGCCAGGGATTTTCGCAGAGTGTGATGAAATCGCATACGGCATGCTCCATTTCCAGCACTGTGGTGGCCTTGCCCACCATCACCGTGATGCAATTCGACTTGGAGCCCTTCTCCGACGGCATGCCGCCCGAGAAAATGGTGAAAGTTTCCCTGCAAAGCAACAAAGTAAATAGAAAATTAATTAAAATAAATAAACATCAATGTAAAGCTTCTTTATCATTATTGCTTTTTTATTTGAATTACTCAAAAATAATGAGAGCACACCCTCTGAGCTTTATGATGCATTCTCATTATCTCCTTATCTACCGAGTAATAAAAATAAAAAGCCCGACAAAACAGCAGTGAGCTATATACTATATATGTATATATTTATTTATGAGTTATAATGCAAATAAATACTCACCCAGTTGTGCTGGATTTCAAGTCAACTTTATAAATCGGTTTGCACTTCTCCGCGTTGCCATCCTTGTTGGGTTTTGCTGTTGTTGAATCATTGCCATACAAAGTGCATCAATTAATATAATATATATATATAAAATATCGTAGTATATAATAATATTGCAATTATAATGGAAACTTACCATGCGGACAGACCTGCGACTGCGGCTTGGCCTGGGGCTTCGTTGGCCAGGAGCAAATGGAGCCATCGGTGTGCGAGGACACAAAGTACTTGCCCTCGTAGTGCCAGGCCAGTGACTTGACGGCCTCGGCCGCCTGCCATCGTATCTCAGCGCATTTCGCCTTTAGATCCCACAACACAAGCAGCCCGCACTCAAATGCAATAAGCAACTTAAGGGAGATAAATAGAATAGCGTTTAATATATATATATAACAATTAATTTAAGACAAAGAGGGAAAACCATATAAAGCTAAAATACTGAACCTTTTATAGCAAGGACCAAAGTCTCACGTACTTCAAATTATTGCACTTTAATCTCTTTATATGGTTTTCCATCTTAACGACGCTTAGGCTTACCTTGTTTGCATCCAATGGATTATCACATAACGCAATCACAGCACCTGGATGACTAGTTCTAACCCTAATTTCCCATATATTTTACATAAAGTAAAAGGTTTCGAATTAGATCAAGTGTTACAATCTCCATGATATATATACTCACACTTCAATTGCTTTATTCCAGTTAATAATATATCCACTAAGTGCAAATGTATCTATGTGAACAACGTGTATGTTTCCCTTCTCGGTGCCCACGTACAGCCATTTGCTGCCCACGGGCAGATGTATGCAAGTCACGCTGCAAGGATAGAGAGATGGAGGTTTGGATTATGTCATCATCGTTTAATTTTTTGAAGTATTTTAGTGTAATAAAATAATAAAAAAAATCGTTGAATGCCTCCTCATCTTAATGTACTAATACTTTACAGGCTTGTGTGGTAATTTGATATCAAATTAAATGTTAAAACTCACCGCTCCCTCTGAAATTTCAGACTCTGCACAATGCGCGGCGTCTTTTGGCGAATGTTCCACAAGTGAATGGTGTCATCGGCGGTGACGGTGACCAAGGCTCCCTCATTGACCAGAAATTGGGTAAAGAGCACAGCGCACTCGGATTCGCCCTCGTGTTTGGCATGGGCATCGACGCCAGGTCGTCCCAATCTATTATATATGTATATATATGTATATTATTATTTTTCCACCAGAATAAATCAAAGGTTAGGTCAATGGACTTTAACTTACATGCGAATGTAGCCCGATTTGTCGCCAATCGCTAGTATCTTTTGTACCGGATCGAAGGCAAAGGATGTGGGCGAGTATGGAAAGCCATGGCGAAAGGTCTGTGAAAAGAAAGGAAGGAGCATTAATGAGAGACTTTACCCTGTCTAGAAAGCATATTTCTTCACTCGAAAGCAAAACATTAAAGATAATGCCATTGAACATCGCTTATCTCTTGAAAAACCGATAAGTTGAGCGATTTCGGTGACACTTTCGACTTTAACTGTTAAGATAACATGACTTTATAATAATTTATTAATTTACTGCATCAAGTAGCATTATTTCGATGGCACAGAATATGATAATTTAAGTTATTTTACATTGGCTTTATATATAAATTGGTTTTTATACATATTTTTTGAGTCACTGATGGTTTTAAGCATCGGTTATAGCCGCGTGTGTCTTATGATAGATTCATTTGAGTGCAGCTACCAAATAAAACACCCGCTAGCTGCAACAGAGGCCTCTCTGGGGGTTTACACTCCTATTATTATTAATTATTCAATTGTTATTTAATAAATATTTTGGCTTCTTATTTAATGTTTGTATTAATTTGTTTTTTGGAGGCAAGAAGAGAATTTTATGCCAGACAAGAGATCCTTAGTTTCTTAAACAGAACCTTTTGAGGGAGCTTCCCATCAAAGCGACTCTGATTAGAATCTCATCTGACTAAAATCTTTCTCCAGCCGCCCAGTTATCACATTTAATATCACTATTTTAAATTCATCTTTAATAAACAATCTTTAAGGTAATTTTTTAATTATTTTGCTTACCTTTTTCAACGTAAAATGATCGGCCTTGAGTTGCTCCTGGATCTCCTGCTCCTGTCGTGTGGCTTGGGGCTGAACGCTTTGTCGAAATCCATCTAGAACTCCTTTGAATGTGAACTTTTTCATTTTTGTAACATGAGTCGTCCTCGTCCTCCGGCTACTCTATCCTTTTAGTTATACGATGCTCAGCTCGATTCGGTGTGCTCCAAGTCGAGTCCCAAGGTTGTGGCTATTAATTGGTAATAGTCGTCAGGGTTTTCGGGTGTGCCGTGTGTGTGTGCCGAGACAGAGTGGACAGGGTGCTGGGAGGGATGGATGGTTGGTTGGTTGGTTGGTTGGTTAGGGGGGGAAAATGGATCCTGCTCCGAGGAGAACCGAAAAGGTTGATGGGGATTGGTTTCTTCCTCTGCCGGCAAAGATGTCCCCTCCGAGTCCTTCGATGTTTAATTAGTGCTCCTTTCTAGATAATCGTAACTAGAGGAGCCAGAGCTGCTGCTCGTCTCAGTTCGTCCTTGTTGCTGTTGTTGTTGTTTGGTTGGTTTTTGGGAAGTGAAACTAGGTTAACAATAGTCGAATTATTAGCTACATTGAGAGATAGAGAGAGGGCGAGAGAGAGAGAGAGAGAGAGAAGAGGACATACAATTAGTACGGCGTTAAAACTAGTTGGTAACATAAATTACAATGTAGAGACTTTATGTTAGCTCCGCTTCCCCCAAAAAAACAACGGGTCACTGGGGTCGATTTTCAAACATGTTAGAACTTATTTAAACATGTTTAATTTCAAAAAACAATATCAATTAATTATTTAAGCATTGGGATATGTAGCTTTATTTAACTTTGCATTTAAACTACTCCTTTGAAGTCTCATAGAACATTAGTTCTTGAAGATACATATCTCTACTAATGAAAAACTTCATGAACAGACGCTGAAAAGTGCGCTGTAATAAATTGCAATAATAATACACCTTTTTAGAGATTTTCTACACCTTTTCCAGAGAAGCTCCAACTGTTTCTTGCTTTACTTTTCCCTGAAATAAACTTTAGGAATTCCAATTTCCTCCATTTCAATATCGGATATCGGAACAGCTGTCAGTGGGGCGATATTAAATCGTTTTTTTTTTTTTTTCTTGCAAATCTGACCGCATTGTTTTCCATTTTTTTTCTTTCTTTTTTTCACTTCTGCCTTTCTTTTGTTTTTCTTTTGTGGTTCGTTTGCCCTGGGCCTGGGGGATTACATAAACCTTGATTTCTATTCAATGGCACACGTAGATTAATTAAGAGCTTCCAAGCCCCCCGTTGCCGTCTCTGCTTCTATGTGTACATATAGTGTATATGTGGGTGCGAGGGAGATGGCTGTGGATCAATCTGTATAACGGGATATTGCGATTGCAATGGCGAAATGTTAAGCGATGATTGTTGGCTGTTAATTGAAAATCATCGTCGGCTACTACATTATGTTATGTTGCACAACGTGCCGAGTGTATGTACATACATATGTACATATATTTGTGGATATATGTATGTATGTATATGCACTTTTTGATGGCACACAAATCGATTTTCTTTTCGCACACACTCGCTCATCACTCATCGCAATGTTGTGTGTGTTGCGACTACACTCAGCTTTCCTTGTTTTATTCTATTCTTCGTTTTTACTTTTTTTTTCCTGTCTTTTTTTTGCCTGTTTTATTTGCAATTGTTTACGCTTTGACAAACACAAACACACGCGCATACACACATGTCCATGTGCAAAAAGGAAACAGACATACATACATACACATATGGGTCGCCAGGACAAATGCGCGCAACAGTGGGGCAAACAAAAAAAAAAAAGAGGAAGAGGAAGAGGCAGTGGCAACGAGGAGAAGAAAAACTGGGGGAAAGTGAAGAGGTGGGAGAAGGACAAGCAAATCGTTGGCATACTTTAAATTTTATTCCCGCAAACAAACATTGGTTGGCAAGGGGGCTAAGTGGGGGGTACCAAGTAAGAGTGGGGGAGAGAGAGCAGTATGATAGGGGGGGGGGGGAGCGGGAGGTGTGCGTGCGCGCGTGTATGTCTGTTTGATAATGACAGTGGTGTGCCATCCCCCTTCCACCTTCACTAATGATGATTAAAATGCCATTCGCCGAGAGAGAGAGAAAGAGTGCGAGCGAGGGAGTCGTAGGATGCTGTGTATGTATATATGTGTACGTAAGCACTTACCATCTCCTTTGCTCAATACCTCTCACACACTCTCTCTCTCTCTCTCTCTTCCCCGTTAGGAGACTTTCGGTGTATGTGTGTGTGTGTGTATTGATAACCTCGATTTACAGATTTTTCTCACAAATACATGCTTTTGGCTTTTTTGGCCCCTGCTTGTTGCTACTCACATGTTAACTACATCTTCCTTTTTTTTATGCTCCTGCTGCCTCCTTTTTCACCACTTGAGTGTATTTTAGAAAAAAATCCAACAACAAAAAAAAAGGGAATGAGAGAACACAAGAAAGTTTAAATTCCAGCACTTAAAAAAACCAAGCACCGTTACATTTGCTTAACAACTGTTCTCTCACAGGCACACACATACACACACACACACACGGGGGCACAGTTGGAGCGCGCTTTTTAATAAGGTTTATTGGATATTCTTTTTGACTTTCGTTTGGCTTTTTAAGGTTTTCCTTTAGATATTTGTGCAAAGTAACTTGGAGTTGAAATCTTTTTTATTCCTTACGGGGACAACAAAAAAAAAATTATGCTACTACTTGGCTGGTCAGTCGTTGACTGAACGAGCTGCTGCTGCTGCTCCTGGCGCTGCTGCTGCTGCTGCTGCAAAAGTGAGAACGCAGAGACAAAAAGAGAGCAGATCCTAGCCTAGGATCTCTCTGTGTGCGAATCTAACGCACTCACTCGCACTCGCACTTTGCAACCGCAATCTGTGCCTATTGGAAATGTAACGGGACGGACTTAAGCTGCTCTCTTCTGTGTCATTTTTTTTCCCTACTTCTTTTTGTTAGGCAGCTTTTCAGGCGTTTTCTGATTTTTGTTTAATTAAACAACAAAATCTCGGCTCGCAGAAGGCTCCCAATGGCTATGTGTGCGTGTGTAGCAGCTGCCATGTGAGCACCTATTGCGCAGGCTTACGCTATTCGCCCCCGAAAAACGTTTTCGCGTACTCGCCAGGATACAACAGCAACGACAACAACAACGTGCTGGAGAGGGGGAGAGGGGGAGAGGGGGAGAGGGGGAGAGGGGGAGAGGGGGAGAGGGGAGAGGGGGAGAGGGGGAGGGGGGAGAGGATTCAAAAACAATGCAAAATGTTTTGCGCGCGCGGTCACATGACACGAGTCCCACTAACACACACTCACACAAACGTGTACACATACTTACATACTACAGTTGCGGTCAAAATAATGGTTGTATTTGAAAGCTTTAAAGAATTGTATCCAAATATTAAGGATTTAATAAAAAATTATTATTAATTTTTTTTTTACCACATATAAAAGCTTTTTTCATTTTAATGAGCATTTATATTGCAATTGTTCTTAAGATTTTACTGGGGAATTAATTTAATTAATTTGATAAATCAAAACCTATCTTCTCACAGTTCTAAAAAAATCTTTCGCTTTGAAACACTATTACTTTGACCGCAACTGTAATTGGCACTTATACAACGGTAAAATTTGTTGAGGCAGCGCAGGAGCAACGTTCACACACACACACACATGCTTTTAATTTTGTGTGAAGAATTTTAGATTTTAAAGAAATTACTTTGCCGAAACATCTGGAACACGGTTTTTCTAAGGGAGGGGGGGAATCGCTATAGATATTATTTATAGGTTTTATGCGAATTTTTTCACAATTTTTGGCAACTTTATTTTTGGTTTTTATTCAAAAAACGGGGAAAAGCGCGTGCGGACGCGTCGAATGCTTGGCAGCGAAAAACTGAAACTGGGAAAGCACTGAACGGGAAGCGTTCGTTTTCCGCGCAGTTTCCACGGCACGTGTATGTATATGGGGAATACACACACATATATACACACACGTGTGTCCGTGTATGTATGTCCTGTTGGTTATGCAAAGCAGCCAAGAGTTGTAGGGTTGTCGCGACTGGCTTTGATTTGGCGACTGGCAACCCTGGCTGGCGAGCGGAGCCTTCTCCCCAGGAATCGATACTTGTTGTTGTTGCAAAGGAGGTGGCATCAGTTCTTCGTCCTCTCGTTCTCGTCTCCCTCTTTTTTTATATATACATACATATGTCTGAGATGGGGGAGTAATAATCCAACATGCGAGTACATACTAAAAAATTTAATCTGCTAAAATGTAAATACCACTACATTCCTTTCCCCCCCCCCAACCCACAGCTGCGTTCCACACACAGTCACACTCTGCTTACACACGCACACTATGGCATTTCCCCCTTTTGATAATTTGCATGGAAATTGTAATGAGTTATGTGCCGTTATGCGCCGTTATGTTCTTTAGGCGAGAGCGAAAGCAAATCCATTACCAATAACTCAGCAAAGTAGGCAATAAAAAGGAGCGAAGGCGAAGAGAGAAAGAGGGTGGTAAAGAGAGAGAGAGAGAGAGAGGAAGGAGAGAGTGAGAAATTCTTGCGTCAGTTGGGATATAGTCCAATAGGAAACTTGTTGGGCAGTAAAGATACATGCATGTAGAGGGAAGACTTTCTCACGCCTGATAAGAATCTGCGTGGCGGTGGAAGTACGATTACGAAAGCGAGAGTGAGATGGCAATCAAGTGATTCAACTGAAGCGAAAAGAGCAGCGGCAGCAATAACAACAACGCCAGCTTAACCGATGATATTAAAAACCAAAACGCAAATAACAAACATGTTGTCATTCCAGCACAAAAACGCACACACACAGAAACGCAAGCCGTTAGAATTTGCATTCCGACACACACACACAGGCAAATAGCATAACATCATCTGCCATCGCCCCCACACCCGACACCCTCTGCACCCGCCGCCCACCTGTTTCATGGCGTTTGCCTCCGACTGTTTCTCTGGACACTTGTCGCGCGCGCTTGACCAACCCAATCCGGGGTTGGACTGGATGCACGAAATACCGAAATCGAAATCAAAACGCAATACAAATAGCAAACAAAAGCACAACGAACACGGGAGAAATAGAGCAGTTTTTTTTTGACAACAGTTAAGGGTGCAGTGTGACCAACACTCGCTAAGTTTAAATATACCAATCAATTACACCATTACAATACTGAAAAATATGTTTTAGCACTAGCAAAGTTTCTCACCTTTTTCGTTTTTGGCAGTATTATATTGTGAGTCTTTCTTGGTGGATTTTCGGCGTTTCTTAAAGATAAAATTAACATTTTTATTTCCGAAAAATTAAAAAATTATTTAAATAAATTGAATACAATTTAAATTTCCCGCGTGCAGTCTGGCAGCGCCACTTTCATGAGCGCTTCAAGGGCAATTTTATCAGTTTTTAAAAAGTTCGTAAATCTTTAATTTAATCGTTATCAGCTCAGATTTACACAAATCTTCCGGCGGATAATGTATGCTTCAATGTGCCATTTATTTGGCGAGATAAATATAATTAAATTAAATTAAATACTTTGTCAAAATTATTCTCACAAATTTATTAATGTTCAATCACAATATAAAGTGTGGTTTCTGTTCTCCCCCGGGATAATAATGTGTTTTCTATACATAAATAAGGAATGGGTGAGGGAGAACAGAATCCCCCATTGGTCGGAAAGTCTCTGCAGCAACACACGTCATGTCATTGAATTAATTGGAATCCATGCGTACACGTCATAACGTATTTACAATATGAAAGACACACTGTCTTGTCACGCCTCGCTCCTCTGCTGCAGGGCACCATGGAGCAACCACTCGCGCCCACCTGGCTGCTGGCAACGCTTCAGCAGCTCCTCCAGCTTATGGGCCTTCGTCTGCTCCGTCACGTCTTTCTCCCGCAAAATGCTTGCGATCTCCTGGAGGACGGCCTGCCTCAGCAGATGGGGTTCATCCTCGGTAATGTGGCGCTTAACGTTCGCCACCAGCTCCTCGAGATGTTCATCAACGGCGCCGGGGAATAGCTGATCCATGGCGGTAGCCAAATTAAACAGATACTCGCGATTGGGGCCGCTGGGACCGGCAGAGCTAAAGATCTGCTTGGCAATGCTGGCCACCTCCCAGACATTACCCGCATAAGAGTCATTGGCCTGCGTGGCCACGTACATGATCACTTGGATGGGCTTCGACTCCGGCAACGATGGGCCGCTGCTATTGGTGGCGGTGGCTACTCGTGAGTATTCGTGGAACTCCAGGCTGCAGCGCTCGTAGCCGTTCTTCTCCCGATAGTCCAGATGGTCGAGCACAGCGGTCTTTTGGCTAGCCGCAATGCGATAGGCCACGCCGTACACACGGTCTTGGCCAGGATCACCCGGCAGCAGGGTGACAACACGGCCCGGTCGCTCCGGTATACCGCGATGATCGATACTGTGCTGGTAGAAGCGACGCTTGAAGCCCCAAACGAAGCCCCGACGCCGGTCTATATATGGAAAGTCCGCCTTCCACACCAGCGAGCCATAGCCAAAGATCCACACATCCTTGTCCGTGGCCAGCGGTGCCTCCACTTGATTGCTGGCCTCCGCTTCGAAGCTGTCCAGCAGTAGAGATTTCGGCTTGTCATTTACGCATTGCCCGTTGTTCTCCTTTTCCGCCTTCAGCTGTTCCTCAAAGAATTCGCTGTAGAGACGACTGGAGAGCTGCTCGGGCTCGAGCCCCGGCCCGTCTCCGGCTCCGGCTCCGGCTCCGGATTCTTGCAATCCCTGCAGATAGCCCAACATCAGCTTCGTTTGTCCAATAGTTAGTAATGACACTTCCAATCTAATGCCAATTCGATTATTTAGTATCGATTATTCAGTATACCGCCATCAGTGTTACCAGCATTCTTAAAGATAGGAAATGTTTAATATTTAAATGATTACTTTGAGCAAGGAAAAACAACAAGAAACTAACAAGGTTTGATATTTTTTATGGCTCAATATTTTTGATATTTATTAAACCACTAAAAAATACCTTTCGATTTGAAGTTTATCGAGCGATAACTTTAGCTTTGGCCGGCCACACTGCGTTCGGCCAATCGATTACGCTGTCGGTGGCTGGTCACTCTCGAGATTAGCGTTTTCGTCAAAGTGAGCAAATTTCGTTGTTTTCCGGTGCAGTTTTCGCTGGTGATTGCTGAAAAGTAAGTATTAACCCGTTTCGTATGTGCTTTAACCCATGTGAGTGTTGGCCGGTGACTCTTACATCTTATCTTATCGTTTTCACGCGTTTTCTCGCCTTCAATTTTTTCCCTCGGCACGGGGGCCCCAAGCCTCTAACTACACACACACACACGCATACCGGGAATCCGCGTTTTCGCCCCGTGTATGTACGAGTGTGCATGCGCGTGCTTATCTGTGTGTGTGTGTGTGTGTGTGTGTGTGTGCAGTTTGTGTTGGTATAGTTTTTTTTTTTTCTTGCCCAGCTTTTTAGCTGGCTTTTTGGCTTGTGCGGCCGCATCGGACTCAGAGGTAGCTTTCCAGCTGCATCTAGGGCAGGGCGGTACGTTTGTGTATGTGAGTGTGCATCCCGGAAAGCGTTCTCCGCATCCAAAGAGGCAGCCGTCTCGCTCTCAACGTTTTGCCATCTCGTTCGGCTTTCGAAGCCCCGCGAGATGTAGGCACACATACACACACACACAGACACCCATACACACAAGTACATATTCCAGCCGAGCCGAGCCGAGGAGACATGCATGGTCAGAACGCATCCTGCTGCCGCCAGACTAGGACACTGTGCCACAGTTTACGGCTAATTGAATTATCGAAGAAAACACACACGCACACTTACAATTTCTCTCTCGTTGCAGCTTCTGGCGCGAAGAGAACTGCGACGCAAAAAAGCATAGGGAAAGCAAGGAGAGGAAGGTCACCAGAGGAGTCCAGAGTAAAAAATCCACACAATAATCCAAGAGGCATGTCACAAGCGGAGAAAATGCAGGGACAGGAGCACGACGATGAGCAGTCCTCCGACATAGAGGTAAGTTTCGAACTAGGCCAGAGCTTCCCTCATGACATACATTTAACTCTCTCTTGCTTTCGCTTTCGCAGGAGTCTGGTGACGGCGTAGGGCGTGATGATCAGACCGACGACGATGATAACTACAATGAGGACAGCAATGGTGATATGCAGCAGGAGCAGAATGATAATGGCCAGAATGGGCAGAATGGTGGACAGTCGGGTGACGAGCAACAGGGCAATGGCAACAACTCCCAGCAGCAGCAGCATCAGCAGCAGATGGATCGCTCTAGTGCCACCAATCTGATCATCAACTACTTGCCGCAAGACATGTCCGATCGTGAGCTGTTCAACCTATTCAGCGGCTGCGGCCCCATCAACACATGCAAGATAATGCGCGACTTTAAGGTGAGTTTCGGGAACCAGGTGCACGTCACAGGTGCCAGTAAATGTAGTGGAAAATGTCTTCATTGTTGTAATTCTTTTCTATATCCTAGACCGGTTATAGCTTTGGCTATGGCTTCGTGGATTACAAATCCGAATCGGACTCTGAGGATGCCATCCAGAAGCTAAATGGATTCTATGTGCGCAACAAACGCTTAAAGGTTCGTTTCCTTTATTATCTCGATCTTCTCACTCTTAACATGTTCTGCATTGTCCTCAGGTATCGTACGCTCGTCCTGGCGGTATGGCCATCAAGGATACCAACCTGTACGTGATCAATTTGCCGCGCAACATCAACGACGATATGCTGGACAGAATATTTTCACCCTATGGCAGAATTGTTCAGCGCAATATATTGCGGGATAAGCTCACAGGACGTCCGCGAGGTGTTGCATTCGTGCGGTGAGTAGAAGATGCTGCAAGAACTATTAATGAAAAGTGGGTCAAAGGAGTACAAGAAGAGAAGTCAGAATAATCAAAATAACAAGCAAAGTCCCGCGCAAATATCTGGGTCAAGTTGGTTGAGACCATTGTAGGTAAACTTTTAAGTTGTATGCATATAATTTGAGGGTTCTTATTTGACCCATATACATATGTACATGTGATTGATACTCAATCGAAGTTTGGCTGTGAGGGCTTTTCGAAATGGGTCAATCTGGGATAGTTTGTAATAGTTATTTATAGAGTCAAATTTATTTAATTTCTGTACATATGAGGCATTTATTTAGCAAATTAGGATGTTGTAGTAATTGAAGGATTCGGAAATCGATTATAATCTTAATATATTCGCATATTTTGAATATATTTAATCTATAGTGACAATTTTTTCGATAAATCAAAGTTTAAAAAACGCATAACTCAGCCATAAAGGCACTGATTTCAATTCGGAAAGCTTTCCTGTGTTAGTTTTTGTTGCGTTAATAAATCTACATACTTAATATAACATTTTAAAAAATTCAATTTTTTTGGAAATTTTAAAACAAATTTTAACGATGTAACCCCTTATAAAATTTGGAAAAAAATTTCGAAATTTTATTTTCCTGTCCGAGATGGCTAGATCGATTCGACTGTTTGTGCTGATCAAGAATATATATGATTTATAGGGTCGGAAATGTCTCCTTCACTTTCTTTTAAGCTTCTGACTAAAATTAGAATATCATTTTTTGAGAGGATATTTATCCATATTTTACCATTCAAATCAAAATTTAAAAATCTCATAACTAAGTCAAAAATCCATTAATTTTAATTTGGTAAGCGGTCCTATGTTAGTTTTCCTTAGATAAACAAGTCTGCATACTTAATTTAATGTTTTAAGAAATTTGAAATTTTGACAATTTTTTCCAACTAAATTCATTAATTTATAACATAAAATTTTGGAAAAAAATTTAATTTTTTTTTTCTTCGCCAGAGATAGCTAGATCGATTCTGCTATTGATTCTGATCAAGAATATATAAGATTTATAGGGTCGGAAATGACTCCTTCACATAGTTTTAACATTTTGACTAAAATTAGAATATCCAGCAGGGAGTTTTTCTCTCGATATGCATATCTATATATATCCTTTTAACCCGATTATCAGATTGATTAGCAACTATAATATAGACTAGAAACCCATGGAAACTATAGGTACAATATCTTTATGATCTTAAATGCTAAAACAACCTTAATTAAAACCTCTTTCAAATCTGTGTTTGCAGCTACAACAAACGCGAGGAGGCCCAGGAGGCAATCAAGATGCTGAACAATACAGTTCCAGAGGGCGGACAACAGCCAATTTGGGTGCGCCTGGCCGAGGAGCACGGCAAGGCGAAGGCGGCTCAGTTCATGTCCCACATTGGGGGCGGTGGTGGCGGCGGCGGTATGAACGGTCCGCCTCACATGGGCGGCGGCGGTGGCGGACCTTTGCAGCCGCCTCACCATCATAACAACAACAATCACCACAACAATCCGCATATGCAGCCACACTACCATCAGCAGCCACAGCAGCATCCGCATCAGCATCACCATCCGCCGATGCACCACCAGCAGCAGCAGCAACACCACCACCACCACCAGCAGCAGCACCACCAGAACCATCACCACAACAACCACAACAATCACCACAATATGGGACCCCATCCACACCACATGCAGCAGATGCACCAAATGAACATGGGCATGGGCATGGGCGTTGGAATGGGTATGGGCATGGGGGCATGCCCATACACGGCGGTGGAGGAGGCGGTGTTGGTGGTGGGAACGGCGGCAACGGGGGTGGAGGCGGAGGTGGTGGCGGAGGCTTCCATCATATGGCGCACAGAGGTAGATCAAATAGACAGACACGATCTCAAAAACCGCATCCATATAACCATGCACAGAAATTTATTTAAAACAAAAACACAAACACACACACACACAAAACACACACACGACGACGACGATGATCATAATATTAATTTCTTTACACAAATATATTAGCTGCATCTCGCAGGAGGTGAAGTATTCATGCTGCCATTGCCGATGATTTGCTGCAGCCAACAACGACAACAGCAGCAATAGCAACAACAATCACAGAGCAATGGCAACAACAACGGCAACAACATCAACATCTGCTGCTCCAACAAGAGCCAGTGCATCATCAGTGCTACCAATCAGAAGCTGCGCCCATAAGCCCACAGAACCACCAGAGAACGCCATCCTCATATTCCTACCAGCTGCATGTCTACTTTCCTGTGTTTCCTATCCATCGGCAATGATAAGCATTGCTATTTCCGTGCACCACAAGCTCATATCTTCCTTCCCGTACCTGTGGTAAACTAGCTCCATTCAAAAGGATAACAATGGAAACACTCTGTAAATACGATTGATAACTACCATGATGCGGAAGCACGTCGCCAGGAATAGCCAGGAAATAGCCACCAATTTGGAATATATCGAAGGTGGAAATGATATTTGGTAGCTGATGAACAGCATGGCAAACAGAAATGAAGAATGTATAGCTGCAGCTGCTGTCGGAGAAGAAGGACGAAGAATTGAAAGTTTAAAGAAGCTCTAGAAGAAAGAAAGCAACTAAAAAAAACCCAAACTCTCTCGCTCTGTGGCCGCCTCTCTTTCAATGCATGAATATCTAAAGTTGTGATCCTTGTATATGTATCCATGTGTTAAGGATGAGGGCAAATCCCAGCATTGGCAGCAAGAAGCAAGCTACACAAGAGATGCAACAAAGCAAAGCATGTAAAAAATACAGAATATAACACTAGGACAACACATAATCAACATGTTGACGATGCATTGCTTTTAAAATAATAAGAAAGATGTAAGGTGTTTCAAAATACACACAACAACAACAACAAAAACACACAAAACTTGAGGTCGATTGGCGTCGAATTAATGAATACTGATTACAATAATTTGATTTAAAATAATACCTTGTGAATTTCTAAGTAAATAAGTTATAATTCCAATGAATTTGTATGAGAAGAGCATACGAAACGCTAAATAGAAGAATCCACTAAACTTACCCAAAAATAAGAACGCGACACCTGCGGGTGGACAAGGATATCGGACATGAACGGACATGATCGGACGGTTAATTTGTAAGATTTTAAGGTACCCCCAAACACAACAAAAGGAACAAGAGTTAAAAACTACATCTAAATAATAGTAAATAAATTATTAATGTACAACTCACACACACACTCGTACACTAAACACACAGACAGAACCTTGTATCTATATATAGAAAAGTATATATATAATGAGGATATATATGGCACTTATATATATGAATGTATAAACACCTGATTTCCGCAAAATTCTAACACAAAAAAGAAAAACTCTTCTAGAGTGCGCTGAATATGAAATAAATTCGCAATTTTCCAAACCAGCAAAACGACGGGACAGCATCAAAGTCCCAATTTTTTTTTTTTTTTTTATTTTTTTGATCATAAATAAATAAAGATAATCCTTAAACGTAATCACTAGTCCCATAGCATTACAAGCTAGCAGTTAAGGTAACGTATTTTTTTTAAGTTTTTTTTTCCAGACCTAAGTGAAAGAAACAAGCGAAAATACATGTATTTTTACAGTTAACTCTAAGGATAATAAACAAATATCGAACAAATCGTGACAAGTCTTGACATGTGTGTGCGCGAGCAAGCGAGATAGACACAAGGGCGGCGACCCGAAACAGAGCGAGAGAGAACATGGGTACAGTCGCTGAGCAGTGCCGTTAATTGTACAGGTACGGTACTGTTGTGATGTATGGAGGTTTTTTTTTAGCTCCGTGTTAACTGTTAGGTACTAGCTGTTAGGATCTCCTTTTTTTCTCTTTTTTTTCTAGCTGAAATTGTAGTCTACACCTTAGGACTAATCGTTAAGTTAAAGAAAGCTGGGAGATGAAAGAAAGCCCATATGCTAAGGAATCTCAATGAATAAAATCATAAAAATACAATACAAAATGTATAAAAAAAAACAGAAACGATAAAACTGAATTTTTGCAAACCTAAAGAATATAGTTTTTTTATTCTTGATACAAAAACTGATAGTTGATATTTGATTATTTACACAAACACCACACAGACAACACACACCCATTATCAGAGAAACAAAACTGCAAAGAAAAAATATATTTTTATAAGTTTCTACCAAAATATATAATTATATATATATATATCATTGGATGTACATATTTTTCAGTGACTGGATGCCAATGGATTGGGAAAATCCCATTAAATATATACATACATTAATGTGTGTTTTTTTCTGACCACTTATTGGAAAAGTTTCGCCTTCACTTTAAAATTTTCAATTTGCCGCCTTACCAACGCCGTATCTGGCAACCCTGATCGATAGCTATCGATAAAGCCTTCCAGGCCAGAGCGAGAGGAAGCTATTGTTCGAATCAGCTGCTGGAAACGACTGTGTTGTTGGAAGGCAGAGCAGCGCATTCCAATGTCAATTAAATAAGCAAAAATAAGAGTGAAGAAACGGAAAGAAAAGCAAGCTAGACGGACGAACCGCACCATAAAAAACGAAACAGCAACCAGGCAGGTGTACGTACCATCACCATACCCCCTCTATTGTCTAACCGAGGATACGATATCAATCAAGACAGAGGAACAGCAGCAACCAGCGAACTGCGGACTACGCAATAAGCGATAACGACCTTCCCACCGTCACCACCACCACCACCCCCTCGGATCACACCAATATCCGCACTCCATTTTGGGGAGAAGGAGCTGGAGGAGGAGCACCATCATCACTGCTCGCGATGCCCCAAACGAGGGCTGCGGCCGCTGAGGCGGCGGCCGCCGGCAGTTCTAACGGTCAGCCGCTGGTAAAGATCGGACATTATCTTCTGGGCGCCACCCTGGGCACTGGTACCTTTGGCAAGGTAAAGATCGGTGAGCATCAAATCACGCGCGTCAAGGTGGCAGTGAAGATACTCAATCGTCAGAAGATCAAGAGTCTCGATGTGGTGGGCAAGATACGCCGTGAGATCCAGAATTTGAAGCTCTTCCGGCATCCGCACATCATCAAGCTGTACCAGGTAAGTTGAGACATAGCCGTGGCCAGGTGTTATGCTTAAACAAAGGCATAGCGGAGCTTAGTACAAGCAGGTGCCATTCTCCTCCAGTCTTTGTTTATATCAGAAAATTATACCCAATTCCAACTAACCCCCTTCCATCCACACAGGTCATCTCCACACCCTCGGACATCTTTATGATCATGGAGTACGTGAGCGGTGGCGAGCTCTTCGATTATATTGTAAAGCATGGAAAGCTGCAGGAGCATCAGGCCCGTCGCTTCTTCCAGCAGATCATTTCGGGCGTGGATTATTGCCATCGTCACATGATCGTCCATCGGGACCTGAAGCCGGAGAATCTGCTGCTCGATCACAACATGCACGTAAAGATTGCAGATTTTGGACTGTCAAACATGATGCTGGACGGCGAGTTTCTCAGGACATCGTGCGGTTCACCCAATTATGCCGCACCGGAGGTCATCTCTGGCAAGCTATATGCCGGTCCCGAGGTGGATATTTGGTCATGCGGTGTCATCCTGTATGCCCTTCTCTGCGGCACTCTACCCTTCGACGATGAGCATGTGCCCACGCTGTTCCGCAAGATCAAGTCGGGCATATTCCCCATACCCGAGTACCTGAACAAGCAGGTGGTGAATCTGGTGTGTCAGATGCTTCAGGTGGATCCCCTCAAGCGTGCCAATATCGAGGAGATTAAGAAGCACGAGTGGTTCCAGAAGGACTTGCCCGCCTATCTGTTCCCGTCGTCCATTGAGCAGGACTCCAATGTCATCGACACATACGCTGTGGCCGAGGTTTGCACCAAATTCGGGGTGAAGGAGAGCGAAGTGCATAACTCCCTGCTAAGCGGAGATCCACACGATCAGCTTGCCATCGCCTATCATTTGATCATTGACAACAAACGTTTCGCCGACGATGCCGCCAATCAGATCAATGAGATAAATAATTTCTTTGTGGCTGGATCACCGCCACCGCCGCCAATGGCGCCACCTTTGCCCCAAGCCAACCTCGATCATTATCATCAGCAAGCGCCATTGGCCACGGTGACCGTAGGTGGCGGTACAGCGGCCAGCTCGGGCACAGCCACACCTGTACCGCCCGCAGCAGCAGCAGCAGCACCTGGCGTTGGTACGCCCGGTAGTGCCGGCGGTAGCACCATTCGTCCCCATCCAGAACGTATTGCACCGATGCGTGACCGTCAGCTGGCCATGTCCGTACAGACATCGGGTGGCGGTGCCTTCCCGGAGAAGACGGCACGTGGCGGTACTCCAATTAAGCGTGCCAAATGGCATCTGGGTATTCGATCGCAGAGCAAGCCCAATGACATCATGCTGGAGGTATACCGGGCCATGAGGGCCCTCAGCTACGAGTGGAAGATCATCAATCCGTATCATGTTCGTGTGCGGCGGCAGAATGTCAAGACGGGCAAGTTCTCCAAGATGTCGCTGCAGCTGTACCAGGTGGATGCCAAGAGCTATCTGCTGGACTTCAAGTCGTTGACCAACGAGGAGGTGGAGCAGGGCGACGATGTCATTATGGAGAGTCTAACGCCGCCGCCGTTGAGTGTGGCAGGTGTGATGCCGCTTCAGCCGACGGGTCATCATACCATGGAGTTCTTTGAGATGTGTGCCGCCTTGATCATACAGCTGGCACGATGAGGAGGATAAGGAGGAGAAGGAAAAGGAGGAGGAGCTGTTACTGCTGCTACTGTTTGGTGGTCTTGGAATCTTCTCGGTTTTATTTTTGGCGGTCTGCCTGGGGACCGCCCTGAGGATTGACCATTAGGACCCTTTAAGGATGACGCGCACACAGAAGGATCCCACAAAGGAAGAGAAGCAGAAACCGGAGCAGGAAGGCACTTAAAGATCCTTCTTGCCTTGGCCACCACCACCTCTTCTCTTGTGCGATCCTTTGTGTGATGCTTAAAATAATCTAATTAAATTTTTTTGTAATTCGAATGCCGCCCCGCCGCCGCTTCTTCCGCTTTTTGCAATTTTTTGCGTAGCTCGATTTTGGCGGGGGGCTGAGCTTCATCGATCTTGTTTCTATATTCTATATATTTCAGTTTAAACATGTTGAATTATTATTATCACTATTATTATTTTAACCGAACCATGAATCCAATTTCTATTTTGTATTAACGAAGCGAAGGATGTGTGTGTTGTTTAGCTTGTAATATCCCTGAATAAAGCGATCCATCAAATAATCTAAAACAAATGAGAGACTTAAACTTAAAGTTAGCCATAATTAAGATTAGTTTTTATTGCATTTTACATTTTGTGCACTCGCTCGTAACATAGTTCTCTGCCTTTACAGTCTCCCGTTTCCATATGTAAAATCATCAATATCTGTTCCTGTTCCCTGTAATGGACTCCTTACTGCTTCTGTTGCTGCTTCCGCTTCAGCTTGTCGATCAGCGTCTCAATGCTATTGGCGTCCACCAAACCAATGAACTTGTCCACCACAACGCCATTGCGGAAGGCCAGCACCGCCGGCACGGCCTTCACTTCAAAGGTCTCGACGAGATCCAGGTTCGTCTCCACGTCAATCACCGCCAGATCAATCTCATTGGAGTTCTCCAGCAGTTCGAGCATCTTGGGCGTGAGTATTTTGCAGGGATCACACCATTCGGCATGGAAGTTTACAATCACTGGATTGTCGCTGTTGATCACCTGTGGATTTAATATATATAGTATATAGTTTAGATATTTGTAAAGTAGTCAGAAGCTTAAAACTAAGTGAAGGAATCATTTCCGACCCTATAATCCATATATATTCTTGATCAGCATAAACAGGCGAATCTTTCTAGACATTTAGGAAGCAAGAAAATTTTTGAAATTTTTTTTTTTTAATTTTTAAGCATTTTTTTCATTGTTCACATTTTAAAAAATTGACAAAAATTGCAATGGTTTAAAATTGAAATATGATAATGCAGATTTATTAATCTATTAAAAACTAGAACAAAACAACTTTCCGATTTGAAATTAATGGATTTTTAGCTTAGTTATGAGTTTTTTAAGCTTTAATTTGTAGAATAAATTGTCATATAAAAATATCGAAATATCGACTCAAAAAATGGTATTCTTATTTTAGTCAGAAGCTTAAAACTAAGTGAATGAGTCATTTCCGACCCTATAAATCATATATATTCTTGATCAGCATTAACAGGCGAATCTTTCTAGGCATTTAGAAAGGAAGAAAATTTTTGAAATTTTTTTTCCAAATTTTTAAGCCTTTTTTTCATTGGTTCACATTTTAAAAAATTGACAAAAAATGAAATGGTTTAAAATTAAAATATGGGAATGCAGATTTATTAATCTATTAAAAACTAGAACAGAACAACTTTCCGATTTGAAATTAATGGATTTTTAGCTTAGTTATGAGTTTTTTAAGCTTTAATTTGTAGAATAAATTGTCATATAAAAATATCGAAATATCGACTCAAAAAATGGTATTCTTATTTTAGTCAAAAGCTTAAAACTAAGTGAATGAGTCATTTCCGACCCTATAAATCATATATATTCTTGATCAGCATTAACAGGCGAATCTTTTTAGCCATCTTTGGAAGAAAAATAATTTTTAATAATTTTTTCAACTTTTTAAGGTGTTTCATCATTAAAATCTTAAAAATTTCAAGAAAAATTTAAAATGTTAAAAAGTATAATTTTAGTATGCAGATTTGTTAACATATTAAAAACTAGCAAATCAACGTTTTCCGATTGGAAATTAATGAACTTTTGGCTTAGTTATGGAACTCCAGCTCTGCTGGAAGATAACTTCCAGGGTGACTTCCCTTGTACGTATGTATGTACCTGTAGCTACGTCATGTACTTGTTGCTACGTCATGTACCTGTTGGAACGTCACCCTCCAACGAGATGTACTCTGTACTCTTTTGTAGATGCGAAATGTGTACATAGTTTTGAGGAATGACTCATTAACCAAAGTATTTAGTGACAACTTCTTATCACTACTCAGTTAATCCCACTGCAGTGGACAATCTAGAGGTGCTAGCCACACTAGTTCCTACTTTCCAGCTGGCCAAAAGGGGTTCAAACCGGTATCGCAATGCCTCATTACGGTTTTTGTTTTTGTTATTGTTTTATGTATTTTTTTTTGGTAGTTCATTTGCATACACGAGCCAAAGGCCAACACAGACATAGAGAGGGCAGCTCTCTCACACACACACACACACGCACATGGAGCAGAGGAGCTACGTCATGGGGTGGCTCCTCCTTCCACTGCCTTCCCGCGCCGGAACACAATCACGTAGGCCATCCATATGCATTCCCATTTCCATTCCGCATACCAAAACCATTGCATAATCCTGACTCACCTTCTGATCGAACTCGTAGTGATCCTTGATGACTAGCTTCTTGTGGAGGCCCTGCGACTGCGACAGGTACTTCTGCGTGGCCCTTGCCGCCTGGGGTGCCACCCTTTGGCAGCTGCTCTGGGCGCTGGAGGCTCCACCGATCAGGCAGGCGGCGGCCAGACGTGGCGCGATGCCCTCGGCGGCGATCTTCAGCATGTCGACGGTGTGTGGGTGTAAAGCGGGGCGGGGGCACGGATTTCGCGAGTAGTTGGAACAGGCAGTGATTAGATTATGTTTTCAACCAGTTTTCCTTTTTCCCCTTTCGTTGGCTCTCCAATGTTTGTTTATAAACTGAAGATGGTATCGATTTGTATTTTTTTGTGTGAACATCGATTTTATTGCTTTGGGAAGGTAGTGAAAATGGAAATATTAAACTGGAAATGGTTTTAAACTTTGATGACGCTGGAACGATGCTGCCATATGTGGCTCTTTTACGAATGCGCGCCAAGCAACATAATCACAGAGTGGCAACACGGCGGTTTTACTTGTCACCCAATTGGAGTTTCTTATATTTTTTAACTGGAGCACACAACAACAGTGAAATAAATCTGTACATTTTGCAGAGGCAACTTTATTAAAATTCGAATAAAATGTGTTTAGTTTTGAGTAAGTTTATTATTATAACCGGCAGCTAAAAACTCAAATTGTCTTGTGGCGCGCGTTTTCCCTTAGTACCTCTCTTCCTCTCTTGCCTCTCTCTTTCTCTTTTTGCTGCCCTTCGGTTTTCCCTCGGCTCGAGCGGCAACAACAAAAATCTGGCCATTTGCCGACGAACATTGCGCGCGTTCGGTACTTCGTGTGTTAATCGTGTTTTGGCAGAGTTGCCAATTGTTATTGTTCTTTAGCCGCGCTGCCGCCGCCAGTTGCCTGTGTTGTTGTTCCGTGTTTTTCATTTTCGGTTTCTTTTTTTGTTGCCTGTGCCAGCGCGCGCGTTCGTTCCCTTCCAAGCAATAACACGCCGCCCGTTTTTATTATTATTTCGACTCGCGGCACGGTTAGTTTAGTTTTAGCGCGTCCCGGTGGGCCTCCGCTTGTGCTGCATTTGGTGTATATTTTTTGTTGTGCTTTTTTGTTTGGTTTTCGTCGCCTCAACAGTGCATCCTGCGGCAGGCGGCATTACCCCCACCCCCTGCTGCTGCTGCTGCTGCTGCTGAACCCCACCACTCACACATGTTGAAAGTCGGGCTCAGAGCGTGTCTGTGTGCTGTTCGTGTTCGCGGAGCATATGGTTGTGTTTGTGCCTGAAGAAGAAGCAGAAGCGGCAGCGGCTTGCGGAAAAATCTGCTGCATAAGCGCGGACTTGGGAGGAAAAAGGAGCGAAGAAATCAAGGTGCACGAAGCGGAAGAAGGCGAAACAGAAGAAGGAGAAGGTACAGCGGAAAACGTGAGTTTTTAACAGTTAACTGTAAGAGAATCCCCAAAATACCCGAGTTCTGATTTCCAATCTCCAATTGGAGTTTCAAGCTGTGTCTGTGTATATGTGTGGCCCGTGTGCCCCTGTTTGTTTCTTCCTCTGTTTGTGTGTGTGTGTGTGTGTGTGTGTGTGTGTGTGTCCGTTTTCCACCCCAGGAGCGCGCTTGAAAATCCAAAACGCGGATTTGGACTCTCAGCCTCGATTCCTAGCGACACATTCCTCCCCCTTTGGAACGTCTTGAAACGTGTTTCGGGATTTCGAGATTGGCGCACAGCTGTTTGTGTTTGCTCCTTGCTCCTTTTCTCCGCCTTGCCTCTTCTTTTGCTTCTTGTAGTTGCGATTTATGACATCAACACACGCTTTACGCACACACACACACACACACACACACACACACACACACACACACACACACACACACACACACACACACACACACACACACACACACACACACAGACAGACACGGCCTGAGTCAGAGCCCGAAGCTTTGTCCTTAGACCAAAGCTCTCGTGCCGTCTCGCTTTAGAGCCTGATTCGTGCTTACGGCCGAAGCTGAAGCTCAAAGCCTGGCTATTGTTGTTGTTGTTTTCATTTCTGTTGTCCTCGACTTCGCCTCGAATTAATTGTTATCGATTTATGTCCTGCCTCTTGGGCCGGTGCCTCTTCTAATTTTCTTATGGCCAGTTTTTGTTTCTCTTCTTTTGAGACATTTTCACTTATTGGAAAGCAAGTCTCTCTGTGTATGTGCGTGTGTTGCCTTGCTTTCCAGTGGAGTTAACGGTTAATGATCTTTGCTGCTAGCTCCTCGCTCTCTCTCTCTCTCTCTCTCTCTCTCATTTTTTTGCACAGAGAGCCAAAGTAATGAGAGAAATGATATGTTTTGCTTTTATTTATTATTAATACCAATTTACATAGCAAATATTATTAATTGCATTAAATTTAACTATATTTCGCATATATTTTGAGCTATTAAGAATTAAAATATAGTGTCTATATTATATAACATGCAATTTTTTATAAATATAATAGCAGATCAGTATAACTCCAGTTTAGAATATTAAAAAACTCATAACTAACCCAAAATTTATTAATTTCGATTCGGAAAGTTGTTATGTTCTAGTTTTTAATAGGTTAATAAATCTGCATTTTCAAATTTTTATTTTAAACTATTACAATTTTTGTCAATTTTTTAAAACGGTAACAATGAAAAAAAGGCTTAAAAATTTTACAAAAAAATTTCAAAAATTTTGTTCCTTCCTAAATGCCTAGAAAGATTCGCCTGTTAATGCTGATCAAGAATATATATGGATTTTAGGGTCGGAAATGACTCCTTCACTAAGTTTTAAGCTTCTGATTAAAATAAGAATACCATTCTTTGAAAAGATAATTCTATATATTTTATATGAAAATTTATTCTAAAAATCAAAGCTTAAAAAACTCATAACTAAGCTAAAAATCCATTAATTTCAAATCGGAAAGTTGTTTTGTTCTAGTTTTTAATAGGCTAATAAATCTGCATACCAAAATTGAATCTTTAAACTATTTCAATTTTTGTCAATTTTTTAAATGTGAACAATGAAAAAAAAGACTTAAAAATTTGGAAAAAAAATTCAAAAATTTTGTTCCTTCCTAAATGCCTAGAAAGATTCGCCTGTTTATGCTGATCAAGAATATATATGGATTTTAGGGTCGGAAATGACTCCTTCACTAAGTTTTAAGCTTCTGACTAAAATTATAATACCCAGCTAGGGTATAAAAAACAACTAAGACTAGAAATGTTTAGGGGGCGGTCGATGGGCGAAGAAAATGTTGTATGATGCTTCCACCTAAAAATACCGATCATCTCATCATGTACCCCTCTCCGCGATCGCCAAAAACCGACTCGATCTGAACCCAGATCACCTCGAAATAGAATGAAAATAGAGGAGCTCCGGACTAGCCGTCAGGGGGGGTTTTCCGTATCTAATTTTGGGCTCGTCTTGAGCAGGTTCCTGTGTGGCTCAGGCCTCTGGTTTTCCCCATTTTCCCTTTTCTATTTACGATCTGTTTATATATAGACTCTGTTTTCGACTTCGGCTTAGCTCGGTTCGGTTCGCTTCTGCCCCCCCCTTTGGTGGCAAGGTATCAGAGGGAAGTTCAATTACCTTTAAATGGATTATACAAACAAGCAGGAGGGTTGCCTTTTTGCCCCAAGGAACGGAAGCCTCAGAGACACACACAAACACACACTTCTCCCTCCTAGATAAAGCAGAGCAAATAGAGACACAAAGCAGAGCAGAGCGGTCTGATCTGATCCCGACTCCCATTTCCACATTTTCCTTTCCCCTATCACCTTCTACAAAGAGAGAGAGAGCCCCGCCCGCCCCGCTCCGTTAAACAACTGTCGGGGCGAGGCGATGCTGCCAAAAATAAATTTGAACTCGAAACGCGAGGAAAAACGGCTGCCAAGAAAAACCAACGCAATGAATTCGCCTCCAAAGACCGGCCCATGATGATGATGATGATGATTGTCTCGGTCTCTCTCTTTGGGCCTGGGCCATCGGGTGATATGTGTGCCGTGCCTATATAGCCCCTAGACTATAGTCTGTAGTCTGTAGCCTGTAGTCTGTAGCCTGTAGCCTGTAGCTGTATCTATAGCTATAGCTGTATCTGTATCTTTAGCTGCGGCTGTAGCTGTGCCAGAGCAACCCACCCAAAAACCAGCCCACTGCCTTATCCCACACTTAGAGAAAGTGCCTCAAGGTTTTTGAGATTCTCAGACATTAAGTCTTAGAACTGTCAAGGAACCTTGGTTCTTTATCGAAACTATAATTTAAGGAAAGTTTCGGGTAGTTAATTAGGTTTGGGTAGTTAATTAGTTCGATTTGGGAAAGTTTTGAAAATCAGGAAGTTAAAATATGGTTATAGACAGGTGTTGAAAATCATAAAGTTTATCTGTAGTCTAAGAAAAGTTTTCAAAATCAGGAAGTTAAATTATACATAGTTTATAGGAGGTTTAAAAAATCAGGAAGTTAAAATATAACATAGTTTATATAATGTTTTTAAGTTAATAAAGTTAAACTGTAGTTTAAGGTAGGTTTTAAAAATTCAAAAAGTCTAAGAACGAAGAAACTATATTTTAGGAAAGATTCGATAATCGGATAGTTAAACTATAGAGTTAGGAAAGTTATGAAAATCAGGAACTTAAAATATAGTTATAGACAGGTGTTGAAAATCATAAAGTTAATCTGTAGTTTAAGAAAAGTTTTTAAAATCAGGAAGTTAAACTATAGTTTACAAAAGGTTTTAAAAATCAGGAAGTTATAATATAGTTTAATAATGTTTTAAAGTGAAATTAGTTAAACTGTAGTTCAAGTTAGGTTTTGAACTTCGAGAAGGTAAAATGTAGTTAAAAAAGGGTTTTAGATTCAAGTTGGGGAGGTTTTTCATTAGGAAATATAAAAGAAAGGATGGGTTAATTGTATATATTACAGAAAAAGGATTAGAATAACTATATTTGCTTACTCTTCAATCCTTTCAAAGACTTCTTTGTAATAAAGGTCCTTCAGGATTAGATCTTATCTCGCCCAGAAACCCTAATAGAACTTTAGTGTTGAGTCATCTTACACCTATTTGTATAATACTTGAATCTAGAATACATTTCTTAAGATAAAAGATATATATATTTAAGATATATGTACAATTTAAAGATATATTCCACCCAATTCTAATTTTCCCTTAGTTTCAAGCATTTTCTTGCTGTGCATTGACGGCGAGGCCAGGCCTCAAGGATGGGAAGTGCATTCTCCGGGGCGGGTGGAGGAGCTAGGTGGCATGGCCTGGGCTAGCTTTTCCAAGAGATGACGCAACGTGGCACGGACGGAGAGAGAAGTACGTGCCCGACCTCATTAGTTTCGAGTTTCCAAAAAATGCACGCACACCGAAGCACACACACACACAACACACACATACACAAAGGGAAAAGCCGAAAAAAGCGAAAATGGAATATGGTTTTTCCATACGCCATCGGTAGCCATCAATTTCCATCATCGTCGAGAGAGCTTAAACAGCGGCTATTTGTAAACGTTGGCAGATGCCTAGCGGCCCCCGCACCGCCCACTCCTTTGGCCAAAAAGCGATCCAAACCGATCTCTCGTGCGGCAGCGGCTCTCTGCAGCTTCTACCCACTACCCATCCCTCCCCCAACCCACAATCCCTCCCCATTTGCCGCCCGCCCTCGTTGGCCACTTTGGGGCGGCTATTTTTAAAGTCGAAAATACTTTTCATCTGCCAAGTTGCGAGATGCCAAGTACAGTTGCCTGCTCGAGCGATTGGACCAGATCAGATGAGATCAGAACGGTTTGGATTGGGTTTCGGTTCGGTACGGTTCGGTTTGAATTGGTTTTCGGTTTTTGGTTCGGAAAACGGTGATCAAAATCCAGGATCTGGTGATCAGGCAAGCTGTCCATCAAGGTAGACTTAAGCTTTATGTATATATATATCAAATTTCTGCTTTCTAGGAACAAGATTGTGGTTTAATTAGGTCTTGGTATTAATTGGGCTTACAGAGATTAAGAGTTTAAAAGGTTTTCTTAAAATAGAAGTCATACAAAGTTAGCTTTAAATATTTAAAATAAGAAATTTGGAGGTTAAGCTCCAAGGCTTTACCTTAGGACTTGTAGGAGTTTTCTTCTTAACTGAAGTAAGGTTTAGTAAGGATTTGTAACTACTTTATATAATATAAGTTCTCTTGAGCCTTTTAGAATAGGTAAAGATACCTTTGAACTCTAGCATATCCCATAGATACATACATTTTATATAATTCAAGATATTTTGAGCCTTTTAGAATAGGTAAAGATACCTTTTGAACTCTAGAATATCTTACAAATACATTTCATATAATACAAGTTCTCCTGAGCCTTTAAGAATAGGTAGAAGATACCTTTAAATTCTAAAATATTTCAAAAAGATACATAATAATATAAGTTTTCCTAAGTCTTTTAAAGGTACAGATACCTGTAAGCTTTAAAATATCTTTGAGATACAAGTATTCTTGGGTATTTTGTTGTATTTACTTAAGTTAAAGGCTCGTTTTTAGAACCTAAGCTATATAAGCTTCTTCCAACTTCATTTTCAGAATATCCTTTAGCTTTGCCTTTTTCGAGTCCTTTATCCATGACTTCCTCCCACCTAAGCCGACAGGACATTGCCTTGAAGCCTTCCTTTTAGCTGGTTTTTCTTTTGGTTTTTCCTGCCTGCTGGCGCTGCTTTTCATTTGGCTGTGACTGTGATTGAGTATCTGTCTCTGTCTCTGTGTGTGTGCAATGTAAAAATTGTTTTTCCGAAGCTCCGCTCTTTGCCTCGCTCGCTGGCTGGCTCTCTCTTTGCCGCTCTCCGCCTGGGACAGGCACTCAGATACAGATACGGATACTTGGATACACGGATACTTGGATACACGGATACTTGGATACTAAGGCGCAAGGCATCAGCACAGATACAGATGCGCAACGGTAGAGCAGAACTTTCGGTTGGAAATTTGCCAACCCCTCATGGCGCTTTCCAACGCAACGATCAGCTCGACCCCAATAGAACGTGCACCTTCGGAGACGGAGACGGAGATGGGTGATGGGGGTGGGGGATGGGGGGTGGGGGTACGGAGACGGGGCAGAGATGCGGACGCGGCCAACAGGCTGCGACGGCGGCTGCTGCTGCTCGGACCGCTCGAGTCGGTATTCTGTGGCTGAATTCCGAATTCGCCTTTCAGTATCCAATTAGACTGCGACGGCTGCTCTTTGAGTGCGGGCCCAAAAGAAACGGAGCAAAAAAAATAGAAAGAAAGAAAAACTGATTTTTGGGGAAAAACGGAATTGGAAATTGGAGGAGAATCGGGAAGACTCTAAAGCGGAAAATCGGGCCAGTATCGGGTAAGGCTCTTGCTTTCGCTTAGCTCTCAGGTCTATTTCGGTTTATTTTTTTGCTTGAGGGGGAGGCATCTCCCTCCTCCTCCCTTGTTCCCCCTGTTCTGCCTTCTTTCTCGCGCTTTTCCGAAGATTTTTTTTTTTTTTTTTCACAATTTTCCACGGCTGCTGCGGCTGTTGCTGTTGTTTATTTGTAATTGCCGAGCAGAGATCTGCGTCTTCTTCTTGATTGCTCGAATTGTTGTTGATTCGTCATAAGCATAACATATAGCCCCAAAGCTATACACTTCTATATCTATATCTATATATATAGATCAGGAATCTGGCTGCGTTGCCGGTTCGTTGAGGTCTTGAATCACCATGATTGGTTTTTGGTTGTGAAAATATCCTGAAGACAGGCTTACAGGAACTTTGGGGGATAAAGGAAGGAAGATATAGTCTAGTTCTGGGGAGGGACTTTAGGATATTAAGGGTTGAGTAAGCTCAGTGGATAAATATGTACAGGAAATATATAGTCAAGTTCTGGAGAAGGTATCTAAGATAGTAAGGGTTGAGTCAGCTCTTTGTTTATTGGGGAATATCCTGCCATATAAGTCTGCTATAAGAACTAAAGGTTTTTCTCTTGGAATATGATTCACTACAATCAATTCTCTCAAGTGGTCCTTATGACTCCAAGGATCTTTTAGTTATTCATATTACCTGAGCATTTTTAAAGGTTTCCATAAGATTCAGTTAATATTTAAGACTTTCCGGTAGATATATGTAAGTTCCAATAACTCCCAACTCAAATGTAGGGACTTTTCTATATATCCTTGTGGAACCCTTAAAGATCAGGTATATACAAAGCCTTTAGTAACATCATTTATTTCCAAATCATATTGATACGGAGCTATCTCCTAGATCCTTGTTTGATATATAGAAAAGCTCTTTCTTTCTTTTTTTTGGGCCAACATAATAAACACGAAGCTTATCGAGTGTGGTGGATCTAAATGAATATGGTTCGGTGGTTCGGTGGTTCGGTGTTACGATGACTGTGACTCACTCAGTCCAAGTTCTCCGTGGAGCCACAAGCCCACCTTAAGGCGATAAGATAGTGCCTCAGGGCAGCCATTCATCCAGATTAGATATTAGTTTCAGTGCGGTCTCAGCCAGGGGTTTCGATAGAGGAGCAGGTCTCTGATCTGCCCAGATAAGGTGCGCTGAGAATAATCATGGGAAGCCGAGTCAGCGTGTGCTCGTGCTCCTCCTCCCGTTTCTGTGTGTACTATAATCGTATCTGGTGTATCTTTCCCTGCGCTTTTCCCTTCTGCTTTTCCTCGGAAAATCCACAGAGCCCTCCCTTTTACCCTCACCTTCAGCCTCCCATCATCATCGCGACCGATCTCTTTGCTCTTCTCAGTCGCTGCTGATGTTTACGTTTTGGCTTGTTTTTGTATTAACAAATTCGTTTCTCTGCGTATTTTTAATTTTAGTCCAAGGTTTGAAACAACAACTACAACGACAGCCGAGAAGTGGTGAGGTGGAAAACACGGGACGGGGGAGGAGGTGCTGAGGCAAAGAAGAAGCTATAAACGATATCAAAGCCAATAGGAAGGAAACGCACACAAAGAAAAACCCAAAGACAAAGTCTTCGTCGAGTCTAAAAGAGAGAGAGGAAGAGAGAGCGCCAAGAACGAAGAACGGAGAACGAAGAACGGAGCGTTGTGAAGAGCGTGCTAAACGGGAAGAGAAGAGAAGGAAAGAGAAAAAAGAAAGACGAAGATAGAGACGGGAGACAGCTGCTGGCGGTCAGCGACTACGTTGGACAAGACGTCGTTGAAAAGAAAATATTGCGCATACGCCGCGTGAACCGAAGGCAAAGAACAACAAGCCGTCCCGCGCTCCTCTTGAGAACCGTTCAAAAAGGATAGCAAGAAAGCCAGCTCAGAGAGGGGAGTAGAAGGAGTAGAAGGAGGAGTGAGAGAAGAAGCAGGAACAGGAAAAGGATCAGAAGAAAGTAGTAGAAGGAACAGGAGCTGGAAGGAGCCAAAAAGGTTGCAGGAGCAGGATCAGGAGCAGCAGACCCGAGGAGTGAATCACACTGGAGGGCAGTGTGACAGAGAAACAAATTTCAAACTGCAGCCGTCTATAAATCCAGGTAAGAACCTCCAACCCTTTTTTTAATAGATAACAATAAGGCTAACAGGATAGAAGAATAGGGTAAACTTAGGGCTGTAGATAAGAGAACTTGAAAGGAATGTAATAAAAACAATAATTAGGGTAGTATTTACTATATTATTTGCTTGCAGCTTCAACTAAGCTTTTTATTTACCAGGAAATTAAGCCTTATATCTAGGGTTAATTATATATTAATATGTTAATTGTATTTATATGATATACCTTATCTATATATATCTAAACTCTTGTTTTCATATCATATGCTACTTGAAGCCCACCTTAAGTTGAGCTTAAGTTGCACGGTGGGAACCTCAAGGGGATATCAAACTTCGACTCCGAGCCACTGTATCAGGGGGGGGGTAGGGTTCCAGGTCCCAGGTCTCAGGTCTCAGGTATCAGTTCCCCGTTCTCCGATCTCAGTTCTCCGGTCTCCCGTCTCCCGTCTCTGGTCTCCGGTCTCAGGTCTCAGCTTTGCCCAAAAGAGATTGCGCAACGCCGCTCACTCGCTCCCACTCGCATGGGGTAACCCAAGAGCGGAGTACGTGTGAGTACGCTGTCCGATTTCGATTCCGATTCCATTTCCATTTCCCCCGATTCCTATACCGATACCATTGCTCTCTGACAGTAAAAATTGTCAACTCAAGCGCTGCGGTTGGCAAGACGCTCGGGGGAAAATGCGTTCACAGAGCGGTGGCGGAAAGCACGCGCGGATTACCCTAGCCACAAGAGCTATTCCACAGAGAAGGGGCCGGCCCCAGCGGAGAAGTCACCATCATAATCATCATCATCATCAACCAACCTCGGTGGTGATCACGAGGAAGAGGAACGGACGACGACAGCCGGCGGCTACAACTACTACGATCGTGGGACGCAGGTGAAATTGTTTAGAACCGAACTTCATTCAGGTTGCAGTCTTATCAATGTACAAACAAAGCCAATTAGAACTTGAGACTTGCTCAACCCGATGACACCTATATACAATATATATATCTATGTCCCCTTGGAGTTGTTGTGGCAAAGGTAGAGCTGTCCCTCCCTTAACCCGCCCCGATTCCCAACTGGGCTCGCTTTTATCAGCGGCTTATCAGTAAATAATTCCACCTGTTGGTGCGGCTTGCGGGAGTGTATGTCTCTGTGTATGTGTGTGTGTGTGTGTGTGAGATAACTCGAGGTGAGGTATCGCATTAAGCAACGCTTGTGCGCCACACACTCGCAGTTGTTGGGTCCCCAAAAAGCAAACTTTGCTTGTTTGCACTGCTCAGTTGCGTTGGAAATGGAAGCCCCATTGCCAGTGGATTTTGTAGATAACCAAACCGAGACCCACACTTGTACCCACACACACACAGCAACAACAACAACAACACACCGTACCCTTACACACCCGCATAGGGATAGATACAGATACAGAGACAGTCTGCCTCAAATCTTATCTTAAAACTTGACTCGACAGCGGCGCAGTGACGTAGACGCTTAGCAATGCTTGTCCGCTTTCGATTCCAATGCTCAAAAGCACTGCGCCAGTTTATCGGGCAATCGATCATAGTTATATATTGTATATACATTTTGATTTCTTTTTTTTTTTAGTAAACTCCCACCTCAACTCCCTGGAAGCCACCCATGTTTGATTGGGGACTTTTGTTTTAAGGTTATGTTGATTGATATTCAACAAGAGCGTTCATGTTTGGTACTTACTACCCCCCTTTTTTGGAGCTTAGGGATGATATTAACTTAAGAGCACTTTGATCCTTGTTTGATCTTCATTATTATGCCTGCTTTTGTATTCATTTGAAGCTATGTCGCCAATTAATTAATTAAAACTTTGTGTGTGGGCTTATTTACAGTTATTTCCCAATTCAATTTCAGCCCTTACTCTCTCTCTCTCTCTCTCTCTCCCTTTGGTTCTCCTTTGCATTCCACACGTCAGCTTATGGTGTCGAGGTTTTACAGTTTCGGTTTCCAGTCTCAACCCTAACTTTGTTGCAGCTTGAGAGCGGCTGTATGTGTGTGTGTGTGTGTGCATTTATTTATAAACTGCGCTCACTGTTGGGGAGCTTCTGTGCCTGTTCCTTACCCCACCGCACCGCCCCGCCCGTTGGGTCTCTCTCACTCTGGCTGTGTTCTTGAGCTTCTTCTTATTCTTTTTCGCCTCTTTGCACGGTTTGTTGTTGTAAACTCGGTTTCAAGCTTTAATTACGTCTCACACACACACACACACACGAGTGTATGCTTTTATTTGCAAACAGTTGAACTCATTCAGGCCCAGCTGTTGCTGTGAGTGTGTGTGTGTGTGTGAGTGGCTGATGATGGGAGGTGGTGCAGGAGGTGGGCAACAGTCTATTCTCTCCTTTACGGTTCTTCTGCGGCGGCGGCGGCTGCTGCTGTTGCTGCTGCTGCTGCTGCTTCTTCTTCCTTCTCTGCCCGGTTTCCTATTTTTGTTTGCCCAGCGTCGACGTCGCTGCCCCTAGAGTGTGTGGTGTGTGCCCCGCTGCACTCCAACGGTACTTTCTGAGCGTGCCCGAATTCGAATTTCAAATTCAGTCGAGCTTTGCGCCCCATCGCTGCCGCTCGCGAAGTTAGTCGCGCGTTCGTGTTTAGTACGTTCGCGCTCTCTCCCTCTCTCTCTTACTCGCACTCGCACTCCGCGGGAGCTCTCTCTCTCTCTCTCTCTCTCTCTCTCTCCAAACCCCCGACTCCCATTCTCTCACGCGCGCCCTCTTAGCTCGGTTCTTGTCGCACCCATTGCCACCCACTTTGTCTTTGCCCGCTCGCCGGCTTTGGCGCGGCCTCAAAACGTGAGTACCACCCTCCCTTCTTTACCCCCCCCTGCCCTCCCCACTCACTGTATCTGTGTGCCATGTGTGTGCGTGTGTGTGTGTGTGGGAGAGTTTCATACTAATCTCCAGTTTGTAAGATTAGATATCGGGACACACTCAGCACACGGTTAATGCTGGGTTTTTGTTGTTGCCGCGGGCATAGCCTGATTTTGCTCCATCCTTGCTGCTTGGTGGGGTGAGAGGGAGGCGGAAATAACTCCAGAGCAGCTTTAGGGGAAAGAGAGAGAGAGAGGGAGAGATCCTGGAATCCTGGAATATTTTGAGTGTCTGCGTCAACAGCTTTTCACCTTCACGCACGCGCTTTCCTCTACGCTTGTGTGTGTGTGTGTGTGCTTGCCTATGTGTGTGTGTCTCAATTACGCCTGCTTTTGTTTTTTATTATTTTATTAATTAAAGAACGACAGATACCAAAACAGCACATAAATATGTACAGTTCTATATGGGAAATTGAAAGATAGAATGTAAAGTAAGTTCGATTTCCATTGGAATGAATTGGATTCCCACCTGGAATCCTTTTTCCAGGAAGGTTCATTTTTAATCGATTGTGATCAATCTGTTTGTTTTAGTGAAATCGATATCTAAATGGTTATATTCTTGTCATAAACTTTCTTTCTGGATTAAAGTAGAGTCCTTTAAACTAAATCCCGATTTTCCCTTATGGCTTTTCTTTTGCAGCTTCACGACGTCGTCTTGCAAACGGCTGAAAATGGAGAAGACTCCCCGGTACACGCAGCGGGAGCGTAATATGGTGCTGAGCTATGCCGCCCAGTACAAGGATGTGATTGAGAACAAACGCACCGATGCCGAGTCCAATCGCAAAAAGGACGAGGTCTGGCTACAGATCGCCAAGGACTTCAATTCGCGGGTGTATCATCAGCGCAGCGCCAAGCAGCTCCGTCAGCTATACAAGAACATGAAGCTGCTGCTCAAGAAGGATCTGTGCGGCGAGGATAAAAGCAATCACTCCTTCATGGATCTCCTCAATACGCTCTCGCAGCAGGAGTCTGTGGCCCAGTATATAGCGGAGCAGCTGTCGCCGGAGGGAGCGGGCGGTGGTGGGAGCAAGCAGGGAGGACATGGCAATGGCGGTGGCCAAGGGAATGGACATCATGGCGATGACTATGATGACTCCAAAGTGGGGGTAAGTCTCAACACAAACACTTTATTTAACTTTACTTGAGTTATTTAAGCAACAGAAGTTCGGAAACTTCTAAAATCGATTTAAAAGAAATACATTATTGTATAATTTTCGCAATCTTTGCAGCTTTACGTCGAGGGCATGGACACGGATGTGATCGTCATCAAATCGGAGACAATTAGCGACAACGAGCAGACGGATAATGGCATGGATTGCCTGGATGACGACGATGATGATGATTGCATGAGTCCCAAGGCGCCGGAGGTATGCCTGGAGGAGGAGGACGATGTCCTCTTTCCCACAGATCTCCGTCAGTTGCAGCAGCAGGTAGCCACCGGTCCCGGTGGAGTTAACTCCTCTTCCGCCTCCTCATCTCTGCTGCCCGGTAATAATAACAACAATGGTGGACTGACTGATCCCCTTCGCCGTGCCGCCGCCAGTTCACCGGTGTGCTCAACAAAGACCTCGGTTAGCTCCAGCGGCAGTTATGTATCATCAACGCCCAAACCGGACATTTCCATCCAGACGGTGGGACACATACGAGTGGGTAGCTTTGCCAACATTAATAAGACGCTGCAGAACGGCAGTGCCGGTGGTGGTGGTGGTGGTGGCTCCTCCAGTGCAACAGGGATCTCGTCCAGCAATGGTATTGGCGGTACCAATGGCACTGCCGGCACCGTACTTCCCCTGACAGCGGAACAAGTCCAGCAGCATACCCTGCTCAACGGTCTCGGCCTCTCCGCCGTGAATCCACCGCAGTCGCTGCAGGCTGCCATCAATGCTGCCACAGCCTTTGTGTCTGCCACCTCATCTTCGGTGGGAACTACTGGAAATCGTCGGACACCGCCCACGCTCCAACTGCCGCGACTTCAGCGGGGTAACAACAACAATAATAGCAACGCCAGCAACGCTGGCAATGGCAACACAAACAACTCTTCCGGTTTGCATAGCAATGCCAATGGAGTGCAGCTCCTGCTCAATGGGAATCATCATCAGCAGCAGCAGCAGCAACAGCAGCAGTCGCAATCGCATCACCATCCTCATCATCCACACCTGTCGCGGGACAAGACAGGCGGCGTGGCCATTGGGGCAGCGGGCAGTTTCAATGGCTACAATGGACTGGCGGTGGCGGTGCCCTGTGGCAACCTGAATACCAGCAGTGGAGCAGGTAGTGGAAGCGGCAGCGGAGTCAGCAGTGCCAACAGCAGCGGCATTGGCGTTGGCCTTGGCATTGGCGTGGGAAACAATACTGTAGTCAGTGGAGAAGGAAGCAGCAGCAGCGGCGGTCGAGGAGTGAAGAGACCGCATCAGGAGTTAATGGATTCGCTGAAGATTGAGGAGGCACAACGGAAAATAGATCTGCTTAATGCCCAGACCGATTACTGGCTAACGCTGACGCGCAAGATCAACAGCCAGGAGGGAGCAGGACATTTCCCGAATCCAGCGTGTCCGTGTCACTTTCCGGGTGCCAGTTTTCTATCCCCAGCGGTGGTCCAAGCAGCCGCCGCTGCTGCCGCCAGTGCCTCGTCGTCCTCCTCCGTCGCCGTCACCGCATCCGCCAATGTTAAGCCAACGCAGGACAATGGCAGCTAGTCCGCAGCGAATGGGGGCGGCACTAAACCTGGGAATAATAATGGCCTGGTGGAGATCGTGTGGAGCGGCAGTGAGAACAGCAGCACCAGCAGCGACATCATCTCCATTGTGGACATAGATGACGAACGGTCGGATGCGGATGCGCAGGATGAGCATGATCACTCCGACGACGACGATGATGATGACGACGATAGCCAGGCCATTAGGGATTTAATGCTGCCCAATGTAGATGAGGATTACTCACAGGATGCCTTGGTCAAGGATGTGGGCGTGGTGGGTGTAGAAACGCCGCCACCAACGACAGTCCATGCCACTTCGCCGCCGCCAGCAAAGCGCTTGAAGCGCCAGGAAGGAGGTGCCGCCAGTACTAGCTCTAGTTAAGCATGCCAGGCAGCCCATACCTTAACCCTACCTTACCTTACCTTAGCCACTACTATTTACTATATATATTTATTTACGCCTAGTTTTCGAGAGTGCCAAAAATGAAGGAGCAGAAGAAGAAGAAGTAGCCATCAATGTTAATGCTTGCCAAAGGACCAAAGGCTTCGGGCCACAGGTCACAACCACTCGCCGCAAAGCCAGCTATTTATTTGTTAGCCTAACATACAAAATCCTAGGGTTAGTTCCTTTTCTATTAATATATTTTTTAGTTTTTTGTTTAGGTTTTTTTTTGCTGAAATTCGTTGGTCGATTTTTTTTTCCTGTCATATATTTGTTTAAGTGATTTTTATAAATGTTATGTTTTAAGGGGGGAAGGAGAGAGCTGCTACCAAAAAGAGAGAAAAACACAAAACAAAAAGGAGATGATAAATCTTTAATTTGTACATTTTACCTTGTAACAAAATTTAGACGTAAAAACAAAACATACTTAATTAGCATGAGAGAAGTTGAGAGAAAACAAAAGAACGAAAACTGTACAAATGTGGTTCCTAATCTAGTCCTTAAACGAAACAAAGAAAAGTTGAGAAGAACAGAAGAGAAATAAGAAAAGAAATGAAGGCAAAATCGAAGCAGAAAGCGGAAAGCAGGAAAGCAGAAAGAAGGATGCAGAAATTGTTATGCATAACCGTGAAGTGAACTTGTGTATTATTTATAAATATATAGATATATATATCCCTTTCCTGCTCCCCATGCCCACCCAATCCAAAATCGCATCCAAAGAACACTAGCTAATTAATTGTACTTAAAACAAACAAAAAACCAAAAAAACAAGTCAACAAAAACCCAAAAATCAAATCTGTACAAAATAAAGGGGAAGTACCAGTGAGAAGAAAGAGAGATGGAGTTCCCATGGTGGAGCAGGAGAACCTTGCTAGTCGTCGCTGCATAACTGTATTTTAGTGTAGTTATTGCTAATTGTACGTGTAACATACAACAAATAATTGCCAGTAACACCCAGTAACCACAATTTACAAAGAAACACAACAAAAAAAAACACAAAAAATCGAAAACAAAACAAAACAAAAACTATTTATACAACTTTTGTAAACAAACAACTTATTAATAAAACAATGAATTTACTTTGTGGCCTAGCCAGAGTGTTTCCAATTCATCATTAAATTGATTTATTTTCAGAAGTCAAATTTAAATATTTAAATGAACCAGGCGCGCCTTAAATTATCGATTACGGCATAGCCAAACGAGCATGCGCAGTGGAAAGTTCAACGCCTATCGATATATCGATTCTGTAAACCGCGCAAGGTTTGTTTTTAAACTTGCCCGGAATTTAAAAAAAAAACAATCTTGATTTGAATAATACTCTAGGTGAACGCTTTATTAACAGCAGAAAAATTAATATTAAAGTTGTGGAAATCCTTAAACGCTAACGAAACCCCTACAAATCATTTGGCAAAATGGACCGCTGTCGGATTCCAGATCCAGGAGCCCAAGTTTCACGTAAATCCCCTACTCGTGGTGATGCGAATAGTGCTCATAGTGCTCCTCATGATGAACCGGCTCCTCGTAGTGACCATGCTCGTGCAGATGCGATTCGCTGTGATTCTCCAGGACCAGGCCGTGGTTGTGATTATGCTCCGTCTTGGGATGCAGGATCTTCAGCTTCTGCTTGGTGCCGCCAATCTCGATGGGCTTCTTCACCAGATGCTGATCCTCCTTCTTGATGTAGACGGGCACGGCATGGTAATGATGGAACTTGACGCTCTGATGGGACGTGGCATGCTTGTGGTCCACCTCATGATGCAGCTCCGTTTCCTCATGCTCGGGCTCCTGATGATGCTCGTGCCCACCGTCATGGTGTTCGTACTCCTCATGCTCCTGGTGGTGATGGTGATGATAATCGTGAATCTTAAGAGCTCCGCTAGCAGCCAGCAGGACGAGACAGGGAAGCTGTAAGATTGATTTAGGAAACTGAGTAAGTACATATTCCATTCAATCTCTATAGTTAGTATTCAAAGGATGTAAATATTGAAAGCTAAGGATATTTAATTCAGGTTTTACTTTTATATATTTAATGAGATAAAAGTTCACTAGAAAAACAAATAAAAACTAGGTTTAGTCGCAAAAATACTTTTATGTGAAGCCTCAAAAGTTTAGGACTTTCTATAAAAGTTTTCCTTTTAATATATATATATATGTAAACTCAAGTAAACTGTATATATTTTCTATATTTCACATATATAATATAGATTAGTATCCTTTTTGGTATCCTTTAATCCCGACTTAAATATATATTCCATTTGTATTCTCTCATGCTTACAATGAATTTCAGCATGTCGTTTGGTTGCTTAAATAGCTTGTTGATTTGTTTTTATTATTAAAACACAGTAATTGCACAGTAAACACTTAAAAAAATTAACGTTTTTGGCGAATCGTTTGTTACGCGAGGCACTCTCCTTGACGGTTGCTGGTTGAATGTGGCTCGATGTTCGGTACTAGATTCGATTTATACCCAAACTAAGAGAGCTTGGTGAAACGAGAAATGTGCAACAAATAGTGGCAGCAACAACAACAACCAACATATGCAACCGTTCGATGGAATGGAACGGCAACGAACTTCAAGTCAAAGTCGAGGCGCCGCCGCAGCCGCTTGCTTGTAGTAATTTATGGCCGCTGCCACAATTGTTTGGGAAATTCGATTCCCGATGCATATGCGTGCGTTAGTGGTTCAATTAAAGCGGAGATTACGTATACGTATATGTGGCCGTCACCGTCATTGGAGGCCTTAGGCCTTAGGCCAGTTTCCTAGCGCCCGCCAGGAGAAAACCTGTTGCCAATCAACTGGTTAACCACCCAAAAACCACACCAAAACCAGTCGATACTGCTGCCATGCAAGTCCAAGGCAATTAGGCAACGACACAAAGGAAAAAACAAATAAAAATAATCAAACAAAATCGACAATGAACCAAAAGAAGCCTCGAAATCCTTTTCACCATGGAAATGATATCATCATCCTCATTTCCACATTTATTTAAATAGCTCAAATTCCGATAGGCAGGTTTCCTGGGTGGCCATTTTTGTTATCATTAAAATTCTACTTGGCTATCGATAGCGATCTTAGCCATTTCCAACGATAGACTGGCTTCCGCATTGCTTTCCAATTTGTCACTGTCGCTAATCGATGATAAATGATGGATTTGAGATCGAGAGTGAAGGGCTGCGCCGCGCTGCTCCGCCTTGCCCAATCTCATCGATGCGTTGTGGCAACATGGGTGAAAGGTGCGTCTATGTCTGCGATCGAAGCAATAGTTTGATCCCATTTTGAGGCAAGGCATGGCAATGAGCAATTAAAATGCAGCACAACACTATTAGGTAACGCCAGACCAGGCAGGTGAACGTCCGACATGGGAAGCTCACGGAAAAGCCCCGAAAAATCATTCAAAAATTGCTTAAAGCCACCGATTTATTGGGTTAGTGTGCTCTGGGCGAGCTACCCCTCTCTATCTCGCTACTCCATCGTTGAGTGTGTGCACATATAATCGATTTGGAAAAGTAAAAGTAAACTGCTTTTCCCAGCCCCACAATTTGCATAACAGCCATAAAGCCACCAGTCGTGGCACTGCATCCACATGGATATTTCAATATTTAACTATGTTTGGCTCCATGTTTCTTCATGTCCAACATGCAGTCTGGTGCTCATGTCGCCTTTGTCTCGCGTGGAGTTTTTAATTATAAATATTATATAACATCGCAATTAGCAGGAAGCGCCCGCTTACTCAAAGAGGAAAATTCCAAAAATTCAAATTTCAAAACTGGTTCAAGGATAACAATCGATAAGGCATTTAATCAATCGATTCTTGCGGACCCGCCAGTTGCGCAATTTGTCCAATTGGCATTTTCCGTTTAATTATTTATTTTTGTATGTGATTATAATATCACAAATTATATAAATTTCAAAATAGATAGTTGCAAAATTTACTTAAGTTTGATTGTGTGGCAAAGCGGTTTAAAAATAATGCTGCTAAATTTAAAAGTTCTAACAGGTAAGCTTATCGATGTTATCGATGATGTGAGAGCTCTAATAAGAACTGCAGCATCTCTAGTTCTAATCGTTAATCGATACTTGGCGCGAGGGTGCAGTGTTCAAGGAAAAAAACAACGGAATCGGGCGGCGATAAAGCACGAAAAAAAAGAGCTATACCCGAAGAAAAGCTAACCCTGTCATGGATCTGGGCGACTCCAAGGTGCGGGCAGTGCGTGTGCTTGGCCAGGGCACCTTTGGCCGGGTGTTCCTCTGTCAGCAGCGCGACGCCGATGGCGAAACGCGGAAGGTCTGCGTCAAGCGGATCATTGTACGGAACCCGAAAACCGAGCTGCGTCCCATCATGGAGGAGGTGTACATCATATCGCAGCTCCGTCATCCGCACATTGTCCAATTCCTGCGCTCCTTCAACCACGCCGGCACAGTTAACATCGTGATGGAGTACGTGCCCAATGGCACCTTGCGGGACGTGATCGAGCGCCTGCCGAGGGGAGGATCAACGGGCGGTGTGCCTCAGAGGCGTCTGTTGCGCTTCTTCTGCGACATGGTCGTGGGCCTGGAGTACCTTCACATCCGTTGCGTCATCCATCGGGACATAAAGCCGGAGAATATGCTGCTGGATGCCAACGATCGGGTCAAGATTGCAGATTTTGGCATCTCTAATGTCCATGCGCCCAGCACACAGCTACAGGTGGGAATGGGCACACCGCTTTATATGTCACCCGAGGCTATGGCCAGCCAGGGCAAGGTGGACTTTAAATCGGATATATGGTCACTGGGCCTGGTCCTTTACGAACTGTGCCTGGGCAGGAGCCCGTTTACCGCACTTCTGGAGAAGGGAGACGCTGCCACCGCAACTCCTGCCCAGCTTCAGGCAGTTATCCAGGCTCTGGTCCGTCCCAAACTCGACTGTCAACTCATCCGGAGGCTATACAAACCCGTGTGGGCACGCATCTGCGAGCTGATGATCGTCTACGAGCAGAAACGTCGCATCTGCCTTCCAGATCTCTACCATGTGGATGCCGGGATCACAGCGGCGCTGTACAGGCAGTATTTCGACTATAGATACTAGGAGGAGTGCTATAAGCTATATTAGGATTAAGTAATAAACTATAAGACTGTGTGGACTGCAAAACCCCATCCAAAGAGAAGTCTCTCTGCAAGTGGCATAAGATTAACCTTTAATTTCTAGTCTTTCATCCCAAGTACATCCCTTAAAGCTTCTGGCCCCGCTGCTCCTGCTGCTGGATCTTTCGCTTGAGGCTCTTGACTAGGGCATTCTGTTCCAGCTGCTGCTTGCTGCGCTTTGGAGCCGCCGCTGGCTCATCGTCACCGCCTTCGACTTGCTCCTGACGTCGCTTCAGCTTCTCGCTAATGATCCGCTGCATGCCCTTGGTGGCCTTGTAGTGGGAGTGGGTGGGATCGATGTTGAACTCGTGCGACTTGTAGACAGCCTTGAAGCGTGAATCCTCCACATTCAGCTGGAAGTCGTCATCAGGTTTCTCCGAGGATTCCAACTGCTTGCCCTTTGATTTCTTCAATTGCTGGCGACGTTTGCGTTTAGAGCCGCTTGCCGACTGCTCCAGCTCCTCCTGCTTAAGGATCTTGCTCAGGCTGAAGTGCTGCTTCTCATCCCGTCCATCGCCATCGTCCAGCAGCAGTTCCAGCTCTCTCTCCTGCTGTTGCTGCGCCTCGTCCTCCTCGCCGGTCGTCTTACCCTTGCCCTTTGACTTGTTCTTCTTCTTTTGCTGTTTCGTCTTGGGCGGAGCATAGTCACCGTTGGCAAACTCCTCGGCAAAGTAGGCATCGTTTAGATCAATGCCATCCGGGACCAGGGAGGCATCACTGTCATTGCCGTCGTCACCCTTGGCTTCGAGCTGCTTTTGCCGGCGCTGCTCCTTACGCAGCTTGTTCTTCTCGCTGCGCTTCTGCAATACCTTCTCAATGGGCGTCAGTTCGGCGGTGGGCTGCTGTTGCTCCTTCTTCTGCTCTTGCTCTGTCGTGTCATCCGTAACATCCCAGGACATTTCCATTTCGTACTTTTGTTCCTTCTCCTGCTTCTCCTTTTCCAGAATTTCCGCCAGCAGGTTCTTGTAGTTGGCAATGCGTTCCTGTTTGCTGGGCTTCTTGGGCTTCGCAAGCTTCTCTTCCTGCTGTGGCTTCTGTTTATCTTTCTCCTCCTTCTCCTCCTCCTCCTGATCATCCTGTTCCTCCTCTTCAGACTCCTCTTCGCTGCTGTAGGCCACTATCTGGCGCAGTTCCTTGTCCGTTAGCTTGTCCACCTGGCCGCTGGATAGCTTGTCGCCCAGCTCTCGCCTGTCCAGCGCTGTCTCGTCCCAAGTCAGATCCACCTTGGCCTGCTGCAGGGCCGTTGTGGTGAATTGGCGGGGCTTGTAGTTACTGGCATCGGGCAGTTCGTGGCACTCGTCGGTGGGTGTGTCCTCCTCAAAACTGGTATCGTCTGGGATAAAGCGCAAATCGACGCGCGTGGCAGAGCTCTCGTACTCAATGCCATCGCATTCCTGGTACACCTTGTCGGCTGTGGCGACGGTGTCACATTCCACCACGGCGTAGTAGTAGCGAAGACGATTCAACTGATACTTTCGTAGCTTCTCCATGTGATAGTCGTCGCCCTCCTCTGCGTCACTGTCCTGCTCGCGCACCAGCTCATCGTCAGAGTCGTCAGACTGCTCCTCGGTTCGTTCCACTAGCTCCTTGGGACCGTGCACCTCCTCCTCGGCCATGCGTGCCTTGCCAAACTCCGAGGGATAGATTTTAACGCTGAGAATACTGCCGCCGGGCGGCAGGAATGAGCTCAGCATGACCATTAAATCCTCGGCACGAATGCGATCCCAGTCCATGTTGCAGACGGCCAGGCGGCGTGTGCTCTCTTCGGTGCTCTCGGCATCGTTGTCCAGCTCGCCCCACACATGATCGATCTGCAGCTCGGGGCCCTCGTCCTCCTCATCGTCGCTGTCCTCGTCGGAGGAGGAGTCTGTCATGAGGCGGCCTTCGCCACGGGCATAGTCCACGTCCGGGTTGGTCAAGCGCTCGCGCAGATCCTTGGGCAGTTCAGAGTCGGAGCTGTCATCACTGGCTTCCAGGGCGTCGTTTTCCTGCAAATCGGCTATGGCTAGCTCTTCGGCGCGACGCTCCTGCAGCTCATCGGATGCCTCCTGGTCCTCCTCTTTCTGTTCTTTCTCCTTGTCCTCCTCGTCGCTGTCGCTATCGTTCTCATCCAGCTCGTAGTACTTGCGCAAATCCTCGGCATTGCTCTTGTTCACTGGACGGCCGTACTTGTCCACGGTATATTTTACCTTGAACTTGTCGTCGGTGAACATGCCCTGGAACCGCTTGTCGATCTTCACCTTGCGCTGCACCTTCGGTACGCCCCGGAACCGGGGATCGGCCAGCAAATGCTGGAAGCGCTCATCCCGCCAGATGCCGTTCTCCTCCGTGTTGTTGCCGGCCCCATTGGCGGTGGCGGCTTTCGGGGTCTTGACAGCCTTCGACGAGGGTGTGGCCTCTACCTTCTCCTTGTTCGCCTTCTTCTTGACCAGTTTTCCTGACTTTTCCCCTTTTGTTTTGGCCATTTTAAGCAGTGGCAAAACGCACGGAACAAGAGAATGTCAACAACACGTGCGAGGCAGCGGGTGTAAGGCGTTGCCACCCTGTTGGGAGAGAGGAGCTATTGGCGGTGCAAGATAATGTAAAGTTATCAAGTGTCTTTAATTTGCATTTAAGCTTCTTATATAACAATTATATCATAATTATTATTATCATAACCGTTTGTAACAATCAACATACATAAGTAATACCTACGATTTAATTTTAAACATGCCGCCATTTGGATCTGGCAGCCCGGCAATTTTTTGATGACGCTCTCTCTCAGAGAGCTGAGACAGAAAGCTTATCGTCATCAACAAGGCTGAGTATGACCATATCGTTAGCGGCGCCAATCGAACTGCCAGTATCGGCTTGATTTATCGCTACCAAACAAGGTAGATTTGTCTGTTAATTTGTCAAATGCAACTTTTTTAAGTAGCTTAAAAAATACCAAATAGAAACAAATCGAACTAATATGAAATACCGCCAACTGAATCTGGCAACTTTGTTACCTACCCGATCATTGCCTATCGGCCCGCCATCGACTATCGTCATCGATGACGACTTGCTTATTCGTTTACAAATGAGAAAGTGTTTTTATTTTACTTTTTACACATTTACCGACACAAGTTAATGCTAAACGACCAGAACAATGAGCAGCTCCAGCAGACAGTAAGCCAGAGGCCCGTCTGAGGCCCAACCTCTGCCGACTGACTGCCCGCCCGCCCGACGAGACCGCCTGCCTGCGTGGATGGATGTGTGGTTGTGGGTGCAGAAATACATAGGAACACCAATAGAAACCAAATCACCAATCAGTTAATTGCCGCGATTACGCCGGAATAGACGCATAGATAAGCCCACGCTAGCGAGCGCAAGCAAAGGTGAGGAGAAGCAAGAAAAAACAAAAAAAGAACAAAGATTGGCAGAGAACGCCGGAACGAACGGCGGGGGAAAGCGGAACAAGCGGAGAAATCAAGATGAGTAATAGCAACGCTGCTGCTGATGGCAATAACGGTAACCGACGCACCGTGGACTGGCAACGCTTCGGCCTTGGCGGCGATGACGACGATGGCGAGGTAGCGGTGGCCAGTTTCCGCCAGAGGACCAACAACAATACCGGCGGCTTTGTGGACTTGGGCAATGAGTATACATATGCGGCCGGTGGTCATCATGCATCCGGAGCGAATGAGATCTTTGCAGGCGAGCAGGGCGATAAGCCATGGTAAGAAGAAACTGTCCTAAAGGATTACCTCGAATATAGTAATAACATCCCCCATCCCTCAACAGGTGGCGTTCGAACTTCTTCATCTCGCAACCGGTGCTCTTTGGAACCTGGGACGGTGTCTTCACCTCATGTCTGATCAACGTGTTCGGTGTTATTGTGTTCCTTCGCTCCGGCTGGATTGTTGCCCAGGCGGGCATCCTCAATGCCGTGCTGATTATCTTCTGCACGGTGGTGATTGCTTTGGTCAGTGTTCTGTCGGCCATTGGAATCTGCGAGCGGTGTCGCGTGGAGAGCGGCGGTGTGTACTTCCTTATAGCCCACACTCTGGGCTCCCGATTCGGCGGTGCCCTGGGACTGCTCTATTGCTTTGGCCAGGCGGTCGGCTGTGCCCTAAATGTGATGGGTTTCGGTGAGTCCATGGCTGGGTTGGTGGGCCTCGAGGGCAACAAGTGGGCCATCAGGGGCTTTGCCACAGCGGCTGTCCTACTCCTGGGTTGCATTAATGTGGCCGGCGTCAAATGGGTGATCAAGCTGCAGTTTATATTGCTGATGATCCTGCTAATATCGGCGCTGGACTTTATGGTGGGCAGCTTTATCACCGAGGACAGTGGTGAGTGTTTGCGTGAAGATAAGGATCCTAAAGAGTTCTCTCAATTATATCCGTCTTGGTTTCCTTTGCAGATCACGGCGTGGATGGCTGGGTAACCGGAAACTTTGTGGAGAATCTGTGGCCAAAATATGAAGATGGGTATTCGTGGTTCCGTGTCTTTGGTGTCTTCTTTCCCACCGTCACTGGTGTGCTGTCGGGCATCAATATGAGCGGAGATTTGCGTGCTCCATCCACGGACATACCCAATGGCACTCTGGCTGCATTTGGCACCTCGTAAGTAGACCCTCTAGAGAGTCGAAAGTAACATCTTACGTGACTTTATCTTTCTCTTTCTTTGCTGTGTAGGACATTCCTTTACCTGGTGTTTGTCCTCTTCTTGGGTGCCACCTGCCAGCGACCAATACTGTATACAGACTTCATGATCTCCGTCAAAGTGTCGGCCGTGCATTTCCTGCTGCTGGCTGGCATCTATGTATCCAGCATGTCGTCGTGCCTGGGCGCCATGTATGGCACTCCGCGCGTCCTCCAGAGCATAGCCAAGGAGAGCGTTATTCCTGGAATCGATGTCCTTGGCAAGGGGGTATGTAAATTTGTCTATATCTATTTTTTACCTATGCAGGGCATATATATTTTTAGTAAGAAGCTTAAAACTAAGTGAAGGAGACATTTTCGACCCTATAAATCATATATATTCTTGATCAGCATAAACAGCCGAATCTTTCTAGACATTTAAGAAGCAAGAACATTTTTGAAAATTTTTTTTTCAAATTTGTAAGCCTTTTTATTCATTGTTAACAATTTAAAAAATTGACAAAAATTGAAATGGTTTAAAATTAAAATATGAGAATGCAGATTTATTAAACTTTTAAAAACTAGAACAGAACAACTTGCCGATTTGAAATTAATGCTTTTTAAGCTTAGTTATGAGTTTTTTAAGCTTTAATTTGTAGAATAAATTTTCATATAAAAACATCAAAATATCGACTCAAAGAATGGTATTCTTATTTTAGTCAGAAGCTTAAAACTAAGTGAAGGGGTAATTTCCGACCCTATGAATCATATATATTCTTGATCAGCATTAACAGCCGAATCGATCTAGACATCTCCGGTAGAAAAAATAATTTTAAAATTTTCTTCAAAATTTTATAAGTTAAAATTTATGAATTTAAATGTAAAAATTGGCAAAAATTTAAATTATTTTATATATTAAATTGAGTATGCAGAATTGTTATTCAAATAAAAAGTAACATAGGACAGCTTACCGAATTAAAATTAATCCAGTTTTGGCTGAGTTATGAGATTTTTAAACTTTGATTTGTCGTTTGTATGGCAGCTATATGATATAGTAGTCCGATTTTCATAAAATTCTACACAAAATTCTGGATTAATATATAATGGCAACATATTAAATTTGATGAAAATCAGTTGAAAATTGGAAAATTTATAATTTTTTTCTTAAAATTTTCCGATCGTTCCTATGGCAGCTATATATATGTATAGATATAGTCCACCGATTCGCCATGCTCCGATTTATACACTAGTAAAATTATATAGAAGAATAACTCAATAGTTTCATTCAAATAGCTTGCTTTTTGTTCCAAAACAAATCTCGCACATCTGTGCATATGATTCCCAACTAGTTCTAACATCCCCGGAACGAAGTGACTGCTGCCGGCTACGTCTCAGATATGTGTTGTGTTTTAAAAGTTGCAAGTCATTGTTTATTAGTGTTCAAAGTTATTAACTGATCATACACATATACTTACTGGTTATAGATACTTACTGATCATAGAATCTTACTGATCATGGTTAATTGCTGATCATAGTTACTTACTGCTCATAGTTAATTATTGAGCATAGTTAATTAATGTTCAGTGATACTTACTGATCATAGGTACAAATTGTAAGGGCACAAAAACGTAGGCTACCTCTTTTATTTAAATTATAATCCTGAATCTCTTTGCTCTTCCAGCGCGGTCCCAACAAAGTGCCTTTGTATGCCATGGCCATTGTGGCCTTGGTCACCGTCACCTTCATCATTGTGGGCGACATCAACTTCCTGGCTCCGATTGTGACGATGCCTTTCCTGCTGACTTATGCCTGCATCGATTATGCCTACTTTGCGTTGGCCCAGACCTTTGACATTCAGGAGCAGCGCGAAGAGCGTTTCCGCATCCAAGCCTCGAGCCCAAGCTATGAGACGCGTCGCTATGGCAGTGTCTCCGATGGAGGCAATGATCTGGATCTGCTCTTCCCTGATCGCGTGCGTCACAAGAATCTGCAGAGTCCGCAGAATTCGCCCATGCATCAGACGGTGCCGCTGGACTTTAACAGGGCCGAAGGACCGAGTACCTCAAGTCAGGCGGAGCCCAGGCTTCAGGGTAGCGATGATGCCACCACATTGGCCGTGGAGCAGCAGGAGCAGGAGCAGGGCAATGGCGAAAATGAACCGGAACCCATTGCGCCCATACGTCCACCAATTCATTCCAAGACGAAAAACTGGTATTCGGGCTACTGCAATCGCTGGGCCTCGCTTCTGGGGGTGAGTTCACGAGTCGAGGAAGCCGAAAGCTGGCTCTTTTAACGAGTATACTTCTTATAGGCCTTCACCAAGCTGCTGGTTATGCTGCTGGTCAACTGGTACTATGCCCTCACCTGCTTCGTGGTTGTGTTCGTCGTCTGGTTCTATGTGGGCACCGCCAATCCGGCTGTGAAGCCCGGCCTTACAGCCGAGTTTAACTTCTTTGCCTGGCTAAAGAGCATTGTCTTTAGGTGCTTTGGGTGAGTCTTAAACTAGGAATTGCCACAATTGGGAGTTTAAATCAATTCAACCATTGCCATCTCGCTCTCTTTGCAGCAAGCGCATGCACGAGTACGAACAGATTGTGGTGACGCCGTCATGCCCGGGCGTGGATCTATCGCCCACGCAGCTAAACGAACAGAATGAGGACTTCCGGCCGCGTCCCAACTATCATCACTCGTCGGTCATCGAGGGACGACTCATTGATGATATCTAAGGGATTCCAAGGATCCACTGCAGCTGCGATTGCGACTGCGCCTGCAATATGAAACGAGAGGACACACAGCTTGGACTAAACAAAAGGAAGTAAAACTAGAACTATATATATATGCTAGACAGGAATATTCGATATTGTATGTTTTGTATATCTATATCTATAAGGATCCGAAAAGCTAAAGGATATGGCGACAACAGCTGCGGTCCTATGACTCATTTTCATGCGTTGGATTTTCAATTAATTGATTTTTAAATGGCAAGAGAGATTGTTGAAAAGATAACCCAAATTTTTGATTTGATTAGAGAGTGATAAATAAGAAAAAGATAAAGTTAAATTTTATTATTGAGAAAACTATTTTTAAGACAAAAGTAAGAGTTTCCCTAAGTAGCTTTAATAGGTTTTATAATTTCGACCGCAGTTGTATGTTTAAATTCCGGCATTTACCACCGCCCCCCGTCCGCCTACACACCCACACACACAAAACACACAACACAAACCGCACAACCTAACACAGCAGCAGCAGCAGCAGCTCAGATATGTATTTTAATTGTAATTTTAAGTTTTTTGCTTTGCTTTCGACTGTGTTGTTCCTTCTTGTTCGCCTATATTAACTGTAAAGAGAGAGCGTGTGTGAATTGTTGCTAAATATGGGATATATGTATGTTTCCATGTGATACTGAGATAATAAGTGAACCAAAAAAACAAAAACAAAAAGAAAAAAGGTAAAACGAAGAGAAGGAAAATCAAAACTTGATGATTTTGGCGCCTTTGCATTTAAGAAGAGCACACAAAACACACTCACACACACAGAGAAGCACACAAATCCAATGAAATTGTTAACACGTAACACCTAAATCTAAGTTGTGTAACCCTGATGTACTAGTAGGGATGTTGATAATATATCAAAATATCACTATACCGATATTTTTCCCAGAAAAACACAAAATAAATTTAATTATTAGCCCGATTTCATATATATTTTCTCAATCCATAACGTTTTGTTTGCCTTCGGTGTGAATGTTAAGCGATACTAGATAGAAAATAACTAAACCATACAGAGACTTTTGTATAATTAACTTTATTTTATCTACAATATTAATTATAGTTACTATTTTATTTGAAATGTATCTTAGATTCCCATTTTTAATGAAATGAAATGTATCTAGTATGGAAAGTACCCAGTATTTTCTATAGTTTCAAGTTTTAATACGTAAAAGTTTTAAGTGGACGTACTATTTCATTTAAAATTTATCATGTTTTCAGCTTTAAATATTATTTAAAAGTAAAAATAATACACTAAAACTATACATTTACAAGTGTGGAATTGGCCTATATAATTCGTAACTCTGCGCAGGTATATAGCAATAATCGCACCCTATATGCACCCAAAAATTGTATATATATACATGTGTATATCGGCTCCACATATATATGATATATCTGATTTATATACACCTCAAATGTTGATTAAATGTAATGAAATACACACAGAAAGAAAGAGATCGAGATCGCGTCCCCTTTTTGTACTGTATTGTAGCCCAATTAAAAACTAGTGTGTACTAACAAGAATAACAAAACAATAATAACGTAATAAATTCAAAATGTGTAATAAATAAATATAGTTTGTAAAAATCTATAGACTACAATTTGCTAAAGCATTTGAAATTATGCGCCAATGTTGTGGCAATCGATAACACTCCGGCCAGGGCTAGTCGATAAACGTCTTCGTTGAGAGTTTTAAAATTTGAACTCCTCACGTTGGGGTTATTTTCCTGAATGGAAGTCTCGCTTAAATGCTGTTTACATGGCCTATGGTCAGAGTTCTCAAACATATTTTTTGATTTTATTTCCATAACGTTTATAATCTGCCGCACAACCAGGGCTGCATCGATAACATCTCGCCGTAACCTCAAACGGCCACCGAGAGCTATCGGCATATTATTATTATTATTATTTTAGTTACAAGGAGCGCTGGTGCGTAGGATTTCGCACCATCTGCAACCGAGCCCACACCCGCCATGAACAGCCTTGTGCGACGCACCCATCACCTCCATCAGCTGTGGCGCACATATTGCAGCGCTCCGGCGGCAGCCAGCCGGAATACAGGTGAGTTCGGAGGAGGAGATTCTTGGCACTTGTGGAGACCCAACATTTATGTCACCTCTGTCCACAGGTCGGCCCAGCTACGAGGAATTCATTGGCCAGCAACAGGGACAGGCCCAGCGCAGCATCATCGTCCAGGTGAGCTCCGAGAAGTCGTACGCGGAGTTGTATAACTACTGCAGCCGGTTCGGCTCCATTCTCGGCGCCCATCACTATTGCGTGCGGCAGGACGAGGCGCTGCACTATGTCCTGCTGGAGTATGCCACGGCCGGTGAGGCAGCGGCTGCCATCGATGCGGGCGTTACCAATGGCGAACTGAGCGGTGTTCCCGTCCGCTCGCCCTTCCTCTGGTTCCGTGCGGCAGCGGCAGCAGGTGCACGGCGTGGTCCCAAGCTAACTGCGGCCCCGGCACCGGCCGCCCTGCTCTCCGTCGACGGCAATCGACCGGTGGAAAAGGATCACCTGCTGTCGGTGCTCCGCAGCGCCAGCAATATTGAGGAGCAAGTGGAACTACTGCATCAGCATTCGCGCCTGAACGAGCTGGGCGTACGGCTGCGCTTCCTGGCCGCCCTGCAGGTGCAACAGGCCATCGCAGGCATGTTTCCCACCGCCCAGGCTTTGCCCTTTGGCTCGTCGGTGAATGGTTTTGGCAAAATGGGCTGCGATCTGGATCTGATCTTGCGTTTCGACAATGATACGGGTGGCGGCGGGAGCGCTGCCAAGCTGGAGCCATCACGACTAGTGTACCATACCAAGGAGAACCTGAGCAATGGACGATCACAGACGCAACGGCACATGGAGTGCTTTGGTGATATGCTGCATCTGTTCCTGCCGGGCGTATGCCATGTGAGGCGCATCCTGCAGGCAAGGGTGCCCATCATTAAGTATCATCACGAGCATCTGGATCTGGAGATTGATTTGAGCATGAGCAACCTGTGAGTAGGAAATGTCTTTATAATTTATCTTCTTTCCTTCATCTGACCTTCTAGTTGAGTGTATTTTAGATTTAGTATCATTAGACGAAATGATTTAGCCAGGACTTTTGGGTCTTTGTTCTTCAGATAACTTTTAGGCTTCTAAAGCTAAGTTCCTTGCTCGTTTCCATGTTTAATTAATCAGTAATCAAGCTGGCAGAGTGTCCGTGTGTCTTTTTTGTCCGAGTTTATAAAAAACCAGAGTTCTTTGGGTGGGGGTCGCAATCTTTATTGTACTTATTGTTCGAATTGGGTGTGAATTCTTATATCTATCGAAGGGTCTTGTGTCGTTGTCATATATCTACTAACTTAAGCTAATTAGGCACTCATTACTCCTCACTCGCCACTGTCCACTTTAGCGACGATAGTTAGTGGCCTGCTCTTCCTCCTTCTTGACCGCCTGCACAAGGACAAAGCTCATTACGGCACAGATGACATTCAGCAGGCCCAGGGTCATGGCCAGTGCCACAATCCAACCAGTTTTGCCCTCAAAGAACCAGGTCAGCTCATCCACACAGCCATTGAAGAAGGCATTCCCACTGACAGTGTCGCGACAGGAGCTGGGCAGAGGTTGACGCAAATCAAGATAATCCCAAGGTCCACTAGCTCCACAGCAGCCGATATTCTCCTGGATCATGGTCAGCACGTAGCTGGAGTATGTATATTCCGATGTGGCCACAAAGCCGCGAAGCGACACATTCAACAGGGGCTGCAAACTGGAATTCATGGTGCTGAACTGCATAAGGACCGCTGATCCCGCCACCGTGGCTATAAATCCAAAGATTTGTGTGCCCACAAAGACGAACAGGGCCAGTGTGTTCTCCATCAAGGCACTCAGGCAGCCCAAGAAGCTCACCGCCATCATGATAATGCTAATGCCAATGAGAACGTAGACGCCAATGTAAAAGGATTGCGCCTCCAGGATGCGTAGCCAATCGTTGAAACCGGGCTCAGCACGCAGCCAAACGGAGAGAGCGAACAGAGCTGTGGCTATCATCCAGGCAACGATGTTGAAACAGAAGAGCGTGTACTTGACGCAGCCAATCTGCTTCTCCAGCTGCTCCTCGGCGGCGCCATAGCCGATGCCCATGGTTCAGGAAGCTGTAAGAGCAAGGAATATATATTTATATATACTTTAAAAGATTGAAAAGATCCCGGGGAAGCTCCTAAAGAACTTGAAAACTAAATCTGTAGATGTACTTAAACTTCTCCTCCTTTGAGGAGTCACCTCATTCAAGTAATCCCCTTTCCTGCCTTCCTGAGTCATCTCAAAAGCTCACCCTGGCCTGGCGGCCGCCTTTATTAATCACAATGTTCGTTTGATTTTAACCTGGTTGATGTCTCTCTTACACCACCACCTGCTGCTCCTCTCTATCTCTCTACCGCGTTCTTGGTGCTCTCTCTCTGCTGGTCTTATCGCGCGTGTGTGTTTAGCAAATAAACCTTATCAGAGCCACGCACTAAAGGTGATTAATACCTTGCGAGCAATTGCAACACCCAAAAGAGAATAGTTAACAAATATGTGGGTTTAAGGTTTTCTTAAAGGATATTAGATGTTTTCCTTAAATAGATTGTTATAACATCTTAAAAAGTTCAAATTCCCTTTTTATATATCTCATATATATCAAGTATTTCCATTCTAAAAACCTTGCTTTCACTTCACTAAATATATCTTTGGGTGTGGTTCTTGTTTTCTATATTTTAGAATATTATTTAAAACACTTTAAGGTCACTTAAAAAAATATAATCACTTTAAACAGGTTTCTCTTTCACTTGAAACTCAAAATTCACCTTGTTTTTGAAGACGTTTAATCACCAGAAAAAAAAATGAGGTAACAGAACCCGTACAGTACAGAGATCCGTTGGCTTCGTTCGTTGAAATCGTTTTGAGATACGCAATGGTGACAACATCCAGGCCAGGCAAGACCCAGTTGGAAGCGCTAGATAAGAAAGCTTTTGGCCAGCTCGATAAGATAAGATAGCGACAGGTGCTGGCGACGAGGATTGCCAAATGCCGTGTAAATACATATCTCTCTCGCTGGCGAGAGAGCAGGTGAATCAGTGATCTCCCCCAGGCATGCCAATGGCCATGATTCACTTACTGATAAGCCCCAAATGTTGCACTCATATCCGGCCTGTAGAAAGATGGGGGTGGGTCAGTTCTTTAACTATGAATTTCTGTCCATAAACATCTATTCATATCTCCTCTTGTTATCTCTTCCAGCACTGGCTACTACATGTCCGAGCTGCTGTACATGTTCGGCGAACTGGATGTGCGAGTTCGACCGCTTACCTTTAGCATCCGACGGTGGGCACAGTCCTGCGGACTGACGAACCCTTCGCCTGGACGCTGGATCAGTAACTTCTCGCTCACCTGCCTGGTCATGTTCTTTCTGCAGCAGCTGCGTCAACCCATTTTGCCCACAATATCGGCATTGACAAAGGCGGCCGAGCCGTCGGATATGCGTATCACCGAGGATGGTATTAATTGTACCTTTGCCCGTGACCTGGAGCGTCTGGCCTTCCGGAGTCGCAATCAGAGCTCGCTGAGTGAGCTGCTACTTCAGTTCTTTGAGTTCTACTCGCAGTTTGACTTCCACAATCGAGCCATCTCGCTGAATGAGGGAAGAGCCCTAGCCAAGCCGGATCACTCGGCCATGTATATTGTAAATCCGCTGGAACAGTTGCTCAATGTCAGCAAGAACGTCAGCTTGGAGGAGTGCGAAAGATTGCGCATCGAGGTGAGGAATGCTGCCTGGGTGCTCGAATCGGAGGTGGAAAGTGCTTCGCTTTCGCCAGAGGCTAGTGAAGGTCACAATAACAAGAACAACAACAACGAACGACTGGAGATGTCCTGGGGATTGCTGAATCTATTCAAGCAGCCGGAGAAGGCAGTTATTCGGCCAAATATGTTCTTCAAGCCCCGCATGGTGGAGGTTAGTGATCTGTTTGAGCAGAAGGAATCCTCTTCTGCACCCACTGCCAGTCCCAGTCCGAGTACCCCAGAACCAACAATCACATATAAGAGCGCCTCGGTGCGTCAACAGGTGCAGACCATCAAGGCGGCCACGCGTTCCGAACTGAAGCAGCTCCGTGGATCAGCGAATGGCAGCAGTGCTGCCCCGGCAAACAGTCCAAAGAACAGGCGGAGCAGCAGGTGATGCCTGGTCCGCCTGGACCGTGTACATACCCTACGTAGGATAAACTACAGGCTAAACTGTAACTAAACTGATCGTTGTTCATACTGTTAAACCCTCCTTTTAATCCTCCTCCTAAGTAAGCTAAGTCCTAGCTAAGATCGTGCGCCAATGTTGAGTATTTAAATCAATTTTTGTATCGACGAATAAAAGAAAATTTATGAGGCCAGAAAAATATAAATAAAAATAATACAATGTTTCTTTTTTACTTGACTGTGCCTGTAATTATTGTTATGGAAAGAGAATGGGTTATAAGTGAAATAAAGTTTTTGAATATTATTAGATTCCTTTTGGAAAACTATTGTCTTATAGTAAATTTCTTTAATTGTACAAATTGTATATGTATAAAGAATAATTATATTTGCCTTATTAATCTTAATTTATTACTGAATTAAAGCCTCTGAAGTATAGTTAGTTTTATACCCTTGCAGGGTGTTTATAATTTTTGTTAAAAGCTTGAAACTATGTGAAGGAGTCATTTCCGACCATATAAATCATATATATTCTTGATCAGCATAAACAGGCGAATCTTTCTAGGCATTTAGGAAGGAGCATAATTTTTGAAATTTTTTTTCTAAATTTTTAAAGCTTATTTTTTCATTGTTAACACTTTAAAAAATTGACAAAAATTTTAATATCTTAAAGTTTCAGTTTAGGTATGCAGATTTATTAAACTTTTAAAAACTAGAACAGAACAACTTTCCGATTTGAAATTAATGCTTTTTTGGCTATGTTATGAATTTTTTAAATTTTAATTTATCGATAAAAATGTCATATAAAAATATAGTTAATATCGATTAAAAAATGGTAATGCACCTTCAGTCAGAAGATTAAAAGAAGGCGAAGGAGTCATTTCCGACCCTATAAATCATATATATTCTTGATCAGCATAAACAGGCGAATCTTTCTAGGCATTAAGAAAGGAACAAAATTTTTGAAATTTTTTTTCTAAATTTTTAAAGCTTATTTTTTCATTGTTAACACTTTAAAAAATTGACAAAAATTATAATAGCTTAAAGTTTCAGTTTAGGTATGCAGATTTATTAAACTATTAAAAACTAGAACAGAACAACTTTCCGATTTGAAATTAATGCTTTTTTGGCTAAGTTATGAATTTTTACATCTTTGATTTGTAGATAAAATAGACTTTATATGGTTCATATGTACATATATCTGTAAATTCACCTTGTTACTATATAAAAAATTAAATCCCACTCAGCTAAAAGGAATTACAAATAATGATAGTGTCCAAATATCTAATGCAATCTTCCATCAAAAACATAATTTCGAAATTACAAAATTTCAAAATCAATCAAACAAGATATTGTAGAAGGGCTATCGCTCTCGAGAATAATGAATATGTGTGTTGCAGCATTGCTAACGATCATGAGTTGGTTTTTTCAGTTTGAGTGAGTTGAAGCTTTTAAGCTTAAATATTTTTGTTTTGTATATTTTTACCTCACCTGCATAATGCACTTATCATTCTTTACTTTGACCAAAATGTGCAATAATTTGCATGACGACTTTTGTAACCGCCAATTCGTTTTTGTGGTAATGATGATGCTGTCGGCTGTCGGTTTTTGTGGCCGTAATTAGTCGTCAATGTACGCGTATTCTGGCTAATTGATTTTAGCCAAATGATGCAAAACAAAAATGGCAAACAGCAGAGAGTACCAAGCTATGGTTTATTTATTTAAAAAACTTTATATATGATTTATGAAGTCGGAAATTTTCTTCTTCACTGCATTATAATGCCTCAGCAAGGGTTTAATAATAAAAAACCAAATAAAAAAATAAAATAAAAAAAGAGATTATTTTAACTTGCTTTCCATGCATCTTTGTAATTACTTGCTATTTTCGCAATGAAGATTTTAATTACCAATTTACAATTATTAAACAGTAACTAAGTAACTAGCTAAAGTTTTCCCTAAAGAAATCTATAATACAGGGCAGTACGATCTAAGATCGTATAAAATATATATATATAATATATATAAAAATATATATATTTTATAAATAAAATATATATTATATACACTTCCTACTAAAACTAATGTCACGCCAAGGACGCCGCAAAGTGCCAAGAACGAGCCATAGCATTCACATGACCATAATTCCCATACCAAAAATTCACGTAAAATACGAGTTAAACTACCATTTACCTCTTTTTTTTACCATTTTAATTTGTCAGTTAGCACTTTATTATTTTTTTTTTGTCAAAGTCTGTCTTGGGCCTTTGTTGTTTTCGTTTTTTTATGGAAGTGTTGGCCGCCGCCCTGGCCAAGTTCCATTTTCAAGGCCAAAGGGGTGGAGGAGGGGTTTCTTTGCGTGCTTTTCGCTGCGTTGGCTTTCGGGTTTTAATAAGTTTTACAGCTGCACTCAAAATTGGCAGTCAAGTGACTACAGTCGAGCCTGACTAAAGCGAAAAAATTATAAAAATTATTTACATGGCGTATGAGCAATTTTATTTAACATATAAGTAAGAGAATGTAATAAAAACATTTATTTTAAATATGATTTGTAAGCTAAACACTTATTTTTGGTTACAGTCGGGCCTGACTAACGTGATTAAATTATATATTATATACATATATAATTGATCTTTTTTACTCAACCCACATGGCGTATGAGTAATGTTCTTTAGTAGTAACAAAAATATGTATATGTTTTATTAAATATGATTTGTAAGCTAAACTATTATTTTTGGTTACAGTCGGGCCTGACTAACGTGATTAAATTATATAATAAACATAAATGATTTTTCTTATTCGACCCACATGGCGTATGAGTAATTTTCTTTAGTAGTTAGAGAATAATAGAAAAACATTTTTTTAAATATAATTTTTAAGCTTAACAAATATTTTCGGTTACAGTCGGGCCTGACTAATGTGAATAAATTATATTTACAAATGATTTTTCTTACCCGACCCACATGGCGTATGAGTAATTTTCTTTAGTAATAAGAAATATACATTATATATATATTTTTTAAATATGATTTGTAAGCTAAACAATTACTATTGGGTACAGTCGGGCCTGACTAACGTAAATAAATTATATTTACAAATGATGTTTCTTACTCGACCCACATGGCGTATGAGCAATTTTTATTGATAGAAAAGAGTTGAAATTTATATATAAATTATCTTTCTTCAACAAAATCCAAAGAATTAATATGACCAAATATTAACTATTTAACTAAAAATTAATTCTTTTATTTTAAATAATAACTAAATTTAGGCACAAAATTAAAATGTACAATTAATTGTGGATACTCTGCTTGTGCAGAGAAATAAGCTAAAAAAAATTGGTAAATATATAGTAATTCGATCTCTGCAAGTTGACTTGTTATTACGATCGGTGTCTATATTATTTCCGTTTTTTTTCTGTCTCTGGTTCTCTGCCAGCAGAAATGTAAGTCGGTTTTCGCTTTCGCCGCTTGCTTCTCTTCTCTCTGTTGACAGTTTTGTTTTAGTTTATGTTTATATTGTTGTTGTTGTTGTTGATGTTGTTGTCTTTTGTTGTTGAGTTGTAAATAGTTTAACTTGCGAAACACGTACGAAAGCGGTAGCATAGCCAGCATAACAAGTGGAGCGACTACGACTACGACTTTGCCTCGACTTGCCGAAAATTGTTTGCCAATGTCGCGATAAAAAATAAAGCTTGGAAACCAAACTGAAGCCAACAAGAAACGGCAACTAAAAAAAGCATAAAAAGTATAAGAAAATCAAAAAGATAAGAGAAAATTAAAACGAACCTAAAGATACCCTTAGATTTATATTAAATCTAAAGTTGAAGTCATTCAACGTACACATAACATTAATGATCAAATCTCTGGTCAGTAATAAATTAAATGATAAATAAATATTAAAAAAAATACATATAATAATAAAATAAATAATATATAAATACAAAATAAAAGAGGTATTAAAAGAAAGAAATTGTTTAAATAAATTATATCGAATAGGAAACAAAACTTTGACCATATCGTTTCTACAAATTTTAATAAGATAGGCAAAGATGCTGTCTTTTCGTCTAGATCGACTTGCCTGTTAAAAATCCAGTTAGCCTCTCGAAGCAGAAACACATAAAGGGTAACAAAAAGTCGAGCAAACTGGGCTTTGGCCACGACCGACGCCACATGGAAAGCCATCGTTGGAGCCGTGGGGCAGCCGGAAAAACCGCCACAGCAGCACCCACGCAATATACACACACGCAAAATTTATACACACAGCACCGCACACACACACATACGCACACCCTCGGTTTTTGACCTTCTGACACAGAAAAGTTAACAATGTACCTTATTCGTGTATGGAAAATTGCACAACACCAAAGAGACACGTTGCAAACGTGGCGATGTAAGCCCAAATTAAGTTATGTTTATAAAAATTTAATTTCAGATCGAAGTATATTAATATTATTATGATTAATTAAAAAGGTATGATAATTAAAGGGGCTTAAATAGTACAAAAAAGTATGATCAGAACCTACGAATTTTGATTGATATTCTCTGAATTTTAGTATAAAATTACAAAGAGTAGTGCATGCTTTACTTTTTCGTTTAATAACCTTTAAATAGACGGAAGGAAAAGGGTTTGAATTTGTATAAGTAAAATATATATACATATCAAAATGAATTTTTTTAGCTTTATATTTTTTTACGTGTGAAATAAATTAGCATAAATTAGTGAAAGCAATCTAGATCATTGGGCCAAGTTACCAAAAATCCAAAAACTGTTCAAACGAAAATTTTTAAAACCAAAATAAATAATATAAAAAGTAAATTATAAAATAATATATATATATATATATATATATATATGAATATAATTAAAATAAAAACTATAAATAATATGAAAAATAAACATAAATAATATAATAAATATAAATAATATGAAAAATAAACATAAAATTGCATATATAAAATACAAATAAATAATTACCAACTAGCCTTAATTATTGTTTCTTAATTAGTTAAGAATTTATTTGTAAAACTTTAATATATTTTATAGACTGACTGCAGAGGTTATATTTTATATGAACTATATTTTAAGCAGTGGGTTAAATTTAAAAAAAATATTTAATATAATATTAATTTATTTAATTTAATATTAATTTAATATTAAATATTTTTTTTTTAATTTTACCCTTTTTAACTTTCAGTGAACAAAGGATGAAAAGGGAACGAGAAAAGAAAAGGAGAGAGATAACAGCAACAGCAAAAACCGCAAACAGCACACACACACACACACCTGCACGAGGAGTTACACTTACACTTACATTTCCATTGATCGCATGGCTTCCATTATTCCAGCACTTTGGATTCCAGCACCTGGATTATTATTTGCGATGCCAGCAGCGGACTGCGCAGCCGGCAGAGAGCAAAGCAGCAGCAGCGGCAGCGGCAACTTGACGAAAAGCCAAAAAACGAAGCCCAATCAGTTGCAGTCGCGAATTAGCGTCCAACAGACGCTCTCCATAAGCTCTCTACAGGCTTTTTTCCATCTCGCTTACTCGCGGAAGTACGATAGTTCAACATTTTGATACTTCGATAGTGCGATAGTGCGATAGTGCGATAGTACCGGCAAAATGGTGCACTTCAATGAGCAGAACGAGGATCAGCTAATGGCCAAGCGGGTTCAGGAGCTGCAGGAGTGGGCCAAAAACCACTTACAGTTGCCACCAAATATATGTGCGTAAAATAAACTATATTTTTTTTTCAAGTGTACTCACTGGAAAGTTATTTGTTTTGATTTGTTTGCAAAGAGAGCCTAAAGATAATGCAATAAATGTAAATGTAAAAAGGAACAAAATATATATTGTAAATTTGTTGTACATATAAAAGTTCACCCATCAACAAATAGTAATGAATAATTAATAAATTATTGCTTATTGTGTGAACTGATATTTGCATATTTTTTGCACACAAAAAATCGACACAAGCAAATGGGATTTCAAAATGTATCCAGCTTTTTGCATATAAGCGAAATAAAAGGCAAAAAACGTGTGACCTCTTTCAGGAAAAAAGCACAAAAAAGAAAGGAAACTTATATACCTTTTATATGTACAATCAAGATATAGGATCGTATAGGAAATCAAGCATAACTAAGCTTAAAAGAAATGCATTCTTTGAACTTATAATTTTTAAGCAATTTTTTCTGACAAATCAAAGTTTAAAAATCCCATAACTAAGCCAAAAAGCTATTAATTTTAAATCGGAAAGCTGTCCCATGTTAGTTTTTATCAAATGTATAAATCTGCATAGTCAGTTTAAAAATTAAAAAAGTTAAAATTTTTATCGAATTTTTTTCGCAATTTTAACGATGTAACCCCTTATAAAATCTTTAAAATTTAGAAAAAATTAAATTTTTGCCTTAGATGGCTAAAAAGATTTGCCTGTTGATGCTGATCAAGAATATATATGATTTATAGGGTCGGAAAAGTCTCCTTCACTTTCTTTTAAGCTTCTGACTAAAATAAGAATACCATTTCTTGAGTCGATATTTTGATATTTTTATATGACAATTTATTCTACGAATTAAAGCTTAAAAAACTCATAACTAAGCTAAAAAAGCATTAATTTCAAATCGAAAAGTTGTTCTGTTCTAGTTTTTAATAGTTTAATAAATCTGCATTCTCATATTTTAGTTTTAAACCATTTCAATTTTTGTCAATTTTTTAAAATGTTAACAATGAATAAAAGGCTTAAAAATTTGAAAAATAAATTTAAAAAATTTTGTTCCTTTCTTAATGTCTAGAATGATTCGCCTGTTGATGCTGATCAAGAATATATATGATTTATAGGGTCGGAAATAACTGCTTCACTTAATTTCGAGCTTCTAACTGAAATTATAATTCCATTATATTGGAATAACCAGATTAAATTGTAAAGTATAATATAGGGACTGTACCATAGCATTTTTTCAACATAGTCGTAATATTTAAAAGCTCTGGAATATATATAAAAATATATTGGGTAATATATATTAATCATATTAATTGTATATAATAATATACCCAGTAATTGATCTTAAAAACCTTGATATTTCACATAGATTGTTTACCTTTTTACTTGCACTAAATGTATGCCCAACTTGTTTTAAAAAATGTCATAAAAATGAAGTAACTCACCATTGATTTGATAAATTCATAAATATTTAATAACTTTAAATAATTTCTTCATTTTTACCTGTGTATGACGATGACCAACTAACTCAGGTTAGTGAGTAGGTCAATTGCCTGCAAGAGATGCGAGTCCACTGCATTCGCAGTTGCATAACCCCCAAGACAGCACATCTACTCTTGCCATACTTGTATGGGCACACTCGTATTCGAACTCTTATTCGTATTAGTATTCATACTCTTATTCGTATTAGTATTCATACTTGTATTCGTAGTGGTAATCATACCAATTCCTCCACAGCCTGCCTGCTGCTGCGCCGCTTTCTGCACACAACGCGGGGCGATCTTTCAACCGCCCAGCGCCTCATCGAGCACAACTTTGGACTTCGAAATAAATATGCCAACATTTTCATCGATCGAGATCCCCTGGATGCCAGTTCCCAGCAGCTGTTGCAAGTGGCGTAAGTTGAGATTCAATTTTAGAATTTTTAAAAATTTTTATAAGGGTATTTTAGAATTTTTTGAAATATTTTTAAGGGAATTTTATAAAAATCCAACAGGGATAGTCCTACTGGTTTGGAATATTACAACATTTTCAAGAATCTCTTTGCTTTAATCTTTAAAATATAAAAAATCTCTCTTATAGTGATCTGAAAATTCTAAAGTATAAATTTTGCCACATTCTAATTTATATATTCAAGCTGAAAATATTCAAATCCGATCGGTATCAAAGTTAACTAAATATATTCATGGTAAATAAAATAACCTGTTGCATTCATCGTCTGACAAATAATTTTTGGGAACTGACAAAATATAGTTAAGTCCCAATTTTAGCCTTGAGTTACCAAAAAGTACTCATAAACCATAATTAAAGACCATAAAAAAAGACCGTAAAAATTAAATAATGATATACAGGTTCCTTCAAAAATACTTGTAAAGCAATATTAAATATCATAAAAATTCTGTTGAGGTTAACAAAAATATGATATATAGAAATATATATAAATAAATATCTATAAAGCAAAAATTGAAGGTAGCTAAAATTAACAAAAAAGCTAAGTTAAAAATCATAAAAATGTAAGAAATAAAGGTATAGGTCAGGCTCCTACTAAAAATACAAATATATATATTTTTTCACTACCAAAACGAGAATATTTATGATATAGGTGATTAAATCCCTTAAGGTTTATATTAACTTCAAAATGAATTAAAACAATTATGGCATATTGACCTCCCTTTGAATTTTTAATTAGGTAAATCTTATACAAAAAGATTTAAAAACCAGCCAACCGTAAAAACAAAAATATAAGTTAAGTCATTTGTAGTTAGTTAAAATTATTGTTTTTGTTTTCGTTAATTTGTTAATGTCAAACAAAAAGAAGACACATGTCTTAATAACTTAATAAATTAAAGACTTGTAATTGCTTTATTTTTTGTTATTAACAAGCTTGACGGGTTTTTAAGTGTATATAGAAAAATGAATAATAATGTACAATAAAATTTTAGTTACACAAATCAGGAAAAGAAAGGGGTGTCTCTTGGTCTGGTTACAATTTGAAGACAAAGAACTAGTTAATGATTGGTTATATTTTTAAATACAGACTTTTGAAGTTGTCAAATCACAATTAGCGATTGATTAATAATTACATATTTCTATGAACTCAGAGTTTCACTGGAATTACTATTTATGTAGAATTAGTAATCACAACTCTGGATCTTGCACTTTGACTTACGAGGAGTGTATTATTTGCTAAGAATTCACCTGCACTTTGTGGTTAATTTTCGCTCAGTGTTTGCACTAACAAAGTGCATTGGCATATCAACCGGTTTTGGGTCTGGTATCCCGAAATCACCCGGCTTTTATACTATATATATCTATATATATATATCTGTATATATATTTATTGGTTAACTCTCTTTTTTTGCCTTCTTTTTTGCAGTGATCTTGTGCCTTTGCCTGGCCTGACTCCGGAGAACAATAAGTTGCTCTTTTACCGCCTCGTTGACTTTGATGCGGATAAAGTGAGTGTGGGAAAAATAAAGCCTATATCTTAAGGTTTATTATTATATAATTTAATAATAATAAGACAGAAAAATATATACTTTACTCTATTTATATTTTAAATCTCTCAACTATTTAATTAATATATAAAACAATATTTGCAGTTCAACTTTACGGCCGGAATCAAGGTGTTCTTCATGGTCGCCGACTGTCGCTTTGCCGTCGAGGACAAGGGTCCTTTATCCGATGGAGAAATACCAATTTTTGATATGGCTGGCTATACATTGCGCCATCTGACCAAGACGGCTCTCGGAGCACTTCGTGTCTACATGAAGTTCGTCCAGGAGGCACATCCTGTGAGGCTCAAGGAGATTCATGTCCTCAATTGCCCCTCCTATGTGGACAAAGTGATGGCCGTGGTGAAGCCATTTATCAAGAGTGAGGTGTTCAAGCTGATCCATTTCCATTTGCCGGAAGCAGAGACGCCATATCGTCATTTTCCACGCTCCATGTTACCGGAAGAATATGGCGGCGAGGCGGGCAAAATGGCGGACCTGAAGGCAGAGTGGATGCAGTTGCTCAAGGAGCAAAGGTGGGTACTTATTATACTCTATATAATTATTATAACCTCTAATTATTGTACTATCTCTTCTGCTTTAGGGACTATCTGATGGATTCACAAAACTGGCAGATAAACAAGCTCAAAAAAGGCAGTCGAGGCAAGACCAACGATGCCGCAGCCTCAGAAATATCACAAAATCTTCGCAGTTTGGAAATAGATTAATGTCGGGATTTATATATGTTACTGTTAATTACGTTTTAAATTAATGCTTTAATTTCTGCGGGTATATCCCATATTTATGTGCTAAGCTAGAGTGGGTGCATATGTCATATTTAAAGGATTTTAAAATGTAACGTGAAGGAAGCCTTGTAAAATCCTATTTTATGTATTTTTTGTTTGTTTTTTTCTGATTCAACTTCCCCAGCTGGGCTTGGGGTTATGTTAATAAATATGTATAATATATTATGTTTAATGTTATCACGTATATATTTGTTGCTACTCAAAGCTCCTTAATGCCGGATATGGTATACAGGTAACTATAAAACTGCGACTTTTACTTCAGCAGCTTCTTTAAGTAAAGTTAAATAAATTAAATAAAATAATGAACAATTGTAACAGATTTTAATGCACTTCCAAGCTTGAAACTAAGTGAAAGAAGCATTTCCGACCCCATAAATCATATATATTCTTGATCAGCATGATTAACCGAGTCGATCTAGCCCTATCCGGGAAGAAAACAAATATTCAACATTTTTGCAACATTTTATAAGGGGTTACATCTTAAAAATTGTCAATAATTTTACAACAAATTTTAATATTTTTAAATTTCTACTTAAGTAAGCAGATTTATTAAGATATAAAAAACAAACATGAGCAGCTTTCCAAATTAAAATTAATGATGTTTTTTAGCCAAGTTATGAGATTTTAAAATATTGATTTGCCGAAAAAATTGTCATATAAAAATATAAATAAATATCGCCTCAAAAATGGTATTCTAATTTTAGCCATAAGCTTAAAACTAAGTGAAAGAAGCATTTCCGACCCCATAAATCATATATATTCTTGATCAGCATGAAAAACCGAATCGATCTAGCTATGTTCCGCATAAATTAAATTTTTTCAAAATTTTGAAAATTTTTTAAGGGGTTACATCGTTAAAATTGTCAGAAAATTGGCAAAAATTTTAATTTATTTTTAATTTTAATCTGAGTATGCAGATTTATTAAGCTCTTAATAACTAACATTAGAAAGCTTTCCGAATTCAAATTAATTCATTTTTGTCTTAGTTATGAAATTTTTAGTATTTGATTTTTAGAAAAAATTGTCATATAATAATATAGATTTTTTATCTTAGATATGATCGATTTTCGATTAGATACTATAATAAAATTGAAAATTGCAAGAGTTAATAAATTTAGTTTTAGTTTCCAGATATTAGTTTCCTTTATTTTATAAATAAATATTTAACTTAGCCGCCTGAAAATATGCCGTAAATTAAAAGGAATTCGCTGGACTGTCATGTTTATTATAAAACCATGTTAACAATTACAGTGGACACTCCGTAAAGTCAATCAAGATTCCAAAAACCTTTACACGCAAAATATTTTGTATAGTTTTATAATTTGTTTGTTCTGAAATATTTCATGTTTTCTATAATTCCTGTATTCCTGTAATTCCTAATTAAATCGTTTTTTAGTACACATAAATAATTTTTATTGCTGACTTTAATTATTTACTCAACAAAAATATACTAGGAAAAAATTCATTATAGGGAGGTATTACTACACTTATTATATCATGTCCAATTCGACCTTCGCAGAGAGCGAGAGAGAGAGACCCGATCGTGGAAAATTCACCTCAGAGAGCCGACCTCCGACCCATTGGAGAGAGTAAAATGCATAATAACGATCTGTTACTCTCCCAGTTACTCTCTCCACTCCCACAATCACTCTCTCGGCTGTCTTCGGATCGGTTCGGCTTCTAAAGAAACCTATAAATACAAGTGCAAACCAGCCATTTCGAAAAACATTTTTTTCCAACAAAATTTGACGTCACGGCTCCGTCGCCGCGGAAAATTCTCAAATAAAAAAAGAAAATATAAGAAAAAAAAAGCCAGGTTTCAACCGCTATTTCCCGCTGTTTTCAATTGGACTTTGACGGGGTTAAAAAAGCTAAATTGGCAACACCTGGATAGCCGCGATCGAACAGAAGCCATCGCACTTCCGAACGCGACGCGACGCGACGTCGGATCGATCGATCGCAATTATATATAAAATCGATTCCATTAAAAAAACCGACTCTGATTTTTTTTCCTGTTTGCCGGTGATCAGTGTGAAAAATTAAATAAGAAAGTGCATTGAAAAAATATATATAAAAAACAGGTGCTAAAAGTGAGTGAAAACAAAACCACATCGAAAACATGAAGTCTGCCGCCGCATATTGAAAGGCAGTCGAGAGAGCAGAGAAGCAAACAAAACAAGTGAAGAAGCGAAAAAAAGTGAGTGATTTATATACTAAAGATACAAGATACAAGATACAAGATACAGAACATAACCAGAACCAGACACAGAGTCCCAGGTTATTATTATTTGTGCCCACTTTTTTTCGTTTTTTTTTTATGCCTCCGGTCTCTCCTCAACAATCTGCCCCCGATCTCCGCGATCTCCATGCCACATGATGTATGCTATAGATGCTATATGCTATATGCTATATGCTATATATATATATGTATATGTTGTGTTATGGTTTATGGCTTATGTCGGGGTCGGGTCGGCCCCCCGACTCTCAGTGTTCTGTTTTCTGTTTCGGAAGCCGGGGCTAAATGGGGATGCGGACGCAGACACACACCGAAATGGAATGGAATTGAATTAAATCAAATGATAAAAAATATAAATCGAGTGTAGAAACAGTGGCGGCCCTCTGTGCCAGTGCAGAAACAAAAAATTCAAGTAAAAAAGCAATCCTAAAAACTGAAACTGAAACCAAATCGGGAATTGGGTTTAAAAAAAAAAGAAAAAAAAAAAACAACAAACAGAGAGTCCCCTCTAAAGCAGGCTTCAAATACAGTTGGGCTGTGCCACTGTACAGGCAAAGATACAGATACAGCAATAGCTACAGATACATTTTCAGATACAGATACATCTGCAGTATACAGATAGAGATACACAGCTACAGCGGAAGGAAAGATGCGCTGCAAAAGGGCAAAACTGCCGTCGACAGCATCCGCACTTGTTCCTCTCCCTGCTCTGTAAATAAATAGAGAATACGTTGAACTCTCCCTTACATAATATATAGGAGGGGGGACAAAAAAACAAAAAAAAATAAATAAAAAATAAAGAAAGAAATAACAGGGAGCTGCACACAACCCATCCATCATTCACATCTCCCTCGAAATCTGTTCCGAAACCCGTGCCGTTCTGTGTAAAAATAAGTTGCAGATACAGATACAGATACATTTACAGATGCAGATACAGATACAGATGCGGATGCGTATACTATTCTAGCTCTTTTGCTGATCGCATTGATCGGTAAATCAGTTTATTTCCAGTTTTTTTCTGTAGCTGCTTCTCTGGCTAAACACTTGGATAAACACACCTCAGATTTCAATCGCAATTGGTGGTGATTCAGGGTATTTCATTGGTATTTGTGTTAGATTTCAGTTGGATTTCAGTTGCATTTTCTGTTGACTCGAAAAAAGTTTTAAATATTCATAAAATTCCATTAAAATTGTTTGCTCAAATGCCGCTTGATCAGGTTGCGTTTGCTTTGCTCCTCCATCATCATCATCATCATCGTCGTTGTGTTCATTATCGGTTGTTGTTTTTCCATTAAATTCCCTGCCTCTGCTTGCTGCTTAATGGTTTTGTCGCGTTTCGGAATTTACACAACCATAGAACACAAAAAAAAAAATACAACAAAAAAATACAAAAGCTAAAAACACACAAAAAACAAACATCAGCAGGCAGCTGAAAACAAAAGCAGCAGCAGATTCAGATTCAGATTCAGATTCAGATTCAGAACTCAGAATCATAAAATTCGTGAGCATTCAGCTGACAGTTTAATAAATGCTCGACTTTCCCCTCCACCTTATCCACAATTTTTGCCTCTGATGCTGTGTAAGTGGGCGGGATGCTGTCAAGATTCCAAACACCGAGAGAGGAGAGGGAGAGGAGCATGGAGAAGGGGATCCAGGGAATGGATGCCAAGAACACGAGATCAGTGGCTTATGGAATTCCTCAAGAAATGCTAGAATCTTAGAGATTTAGGCTGGTTTACTAATGCAAAACAATATTTGGTCAAGTAAGATCATATAATAAATGATCATAAATCACCATAAATCATGTATTTGGTAAGCTATGATAATATAAAACATAAAAAATAGAAAAATATTGAGAGAAGATATAAGGTCTTTTGTTAGTGAGTTAAGAGGATGATATACTTTTAATCTTTTATAGATCTCTTTTATGAGGATTTAAGATCTTGAGATCTTGAGCTAGAGAGTTAAGTTGAAACTATGATTAGAATGAAAATATAGGAAAATTTGAAGAGGTTTTCAGGTCTTTAGATATGGAGATAAAAGGAATATATACCTTCGATCTTTGGTATTACATAAAAAGATATCTAAAGATATCTAAGATCTAAAGTTATTATACCTTTGTTCTATGGCATTTTCATAGATTTCTCTTAGTGGTCTGGGTAGCTGGTTCTCTTGACCTGATTCCTCTGACTTGTATTCAAAACATACTCTTAAAGTATCTGCCTTAAGATCATGAGTTTCAACTATCATCAATGTTGACTTTCAGAGATGGTTCTTCATTTTTTGCATCCAATCTCCTTTTACTGGTGCTCCGATCTCTGTCTGCAGATACTTCGATCTTTTACGATCTGTACCTGAGACTTGTTTAATCTTCACCTGTTATTTCCACAATCTCTGCCTGCTAGTTCTTGGATTTTCTCCAATCTCTGCTTGATACTCCTTCAATCTTTTTTCGATATCCTTGTAGTACAGCTCCTATTTCCTCCTCTTGATTCTTCGATCTCCTCCGATCTCCCCCAGCTGCTTCTGCTGCACTTTGTCATTCGTTTGATGTGCATTTCGTTTTAGGTCGTTGTATAAAAATACGCGAATTTCTTTTCTGTTCTGTGGGTTGATTTGCTTGATCTTTTGGCAGCAAGACAAGTGCCAGGTGCTGATGGCTAAGAGATTCCCTGTCGCCCAGTCCCTTTTTCCCTGACCCATTTCGTTTCGAGCTGGCTCCTCCAGTTGCCAGACATACCCCGCAAACTCACAGTCTCTCGATCTCCCAACCTCTCAGCCTCAATTAGTGCAGCATAAGAGAAGAGTAACGAGTAGAAAAAAAACGCAACATGATTTAAATTGCTGTCACTGTCAGTTGTCAGACAACGGCGACAACAACAGAAAAAACTGGCAAGCTGGCAAGGCGCAGCACGAGCTACACAGAATAACAGCAAAATGTATCTTATAGATACACGCCCGCTGAGCTGACATAATAATCCCAGAAAGTCTCCTCCAGTCGCCTTGTCTTGGCCAGAAGTCAGCCACATGGGCGGAAAAATGTGCCCCTTTTTTCCGAATGCCCGATCTCCGCCAGCTTTTTTTTTGCCTTTTCTCTTTGGCTGTCACTCAAGCTGTCGGAGAAAACTGGCAGCCATGATCCACATTCGGTTGGATAGAGAGAGGAAGAGATGGTGGAGCAGGAGGTGCTAACATTTGGTTAATAATTCAGAGCACGATCGCAGAGTGTATATATATATATATGTAGATGGGATCTCGACCAAAATCTAGAGTAGAGAGTGGGTGAGTGGGTGGGTTGAGCACCGGGGGCAATCCCTTTTTGGTTTGGCAAGCCGGAACTATTATAGCAATAGATATCTCTATATATATATATAGAGAGATGGATGTATATAGTGATAGATATATATAGTGTTACACTCTAATTAGCATAATGAAACGAGCTTTTAATGAGCTGGTAGGAAGTGTGTGGGCCTTTTTAGGGGCCCAAAGACTTCCGATTAGAAATTCATTTGAAATAAAAGTCGTAAAGTCAGGCGGCCGATCACTTGCTGTAACCTCATGTGCCACATGCTAATGAGGTTCATTCAGCACTCTTCACTCAGCACTCTTTACAAAGCAATTTCCTTTACCAACTCTCCACCCCATACTCTTTGTTACCCAATATTTACAACCAAGTCTCCACCCGTTCCACTCTCTATACCGCAATCTCCACTCTCTGCACTTTTCACCTCCCACACTCTCACTACCTCTATACTCTCCACTCTCCACTCTCCCCTATGCCATTTGCCACTTCCTACTCTCCACTCTCACCTCTCCGCTCCCCACTCTCCACTCCCCACTCCCCAGTCCCCATTCTCCACTCTCCACTCTCACCTCTCCGCTCCCCACTCTCCCCTCTCCACTCTCCACACCCCACTCTCCGCTCTCCACTCTCCACTCTGCACTTGTTTAATTGTCAATTGAATGCCAATTCCAATTTCCCTCGATCGATCAAATCCATCCGCTTGTGGAACCAAACCCAAGACCCATAACGAACCTAGAGACCTAACCCAAACCCGCACTTGTTGCTCACTCTCTCTCTCTCTCTCGTTCCATCTCTTTTCTCCACGTTCTCCCCTGGTCGGATCGGTGGACAAAAAACCCCACCCGCTGTTGTGTGGTGACGGTGGCCATAATGGTTGATTTTAATTAAATATTTCTTCTTCCTGTTGTTGTTTCCCTCGTTTTCGCTTGTTCGCTCTATGACAGAGCCCACTCCGAACAACAGGCCCCCCCCCCAGTCTCAATCCCTTTCCTATATACCATTTCCAAGTCCCATTCCAATATCATTCCCAACCCCTTACCATGGTATCCCTGCCTTCCGCTTTCTGCTTCCCAGTTCATGACAAGTGCACGACCTCCCTGCCAGATTGAGAGAGAGAGAGAGAGAGAGAGAAAGAGAGAGAGCGAGAGCTAAAATAGAGAAAAGAGATAGCTAGATTTTCCAGGGAAACCCATAGGGTCTTTAGGGACACACTTCTTCCTGGCCCAAGCAACGGAAGTGTCTTCCCACTTGCCAGCTCTGTCGCGTTTCTCGCATAAATAATAATCGCTGTCTATAATAGTTGATAATCCAAGGAATATCGGGGAATCGAAGTGCCGAGGAGCTAAGGAAAATACTATGAAGGAGGAGGATGGGGGCAATGGGGATGAGCATTGAACCCAAGCCAGGCTGCAGTCGGTGGTCGGTCATTAAAGTTGATTGCAAACTGTACGCATTTATGATCGCTCCGATGATCGTGATGATGAGGGAGAACATGATAATGTACAGGATGATGAAGAGGGATGATGATGATCATGATGATGATGATGATGTAGACGATGATGATGAGGGAGATGGCGTCGCATTATCAGCAGCAACATTAGCATGACTATGACCGTTGGCCGTTTATTAGTTTGCCGTTGCGCGAATTATTTTGATGCGAGCCAATGATAGAGGGAGTAGAAGAGGAGAAAGGGAGTCCCAGCTCCTCCAGCATATATATATTTATATATATATATATATATAGCTAAGAGATATGGTCTCCAGCTGCTCTGTTCCCATGGGAAAGTCCAGAGTTTTTTGCTCATAAAAACTCATCATAAACTCATTCCTTTTGCAGAATATGTTGCCGCCAAGACTGCTGCAGCCGGGCAGCGGCCCAGCGGAATTGGATTTGGAGTTGGACAAGGATGAGGAGGAGATGCACACAATGTTTCACAAGCGAAGGCGCAGAAGGAGCAGCTGGCTAAAGGGTGGTCCTGCCTGCCTAACCCTGCTCGTAATGCTCTTACTATATGCAGTAGCATCCTGTACAGCCGCCTCACCCGCCTCCACAGAAGTGTCTGCACCGGATGATCCTCCTCTTGCACCAGCTCTTGCAACGGCCATTAGCTCCTCCTCCAGTTCACCCTGTGCCCCCCAGCATTGGTGGGACTCGCAACGTGACCGGTGTACGGCCTGTACCCGGTGCCAGGGTGAAATGATACCGCTGCGTCCATGTCAACTGCATACGGATACCATTTGTGGTTCTATCTATGACCTCAAGATCGATTGGGTTGTCCTGGCCAAGACAGAGCCCAACTGGAAGGAGGTGAGTGCTGGCAACCGAGTACCAAGTATATCTTTTATATATATTTATCGGTTCTAACCCGCAGCGTCGAAAGTCCTCGGAGTATGAGCATTTTGGGCAAAATGCTGCCCCCTTGCAACACTTGAGTCACGAGCAACTGCAGCAGCTGCATGAGGAGGCCACGGCTGCCGCTGCCTGGGCATTGGATTGGCAGACCGGTGTCCTCTATGTGGCAGTGCTTACCTGCCTCATATTTTTCTCTGTGGCCGCCTGCATACTCATTCATCACATGCGGCAGTGGCGCCGCATGGAGCGACGCCTGGATCAGGGTGAGTGTTGCATGTTGCACCTACTACGGGTAGCAATTTCTCCCCAAGAAGCTCTAGTTTCTTTACCTCAAAATATATGTACATGTGTATAGCTTTCACACGCTCCTCCTGCGTTTTCACCTGCCCACCCCTTTTCGGTCCCAACTCATTAGAAATTCAGAGCTCGTTCAAGGGCTCAGTCCCAAAAGCAGAGAGACTCGATCTCCCTGCTTGGCATGCCCGACCATCACTCACCTGCTGATGTTGCTACTACTGCTTTGATTGATCCCGGCCCTAAGCAGCATAAGGCATGGATCAGCAGACTCTATAGCATACATATTTATAAGGCGACGGGGCCCAGAACACGACACTTTGATGTATGGGAATCTCTGCTTGGCATCGCCAAAGAATAGCTGCACGACTTGAACGCAACTCCAAGGCATATTAAAGAGTTTCGAGTGGAGTTTCTCGGTGCCAATGTAGAACGAAATGTCCAAATATTTGGCCATTCCCATTTGCATGGCAAATGGAGGAGCAGTCTCTAACCATTTCCATCACAAACTTGACCGAAGAACGGGAGCCACTGCTTTGCTCAAATGGAGCATATCGCATACACAATACAAGGGATCTTTCTTTTGCAATCTGTGGAAGACTGCTCCCAGACGCTGGCCACATGTGGCAGCAGAAAGAAATAAGAAAAAAATGAAATTAGATGGAAAAGTGTGTATGCCATGGGCCTCAAAGGCACTGGTAAAATATTGCGATCAACGTCATATCATAAAATATTGTAAAGTATATTGATATCATATCTTTTTATAGTTTCAAAAAGTAACTATATAATATAGAGGTTTTTAAATTATTTTTATAGGTTCTAAAAACCTTCTTAAACTCTTATAAAATTACCTGAACCGTTGAGAATTTCCCCCTTTTTCAAATAAAACTAAGATCGTTAGAGCTCAAACCTTCCTTCACTCTAGATTGATTCGTCTGTTGAGGTCTCTGTTACGATTTATGCTCTGTTTTGTCTTTTGAAGAGGATTCTGTCAGTAGCTTTTTCTCTGTTTGTTTGGTAATCATAATTCAGGGCGTGTCACATTGCACATTGCGTGTCCAGTGTGGAAAATTTATGGAGCTACAGTTGAGGAAACTCTAAAAAGGAGGAGGAGGAGGAGGGTACCCTGAGGGTGCGAAGGGAAGTGCCAAGCGAATGCCACGCCACTTGCCGAAACCGGAAGTGAATCTTCGCGTACAGGTAGTGTAGCCTATCCCTATACCAATTTTCAGTTCCAATATCCCCTTCCTCAAGGACAAGCGGATGTTTGTTGGAAAATTTCAAAATCATGTCACACAAGCATGTACATTTTTGAGGGGGGGTGGAAAAACATGTTGTTTTCCCAGCGACAGCAACAGGAAATGCCCAGGAAAAAGGCTGGAATTTTATGTGTTGTCTATTTTATGTTTTCTGTTTGCAGTGATTTTTGTTTCTATTTCTCTATTTTCCTCAATTTCCCTTAATTTTTCCCGCGATCTCATCGACAGTTTTAAATGTTTAAATGGTTTGACAGCCTTTATAAAAAGGGGCAGAGCTGAGCTCCCTGCACTTCCGCCCGTGGCAGGGATCTATAAATATGCCTTGGGCTATATGTGTATCTATATATATCTGGGTTTATATATATATATATATCTTTGTTTATATATATATATCTTTGTTTATATATATATATTGAAAGTGATTGAACATCGACCAGCTGCTGGCAACACTTTACTCGAGTTGCATTCAAGCGCAGCATTGACAATCGCTGGGTTTGCGCCCTCTGCAAAAGACTCCAGCATCTCGATCAGTTTTCCCCAGCTATATCTTTATCTTTATCCCCCCTAACCATCCCTTTATCCCCCCGTAACCATCTCATTATCCCTTCATAACCTTCTCTTGATTCCCCATCTCCCAAGAGTCTCTGCCTCTTGGCACGCGCTCCTGGCTCATGGCTTTCTTCAGGGCATTTCAGGGCGATAAATTCAAACAGCAGACATCGAGGGAAGCCAAGGAAAGAAGATGAGGAGCTGGGAGGGAATCTGGGAGAGCTGGAGAAGTTTCAAGAGGAACTGGAGAAGAGGGAAGAAAAGCAGGAGGAACTGGAGAAGATAGCAGAGGAGTAGGAAAAGCTGGCAGAAGATGGAGGAGGAACTGGGAGAAACTGGGAGCAGCTGGAGGAGGAACTGGGTGAAGCTGGAGGAGGAACTGGGAGCAGCTGGAGGAGAAACTGGAGGAGGAACTGGGAGGAGGAACTGGGAGGAGGAACTGGTTGAAGCTAGAGGAGGAATTGGGAGAAACTGGGAGAAACTTGATGAGAAACTGGGAGAAGCTAGAGGAGGAACTGGAAGAAACTGGGAGCAGCTGGAGGAGGAACTGGGAGAAGCTAGAGGAGGAACTGGAAGCAGCTGGGGGAGGAACTGAAGGAGGAACTGGGAGGAGGAACTGGGAGAAGGAACTGGGAGGAGCTAGAGGAGAAGCTGAAAGAATCTAGAAGAAACCCAGAGTAGCAGGAGAAGCAAAAGGAGAATCTGTGGAAAATCTTCTTGCAGCTTGTATATATTTCCATATTCGTATATGTGTTTTGCGGGCATTTCCCTTCTTTTTTTTCCTCCCCCCTTCAAATGGTTTTTCGCGCTTCCATAAATAGATTGGCGGAAAAATGGCTACCCAAGATTGGCCAGAGATCTCTGGAACATTGATTCCCGTATCTACTCCTACTCTTCTACTCTTCTCTTGATTATTTCCCACTTTGAAAGTCCAAATCCATTTAGGAAAACTCTCTTCCTGGACTTTGATTTTTCCTAGGAAAAACTCAATGCTTACCTCTTAATGCACATGTGGCCGGAAAATGGAAAATTTTCATATGCTATGAGAGGGGTGGGAGGAAGGAGAGGGGGCAACCAAGACAACAAATTCAAATTCAAAACCAATTGAACTGCGCAAATTTGAAAAATTGAAAAAGAAAAAATTGGGGGAAAAAAAAAAACAAAAACTTGTGCCTGCTGCCTTTGTTTTTATATTTTTATTTCCATTTTCCAAGAGATTTTTATTGTTTGCGCCAGAGATTGTTTATAATAAAAGGCGTTGAACGATGGACGAAAAGAAGACGCACATCGGCGGCCGTCTCTCTTGGGCAATGGGAACTTAATTTTCTTTTTTCATTTTCATTTTCATTGGTGTTTTTCCTTGATTTTTTCTTTTGTGTATTATGGTTTTTTGCTTTTTTTCTCCCTACTTTGCTGCCAGTTTATAAATAAATGATAAATTATCTGCTGCTGGCCTCGATCAGTTAGCCAGCGGCGCCTCTTGTTTACAATTCGCAACTCATCCGGAGCAGTTTCCTGTGGCAGACCATAAACATATCGATCCGATGGCCGAAATTTGTATTTTATACATTTTTAAGGAAACCTGAATGAAGGCCCTTATAACGGGGGATATATATAGATCGGGGTTGCATGGGTTTTGGGTGGATTTTTGGGTGGGTTTTGAACTGGTTTTGGCTTGATTCTGACTGGGTTTTAACCTGGTTATGGCTTGTTTTTGACTGGATTTTGTCTGGGACTCAGCTGAATTTGGATTGGTTTAGGATAGGGTATGTCTGGGTTATAATTTGGTTCTATCTTAGTTCTGTCTTAGTTTTGAAATGGTTCTGGTCTTGCTTCTGTCTAGGTTCTGGCTGGATTTTGACCTGGTTTTGAGCGGGTTCTGTCTGGTCTTCAACTGATCTGAATTAGTTTAGGATAGGGTATGTCTGGGTTATAACTTGGTTCTGTCTTGGTTCTGTCTTAGTTTTGAAATGGTTCTGGCTGGATTTTGACCTGGTTTTGAGCGGGTTCTGTCAGGGTTCTGTCTGGGTTCTGTCTGGTCTTCAGCTGGATCTGAATTGGTTTAGGATAGGAATTGTCTGGGTTATAACTTGGTTCTGTCTTGGTTCTGTCTTGGTTTTGGCTGGATTTTTACCTCGTTTTGGCCTGGTTATGTATGGGTTTTGTCTGGGATTTTGCCTGGGATTTTGACCTGTTTCTGCCTAGGCTCAGATAAGTTTCTTACTTGAATCGGACTGGGTTTCGACCTAATTTCTGACTCGGTTCCAGCTGGATTCCAGCTTGCTATATCCCCCACTCTAAGCTACCCAATAACCTTCCATTCCAGGCAGTTTCCTGCAACCTTCAACCTGGTTTCCACTTCTTGTTAACCTTTAATTAATTCCATAAAATTAACCCCTTTTAACTGAAACCCTTTTCTGATCCCCTCCCTATTTGCAGACGTGGAGGAGCTGTCCACGAAGCTAATGGCCAAATTGGCCGAGGTCCAGAGTCTGGATGGCGGCACGTTCTTCATTGGCAATGCGGATGCCTTGCGGGGATTACCCAGTTCGGCCATGGTGACGGCCACATCGGCGTCTGTTGCCGCCTCCCATGCCGCGGCGGCGGCGGCAGCAGCGGCAGCGGCATCCCACTCCCAGGGTATCTTTCAGCCGCAACACGTGCTGTTGCCGGGTAAGTGTACAAAAGAATTCCAGATGACCAAAAAAAAAAGAAATTCAAACCACTTGAAGGAGCCACAGGGAATCAAAGCCAGCGGGTGGGCAGTAAGGTCAAGCCAAAGAATAGACGCTTAATTAGCATGGCAAAAAAAAATACATATAAACTAATGTTAATGGGGTATCAAAGGAGTCCCTGGAGATACTTATTCCGGTTTTTATTTTTCTCTATTTTCTTTCCACAGAGAAACGCAACGGTGGCAAGCACCAGGAGCGTCGGATCCTGAAGGCTCTTCAGCCGGGCAATGTGTACATCGAGGAGAGTAATGTGCCACCTGGTGGCTTTGGGCATGGCCTGGGCATGGGTCACAAGAACTAGGCTCCAGACAGAGATAGAGAGAAACAAAAAGAGAGAGAGAGCATACTTAAGGACTAAGGATTAAGTGAGACGGAAACGGAAGCCGGAAGAACGATATATACAAAAATATATAAAATATAAAACATAAAAACTTTGTACAAACAGCCGCTTAAAAGAAAAGAGAAATGGGGGATCGAAACTATTATTATTTTTTACACACACACATATATATATTATATACGTATATTATTTAAATAATCTTATTCTAATTATAACGACCCTTTTTTTTTTTGAATCGTTATGTTGACTTGTTTGTAGCTTTGGAAAGTACGGCGGCAGGAGGTTTTGTACATAGGCGAAAGGCCACGATTAAATACGACTATAATTATTATATATATATATACGTAAAATATATATATATAATTAACAAATTTTTCTACTTAATGTAAATACTAAGGCGAATCTACGAACGAGAATGGTATAAAGCCAAAGCCAGGCAATATCGGCAGCATATCAGCTACTATATATATAAATATATATACTTATATTGGGACCTTATATACAGTGTCCCAGTTAAAGTTTAAACCATATCCAAGAAAATCGATTTAATTGTAACTATAATAATAATAATAAATAATAACGATTAATTAATAAATAACTATAATGTTAGGGCGAAAATGTTTATGTTTTAAGTGCTACAACTATCATCATCATCAAACTGTGTGCAAACGAGAATAAAAATGTTCTATGAATACAAATATATATATTTTGCATTAATGGGGCTTACATTTGTATATGCAAATATTGTATTTTATATTTTATATTATATATATTTTATATTGATATAATTTATAAATAGTTGTTGGTTCTTTTATGACACTAAATACCTTTTGATTTTTATTTCTTTTAGAAAATCATATGTTAGGCCTGATTCCAGTTGATTTTGTATATATATTTATACAGGGTATTGCAGGGTATTATAATTTTAATCAGAAGCTTAAAACTCAGTGAAGAAATCATTTCCGACCCTATAAATCATATATATTCTTGATCAGCATGAACAGCCGAGTCGATCTAGCTATGTTTAAAAGAAAAAATTTTGTACAAATTTTTCAACATTTTTTTAAGGTGTTACATCGTTAAAATTTTTGAAGAAAAATTGAAAATATTTCATTTTTTTATTTAATATGCGGATTTGTTAATCTAATAAAAACTAGCATAGAACTGTTTTCCGATTGAAAATTAATGAATTTTTGGCTAAGTTATGATGGATTTTCACTGCATTGGTATAGACATTTTTGGGTTTACGAAATTAATTTAATTTCTTGATATTTTTTTTGGTTTTTATAAAGAATATATTTTATATAGATAATTTGAGCTTTATTAGTGACCTACACTTTGTTATAATGCTTCTGCTGAGCTCATAGCTTTATTGATTTCTGGGGGAAAATGATCTCTAAGATCTTAAAATCTTTTTTTAACTATTAAATCTTCAAGATCTCTGTTTTCCTTAAAATTGTTTGCTATCTCTATGGTCTTGGCTATCTCTGAGGTTTTGTTCCTCCATCAATGATAGGCATTTCTATGATCTCTAAGAACTCTGGAAAACCTTTAAGATAGAGAGACCTCTGCTAATATAGGATCTTTAAAATATTTCTGTTAAAATCTATTCTATCTATTTTCTATCTATTAATACGTTCTCTTGGCTTTCTGCAATCTTATAAATTTCTTCTTTATACGTTTTCTAAGATCTCTAGAATCTTCCAGATAGAACTTTTGCCTTTGCTGGCTGGCACCAGAGTGTCTACAGTCCGGAGATCCTAATGGAAGTGTCGCCTTAAGAAAATATCTCCCTGAAAACAACCAAAACACATGTAAAAAAGATACACAAAACTAATGGGTACGGCAGAAGGCAGGCCAGGAAATGTCTTTCAGTCTTTCTGTGGAAATGAAAATGAAAATGGAAATAGGCAGAGGCAGAGGCAGAGGCAGAGGCACCTCCCCTTTCCCCTCCTTCTCCACCCACATCCCGCGAGCGTTGGGTGCATTTTTCATTTTACAATTTGCATTTTACGAGAGAATTGTCTCCAAGTTAACATTGAAAATGGCCAGCGACCGACGACCGGACGGAGGGACAACAAAATGCCTTTGCATTTATTAATGCTGCTTGTTTTGCAGTTACACAATCTTAAACGATTGCCACTTGTGGTTGTGTGTATACACACAACAATGTGTTTGCCATTATTGCCGCCGTTGCCGACGCTGCCGCTTCTAATTCCCAATGAAATCCGGACTGCAAAGCGGGCAAAATATAATATTTCCAATGAAAAGCCGATGCCCAGTCCCAGTCCCCGATTATTGACCATTCCGCTCACGAAGCTCGAGAGTTTCTGATTGAAGATTGCTGGATTCCGTCGACCAGCCATGAGCTTGATGGCCTGGCCAGCAGCAGTAGCAGAAATTAATTAGCTGAGACGTGGCATAAATTAGCAACAGATAGCAGAAGCAGAAGCAGAAGCAGAAAGCAGATAGCAGAAGCAGAAACCAGAAAGCAGAAAGCACATACGAGCAAGGAGTTCAGAGTCTATTAAAGGAAAATTATACCAAAATATTTTCCTATGAAGAGATAATTCATAAAGCTATAAAATATGTTTAAAATTCTATTATATATATTATTTTTAATATATTTCAAATATACTTTCTACATTTTTCCTACTTAAAGAAACAGATCTTTGCAAGTGACTCTATAAGCCTACTTATAAAAGAGGTTTAAAGTGTAATCTTAAGCTTCAAATTTACTTCAATATCTTTTTTCCTAGCACTAATTAATAATCAAATTTATCACTGTAATACCCTTATAAATTCTCTATAATATCGTGTTCCATCTTCCATATCTTTCCATCTAAATATTAGTTTTATCGTTCTTTTTACTCCTACTTTGATCTAACTTCATGGCAATCTCCTTTGCTATGAAGTGATCCAAATGGATATCCGCTTTCAGTCTCTTCAACTTCTCAATGATTTTCCGGTGGCGCCGTCAGTTCCGATTTCAATTTTCCACAGTTTCCCATTTTCCCAGCTGCGATGTGATACCAAAGAGGCTGTGGCACATGCCAAACTCATTTGAGGTATTTTTAAAATGCAACAGGCAGCCAGGAAAACACTCGAAAAAAATAACTTGGATTAAGGAAATCTTGAAAATATAAATATAGGAAAAATATAAGGAATATTCTAAAGAAAAAATGCTATATTTTATATTAAATAGATAAAAATTGCAATTTTTTTATATATAACTAAACATTGCAAGAAATATCATTTAATAATAAATATATTTTGGTCCAATATATCAAATGGCAGATTGAGTTATTATAGTATTGATTATTATCGGAAATCGATCATAACTAAACTTAAAATATTCACATTGATTGATCCATATTTTAATATGATAATATTTTCGACATATCAAAGTTTCAAAAATCTCATAACTAAGGCAAAAATGTATTAATTTTAATCCGGAAAGCTTTCCCATGTTAGTTTTTATTATGTTAATAAATCTGCATACTCAGTTTAATATTTTTTAAAAATTAAAATTTTTGACAATTGTTGACAATTTTAACGATGTAACCCCTTATAAAATTTGTAAAATTTTGAAAAAATTAAATTTTTGCCGGATATAGCTAGTTCGAAGCGGCTGTTGATGCTGATCAATAATATATATGATTTATAGGGTCGAAAATGACTTCTTCACCTTCTTTTAAGCTTCTGACTGAAGGTGCATTACCATTTTTTAACCGATATTAACTATATTTTTATATGAAAATTTTACGACAAATCAAAAAGTAAAAAATTCATAACTAAGCCAAAAAAGGATTAATTGTAGTTCGGAAAGCAGTTTTATGTTAGTTTTTAGAAGGTCAAAAAATTTGCATACTCAGTTTAATAGTTTTAAGAAATTGAAATTTTTATCAAATTTCTGACAATTTTTACGATGTAAACCCTTAAAAATTTTGAAAAAAATTAAAAAAAATTTTTTCTCCTATACATGGCTAGAAAGATTCGCCTGTTGATGCTGATCAAGAATATATATGATTTATGGGGTCGGAAATCATTCCTTTACTTAGTTTTAAGCTTCTGACTTAAATTATAGTACTTAGCAAGGGTAAAAAATAGTTAAACAGAAAATGCACTTATAGCATTTATATCACAAGTCCAAAATATTCATATCTCTTCAAATATAAATACAGTATCTATATATCTATCTTTTAACCGAAGATACATTTAAGAAAGTTTCTTTTTCAATATAAATCTTTGAAATATCTATGAATTTGTAATGCAATTTAAACCCTATTTTTTTGTATTCCAGTGAAAAGAAATCCCTTAAAGTAATCCTGTATTTTTTCTCAGTGTTCCGGCAAACCGAAAGGGAAACATGACGCTTGACGGAAGAGGCTTCATCTGCATCTGCGGCAGCTGTCCCGTGATGCACTTGAGATCGTAAAAAGCGGAAGGGCGGAAGGAAGTGGCCATTAATCCAGGAGGGGGATGGGGGCATCTCCATCTGCCTAGTTACAAGATACTAGATGGAAGATACTCGATATACTTGTCGTTGGAAATTAATAGGCACGGCCAATTGCTCAATGAATCAAAAATAGCGCCACGAGGAGGCGAAACTCTGACTGGAGATCCCATTCAATGGGCAAGTTCGCCTCGGAATGTGCACGTCGCTCTGGCATTTTTGGCTTTCTGGCACTTGGCCATCAAACGAACTGGCTAACTGACTGGCTAGCTGGCTGCCCAAATGTGGTCAGCAAAGGCGTTTGATACGCTCTGCGGGCCACCCCCTTTTTTGGGGACTCGATTTGAATTTGGCCGCGAGCAAAATAATGGGTCGCTTTTGGCCCGTTTCCGTTGGCCGAGAAATGCCAACGGCGGAAATGCGAAACGAAAAAAAATTGCAAAACGTTTGCTGGAAGGAAAAAAAAATTAATGGAGGGGGGAAAAACGTGTCAATTGATGGGAAAACCAGGGGAAAACCAAAGGGAAACCCAATAGACCACAAAACAAACAGACCGACAGGAAGTGAGTTTTGCTGCCGGAAGTGCAGCTGCTGTTGGGTATCTCTTTCGGGGAGATGAGATCATCCGGCTTAAAAGCCAAAGTTTTTCATGGATCTAAAATCGGGTGGATTTTCCACATAAAGCTTTTCCCCAGCTGGTTGAGTTGTCTGCTAGAAGGAGAAGGTTTTCTTTATATGAGTTTTTCTATATTTCTTTGAACTGTTAAACACTTTACATTTGTTTATCTATAAATTTCTTGTTTAGAAAAAAATACTTTAAAAATATTTTCCAATTTCCCGTGATCTAGTTTTCCTGGTAATCTTAAATTTTTATTTTTAACATATCAAGTAAGCCCTGCCTTAGATGTCACTATCATTCCATTACGTACTCGTTGTCGTTGTGTATCTTTGTCATTGCTTACGAGTCGAGCAAGGAGTTCACATCAGACGAGTACAAAACAAAAAAATAAAATAAAAACAAAACAAAATTTTGTTACCTAAATTGCTTTTGGAAAAAGTTGTATATTTTCAAAGTTTCAAAAAAAAAAGTTTTGAGTTATATTTTCGTTTCAAAAAATGGTTCCGGTTAGCGTAAACACGGTCACCAAAGAGGATACCTTGAACAAGGAATCCTTTGAGGAAAACTTAACAGAGAACATACTCAACATGAACATCTTGAATGATAGCGTTGAAGTTAAGAACACTCCAGATACACTATCCCTTGCTTCAGCAGGTAATTTTACTAATCCTACTTCCTCAGAGTCCTTGAGTTATACTCAAAATTCTTGTTCCTTGACAGACGCTTGTTGCTGTCAAGACTTCGACACTCAATTGGAGGTGTATTCCTTAACAAAGGTGATCCGTTTCCCATTCTCATTCGATTGGGATATCATTTTTCAGCCAAAGAACTTGCATCCTCGCTTGGAGGAGCTCATCTATTGGCGTGACATCTCGAAATCTGGATTGATTTTCGCCGCTGGATTTTCCATTCTTGTGGCCATTAAATGCTTCTCGATCTTCTTTGTGATGCCTTTATTGCTGCTCCACATTATGCTTGGCTCTGTGGCCGGTCGCATCTACAATGCCATAATGCTATCTGCCTCGGGCAAGGATCAAGGATCTGAATATGACTGGATTGAATACGAGAATATGGTCATTCCACTGCAACGGGAGAAGGTGCTAATAGTGACTGGATTAATTGTGGAACTGATCAATGATCTGATTGACCATCTGAAAGATCTCTTTTTGTTTAAGAATACCGTCGATTCGATACATTTTAGTTTATTCCTCATGTCGTTGGCCATGGTGGGCAACATGATGAATGGCATGACCGTGATTATATTGAGTAAGTCTAGTTAAGATTAGGTTTTTAATCTAGAGGTCCTTTAACATTCTTTCGTTACAGTTTATATCTTTGTATTTACCATTCCAAAGCTGTACGAGAAGAATAAGGTTTATATCGATACTAAATTTATTTGCATGCGCAAAAATTTGACCACAATGATGAACAAGTGAGTTACCGGGGATGCTGAAGAGAGGTCTTACCCATTCTTATCCTTAATATCCCTTATCCTGTGCAGGTTTCGTGTGCTCACTCCCCAATAAATACTAGACAAGGAGGAAAAAAGTTCTGGCTGGGACATCAAGATTTACATACACACGAAATTGTTAAATAACCTTTATTGGGTTGCATTTAAATCCCATCTCATAACATTGTTATTGTTTTAATAAAGCCACGCCATGGGTGATATTCATGTTTAAAAATTAGCTGTTTTATTAAAGACCTGAGATTATACCAAAGAATGTGGAGGGTTAATGATTTTGTTCGGTGTTTTTTTCTTTGCTGTTTTTTTAAATATTATTATTTTAGTCAGAAGCTTAAAACTAAGTAAAGTAGTCATTTCTGACCCTATAAATCATATATTCTTGAACAGGCGAATCTTTCTAGGCATGTAAAAAGAAAATAAATTTTTGAACATTTTTTCAACATCGTTAAAATGTTCAAAATTCTTAAAAATTTTACATTTTAAATGGAGTATGTAGATTTATTATTTTCGATTGGAAATTAGTGCATTTTTGACTGAGATATGATTTATTTAGTTTATAGAAATTTCTGTTTTACGAATTTAAACTTTTTAAATATTACTATTAAACCTACCTTTATAATATTAGCTTTATAAACTTTTGATCACATTTAAAATTCAAGAAATCAAGAACTTAATTATTATTCTATTATAAATCCCACAAAACACTTTATGAAAGTAGTTATATTTATTTCGAATAAAATAAAACCCTGAACTGAAATCGTTGTCAAGATTTGACATTTGTCAAAACATTTATTCGTCTCCAACAAAATCAAAGCCCTGTAACTCGGCTAGAGAGCTTCCATATTCTAGTATTATATTTAATATTTCGCTTAATATATATAAATAACTTGGAGGCAAGTCCTCTGCGGCATGTACTCCACCGAAAGGAGTCGGCAACCCACCAGGAACTCCACCATCGACCCCCAGGACATCTTTACACCACAGCTATCCTGCCTTGGGGAGCAGAACAAGGACAAGGACAAGGACTCGGACAAGGATTCGGACAACGACTCGGAGAAGGCGGTAAAGATGCTGGGCACATCGTCAGATTACTATTCGGAGGAACTGGAAATGGAGGACCTAAAGGCCTTCGAGATACGTATGGAGGAGCTGGCCACAGCCAATAAACGGCGTCCCTTTCGCTGGCCCTTGGTGTTGGGCACAATCTTTGCCTGCACTGCGATCAGTGCCTGCCATTGGGTCGAGGATGTCCGTGAGAGTGATTCCTATGTCCTGCAACTGCTCTCCAGTCGCGGTGCCCTTGCCATCTCACTGGCCACCCTGGTCATGATGATCCTCTATGGGGCCAAGCATGTGACCAAACGTTATCCCAGCGAATCCGTGCGGTCCACACGGGATGCCCTGGCTCTGTTCCAGCTCCATTGCGATAACGATGGTCGCCTCATTCGGGTGGAACCAATGCCGAGGGAGGCTTCTCGCAGGACATCATTTAATTCCCGTGGTTCGCACAATACACATTGACCAGCAAATCACCAAAGAGTCTCGGTTTATGCATGTTATTGAAACTGGTATTTGGAAAATAATTCAATAATAGTAAATAAAATATTAGTAATAAAATAATCAGTAATTAAAAGAGATTGTTATTGTTTTTAAATTATGGTTTTCATTTGAATTTGTTCCTGATCGATTTGTATATGAAAAGTCTAATATAATATACATATATATAAATATATATTAATATGACAATTTTTTGGGGAAAATCAAAAATGAAAAATATCATAGCTTGAACAAAATTCATTAATTTAAGTTCGGAAAACTTCTCTATGCTAGTTTTTATGGGATTAACAAATCTACATACTTATTTAAATATTTAAAACATTTTCAAATTTTTGAAAATTTTAACGATGTAAAAAACGACTAAAATATTTGAAAAAATTGTACAAATTTTTGTTTTGCCAAATATGGCTAGATCGAATCGGCTTTTCACGCTGATCAAGAATATATATAATTTATAGGGTCGGAAATGACTCCTTCACCTTCTTTTAAGCTTCTGACTGAAGGTGCATTATCATTTTTTAACAGATATTAACTATATTTTTATATTCAAATTTGACTACAAATCAAAGTATAAAAATCTCATAACTAAGCCAAAACGTATTAATTAGTATTTAAATAATAATAATAATAATAATAATAATAATACTAATATAAAAATATAAGATTTAATAAAGGGTTCACAGAACTGATATCTTAATATACTCTTAAAAATGGTTGAAAAATGAACCTCAATTAGAACCCATTATAATGTTTTTTAGATTGAACTTACGATTCTTTGAAGTTTATAGTAACCTTTTGTTGTTGTAATTAACCCATTTCTTTCTCCCAATTTGAAATAATTGAAACAAGTATATTTTATTTTAATTTGCATACACACAAAAAGGTCTTTATTGTTTCGCTTTTATGGTTTTTTGGTTTTAGTTTCTTTAGATCTCATTTGTTGGTTTGGTTTACTTGTGGTTTTGGTTTTCCTTTTATTTTATTTGTTTTTTTTGTGGGAAATACATAGTTCTGCTGTTTACTTGCTAAATACATTTGAGTTTGGTTGTGGTTCGAATACTTGATCAGTGGTGTTTCTTGTTTTGAGATGTTGTTTGTTTGTTTGTTGTCTTGAAACCAAATCACTTTGTTGGGTTGACGAACGAAAAGCTTTAACACTGTCCAGTTTTTTGGTCTTTCTGGGCTCAATGCGGCATAACTGAGTCAATGAGTGTTTCGTTTTCCTTTGTACTTTGTGGAAATGAGTATATGAGAGTATATAGAGTTTATTATTCATTCATTTTGTTTCGATTTCGATTTCGATTTAGATTTCGATTTGTATTGGTTGTTAGCTTTGCGTTTACATTTGGTTGGTTCCACTTGGTTAATGGGGCTTTCGCTTGGAATACATAAAGTTCTGTCATAGTACAATTACATATATATTAATTCTTTTACATTTTTTTGTTTATATTCACTTTATTTTTTTTTGGTTTTCTTTTATATAATTCTTGTTTCAAACATTTATAAATATGTGTGTGGTTTTTAAGTTTAATATTTATTTACTCTTGGGTCTGTCTGGTTTTTGCATTTTGGATTTTTGGTTTTTTGGTTTAGTTAACTTGGGTTTTACATAAGTGACTTTCTCTCTCGATGAGTCCCCTTTTGTGTACAACATTTAAAGCTTGACTATAAGGTTTTATCTCTGGATCCTTAGTTATCGAGGGACCTCCAAGTTTGCAGGGGCATAGTTCTTGGAGAGGCGTGTGCCCCCGCCTACAATACACAATTTCTTTGACACTTAGGCTTTATGCAAATTTTTTTATTAATGGTTGTCGCGTTCTCGTTTCCTTTTTAAATGTTAATGGTAAAAAATTTAAAAAAAATGTTTGCCATTTTTTTGTTGAAGCCCTCACATATGCCCAAGCCTGCGACTTGTCTTCTGTGTGGCACACTTCCGTTTCCTCCAATGCGTTCGCTTTCGTTTCCGTTTCCGCTTTGTCGCTTTATAAACCATTCTCTATATATTTGTATATATATATATATATATTTTTAAAATTAGATCGGGTTTACATTCTAGACACCTGGAAATACCCTGTATCCACTCATTCAACGTTTTTGGCGCTATTCCAATGTGGATATGAAGTTTAAAGCTTTTGCACAATGCAAGTGTTTCGAGAAAAGGTTCTACCTAGTTGTCTATCGTTATTCGTTAATCGTTAATCGTTTATCGTTAATCGTGTATATATATTTTGTTGATTTTTGGGGGGGTGGCTTAATGGAAAGCGATTCGGGGTGGAGTACAGGGTATTTTATAGTCGCCTACTCTCGACTATCACAAACATTGATGTACACCAACGGCTAAATGGAATAAGCTGTCGCCAATCGATCATTTCTCGATAGACTCTCGACATTTTCGATAGTTTGTTTTGTGTTTTTTGTTTTTAACTATTCGTAAACTGTGGCTAAGATATTATTTTCTGATCTTTTCGGACTTTGGGTTAATCGTTTCATAGTGAATCGGTGTTTTGTTTATGTTTTTTAAAATTTAATCGTTAATATATACACAAAAAAATAACGTTCAGTCAATTATAACTATATGTTTATACACATACTCACACTCGCACACTCGAGCACACACACACACACACACACACACAGACGAACACGTAAAGAAACAACAATGAGGCTTAAACGAATTACAATTTCTTGTTTTGTCTTTGTTTTTGTTTTCCTTTTTTGTTTCTGATTAGCAATTAGGTTTATCCCCTACTTGAATCCTTACGGCAAGGACATCATCGACATTATCGACGGTATTATCTCCCTCCGGTGCCCCTCTCCCTCGCACAATGGTTTTGGTTTTGGTTTTAATTATTTAATACATATACATATGTTAATAATCAGTCGCATAAATGAATCACCTTGCTTTGTTTCTTTGTTTTTCCGTATCCCTCATGTCCTGCTTTCCTTTCTGCTTCCTGACTTTCGGAGGATTTCCATTCACACACATGCACATACACCATCACACAGACAAGATTTTAGAGAAAGGATATATAAAAGAGTAAGGACTTTAAGGACTATGGGGTACCTGGTACTCCAAGTCATTTTGAAGTCGAAAATAAGTTTAACTTTAAGTTGAAAGTCAAAAGAAAAGTATTTTTTAAATCAATAAATACACAAATAATTGTTTTTCCTTTAAATTTGAAAAATTCTATTAGTAATTTAGAAATTTGTAATAAAATAAAAGCTAAATTTAGAATTTGTTAAACTTATAAATAATTCTTTATAGTATATATATAAAACCTTATAAACCTTTATAGAACACCTTTAAATCATTTTATATAAATGATGTAAACAAATTGTAATGTTTTTTGAAGCTTTAGGCTTTATACAATAAATAATGGTTGCTTTAATTAGTTGAATTTAGTAAGTACAATAATTAATAAATAAGCAGAAGAAAGGGAGAACTTTTGGTAGCGAAAGAAGAGCTTTTATTTAATACAGCTTCAATGATAATCCCAGATTTCTAGCAGGTTGTTTAAATAAAGTTGTGAATAAATATATAAATTGAATGAATATAAATTATTTTAAAGGGCTTGGAAATTAATGGAATATAATACAAATATTATACAAAATAGATGCATCTAAGCGAAATATAAAAAAAGATTACAAAACATATAGAAAATAATATAAAGACATCCTGGCAGGACATGCATATAGAAAGTCTCCCCAATGGAGCCCATTTCCGGGAAAGTTTCACACACACATACACACACTCTAGCACACTCTCACACACACAACCACTGGACACACACAACTCACACACATGGAAGGAAGTTCTTCGTCCCGAAGATCTAGTGCTGCAGGATGCGCGACTTTTGTGCCAACGTTGCCTCCGATTGATGAAGCCGCCGCTTGCTACTATAATTGCATAACTTGCCGGCGACCTTGCTGAGGGTGGTGGCCGTGGAGGAGGTGATCAGATCGAACGCCTGCAGCCGATTATCCAGCTCATCGAGGGCCGACAGCGAAGTGCTCGTCGTGGTGGCTGTGAGCAGGGTGGAGAGATTACTGCCAGGATCCCGTTCAGGATCCCGGTCCCCATTCCCATCGCCAGGCGCTTGGGCATCGCCCGCCTGGGTATCGACGGGGCCGGTATCAATGTCGCTGAGCTGATTGGCCAGCGGATCCTCGTCGTAAGGATCGTAGGGGGTCTTAATTATTGCTTGAACACGAACAGACCCGTGGGGTCCCACTCGTTGTCATCGACGGGGCCGAAGCACTCATCAAAGTACCATTCCATTGTCTTGTAGACATGACTCAGTGACCTGGCGATGGCATGATCCTCATCCGGATATACCTGATGCCGGAACTTAACCTGTTGCTCCACCAGGGCACGCACCAGCATAAGAGTGTGCTCCTGATGGACCAAGGTGTCGGCAGTGCCATGCATTAGCATCAGATTACGACCCTTGATGTTGCCCGCCTTCATGGTGAGATCCGCCTCCTGCAAGGCCCTCAAATAATCCCCCTTGAGGGGTATATAACGCTCCGTGAAGAAGGAATCTAGTTGGGGAGAAATGTGTTAAGGAACATCAATAGAGCTTCCTCAAAGGACTCACAGTGAAATCCAAAGTTCACAATTGGATTAATGGCCACCGCACACTGGAGCACCTGTTGCGAATCATCGATGAGCATCATGGCTGAGGCATAGCCTCCGTAGCCCCAACCAAAGGCGCAGATTCTCAGTGGATCTATGAACTTCAGATTGTCACGCAAGTATCTGTAAGATACATTTGAAATAAGCATCTCGTAAAGTCAGGGTTTTCATTCTCCTTACGTGAGTACGCCCAGCTGATCCTCCACCTCGACAGTGCCCAGTTTTCCATGAACCTGAGTGCGCAACAGTTCCCCCTGGAAGCCACTGCCACGTCCATCGATCTGGGCCACAATGAAGCTCCGCTGACTGGCCAGATACCAATTCCAGTCCACATGGAAGCGTTCCGTGACCAACTGCGAGCCCGGCGAGGCGTCGCTAAGTATGAGAAATTTAACAGAGAAATATTTTAAAATTTATATTACTCTATATCTTCCCTTGAACTTACACATGCAGCACCAGGGGAAAGGCCACATCCTCCTCTTCCCGCATTCCTGGAGGCAAAAACAGCCTCACTTGGGCATGGAATCCATGCCGTATTTCCACACTAAAGGTTCGCATCTGTGGCACTGCCAGTTGGGACAATCGATGGCGCAGGACATCGCCGGCATTCAGGACATAAATCTTATCATTACTGGCCGTCTCCACCAGGTAAACACTGGGTGCCTCAGGACCCAGACACTCCTGGACATAGTAGCTATAGTCTCGGCTGAACTGAACCCGATTATATAGACAATTCTTGGGTATATCGTACAGACAATCATCCGGCTCCAAACGAGCCACAATATCCTCCCAGCGATCACCTCTCTGCGAGATTCGAGCCCGATGCAACCGATATGTGGACTCCGAATTATCGCAGGTGAGACAGGTGGGCGATGAGGATGTAATATATGTCCTATTCGATTCTGTGACATTAAGCTTCAGGCTAATCTTGTAGAGATGCCTCTCCCCGGGTCTCTTCTCCGGTGCGGCCATGAAGTAGACAATCTCATGCGGCTCATCCCAGCCCACAATTTCGGTGACCTCAAAACGACCCATGGTGAGAGGCACCGGACGTCGATCCAGCGAGGAAATGAAGACCACATGACGGTAATGACCATGTTCGCCATCCCTCACAGGCAGCCGTTTCAGGAGGTATCCTCCATTGCTAATCTCGTACGTCGTGGTCTCTCCATCTCCTCCTCCTCCACCTCCGCCCTCTGTGAAGTTTATGTGCCGATCCTCTGGTGGCATTTCCTCGGGATTCTGGAAGAGCTTGGAGGCCACAGACTTTTGCAGTTGATTGCGAGCAGAGAAGATGGGTCGCTCGGCGGGCAGAACCCAGCCATCGTTGATGGTCACCTCTGTGTGCACGGCCTGGCAGTGGAAATGCGGTGCCCGGCACAAAACCGTGGTGGCTTTGGTCTGTTCCCGATTGGTCACCGTCACCGAGAGATCGATGGGTGAGGCCCAGGTGAGGCCACCCACATAGCTGCCATTGGATAGTTCCGCCGGCAATTTAATTTGTGTGGGAAAGATGTATTTGATAACAGAAAGATTGACCACATTTACGGTGACATTTGGATTGCAGGAACCCGTCTTGGGATATCGTTGACTCATCACCGCCGGGTATTTGATATCGTCACCCATCCAGGTGTATCTGGAAGGTAAAGTGATTATTTTTTGATTCATTTTGAAGGGTTTGTATTGCCACTCACTTGTACTCGTTGACTTCGCTGTCGTTGTAGCTGAGAAAGGCCAGGTAAAGGCCATCCGGTGAGAACTCCATGCTGCTCCGGCGACTCTCCAGCTCGGGCACCGTCTCATATGTCCAATCTGGAACGCCATTGAAGACCACACTGCTCAGGGTCTCCGTCTCCGAACCCGAACTGGATCCCGAACCCGTTTGCGTTATCCTGCAGACCAGTTCGCCTTGCACCTTGGGCTTGTAGTATATGTCATTGAGGTAGACAAAGGCAATGGCCTGGTTAAGAGAGTTTGGGCCACCGACTTTGCCATTCGAGGAGGAGGAGGAGGCACCACCCGCTGCTGTGGCCGGTCCCAGGCCATTGGCTGCCCCCGCCAGGCTATTAAGGATTATGCTGCCACTGGGCAGGGGGGCCATTGTGGTGCCAGGCGGCGGTGGTGGTGGTGGTGGGGCAGGTGGATTAACAGGTGCCCAAACCACATGCTGCAATCGTGGCGCCTCCGCTATATTCTCCGTTGGTCCCAGCGGAAATGTGTTGGCCGTTTGCACCTCGTATACGTGATGTCTAGGTGAGGAAATTAATAAATCAAATAAATATTTATAAAGTTAAAAAATAAATAAATAATTTAAAATATAAATAAAGTTTAGGAAAGTTGAGGTAAAACCCACCTGGAACCCTCCGCATTGCTGTCCGACTGCAGGAGCACATATTTCTGGTCAGGTGCCACAAGAAATGATTCTGCATTCAGTTGGCGCTGTTATTTCAAATATTAAATAAATATTATTAAATATATATGAAATTTATTTAATTTATTGTGAAAAATATATAGTTTTCTTGGACTTACAAATGTGGAATTGGTCATAAGAATGCGTGTGGTGAGATCGGCCATATTGAGTATGGATAGGCCCCCGTGGGATCGCGATAAACGAGTTCACGTCCTATAAAAATAGAAAAGGGTTTTAGTAATAACAATATTTATATATTATATATACAAAATATAACAAATTAGAATCAAATATAATAAATATTTTAATCTAAATATTATATGTTATATTAATTTATATAATAATATGAAAAGTATAAAAGTACCATTGCTCCAGGTTCCATTAAAGGGCTTCCATTGCAGACTCCTGCCCAATATATCGCTGGGCAGGATGCGTCGTCCTCGGATCCGCAGGCCCTCATCCTCCGGCGATAGCAGGAAGATCGAGAATATGATCAGGCTAAAGACGGCGGCAATAACCAGCAAGGCAATAAAGATGCCACGCCAGTTGCGACGCTCCGGAGAAATGGCCACCAGTTCCTGCAAAGATAAACGAAATATATTTAATATATTAGTAATTATAAAATATAAATAAAATACATAGTCTGGAAATATATATATATATATTTGTATATATTTCAATGAGAAATATTATTTAAAGATCATATATTTAAAGTCAAGACACAAAGTTCCATTTTCCACTTTGTGGGGAAAGCAGCAGCTCTCTATCTAATTTTTCTTCTGATATATTTCCCCCCTCAATTTTCTTTTATTATTATTTCCTTTTGTTGTTTCCCCACACACACATTGTGTGTGACCTCTTCTCATGTTTCATATTTCATATTTTCACATTTCTCGCCTTCTTTTACCACCAATTGGTTAATTGCATGGAGCTGCGCCTTCTTTTTGGGGGACCCCGTTGTTTTAATTAAACTAATGGTCAGCCAGCAAGTATTTGTCAAATGTAGTAAAGAGAATATATATATTACACCACGAGTACTTATCAATGATAGCTATTAATTACAATATAAATACAATATAAATACAATATATATTCCATCAATTTTTCTCTGCATTTATTTCATTGTTTTCTATCAGTTTTTTGGCTTAAGTTTCCCAGGGAAAAACAAATGGGAAAAGTCAGTCCTTGAAACGCTTAATTGACAAGTGAATGGCGAGGAAATTAAGGCCAAACTGTAAACAGACACGAAGAAAGTGAAAAGGGGAAACGGAAATGGTTGCTTATATACCCTACAATAACAAATAAATCTAAGGAGACAGCTTGAAAAAATAACAATAATAAAATATAGTTTTGAATGAACTTTAGTAGAGAATTTTATTTATATTATATATTATGTTATATATAGTAAAATATGTATGTATACTTTATAATTTTATATGGATTTTATGAGGGAATTTTATATATATTTTATAGTTTTATTTAAATATATATATTTAATAGCTTTTTCTACATATTATTATATAGTATGTACATATATTCTTGATTAACATTATTAATTATAATAATTAATAGTAATAATTATAATAATTAATAAATATTTATATTTAATACATTTTTTATATATTATAATATAGTATATATACATATATATTCTTGATTAGCATTAACAGCCGAGTCGATGTAGCCATGTAACCATGTCCGTCCCTCTGTCCGCTTCTATGCTTCCCACTCCCTCTGCTGCACTTGCTCCCTCTCTCGCTCCCACGCTGTTTAACTCAATTTAAATGGATATCTCTAACTCTCTCTGTGCATCTCCAGATGTTGTGCTCTGCTCTGCTCAGCTCAGCTCTGCTCTGCTCTGCTCTGCTTGCCTCTGCTCTGCTCACCTCTGCTTTTCTCTGCCCACCTACGCTCGCCTCTGCTCTGCTCGCCTCTGCTCGCCTCTGCAGATCGCTCTTGCTCTCTTGCTCTCAATTTCACTGTTCTCTTGGCTCGGGGACTATAAATAGAGGCACTTCGGCCGCGCTCGCATCATTCTGTCCTAGGGGTACCTGGCGTCAACATCGTAAGTGATCGCGGAAGTGTTAGTGTTTGGACTCAGCCATTGCACGTGACTGTGTTACTTTTGGCTTTGACTATTGCATTTCGTCATTGCAGTTAGTCTTTGCACTTGGTCAATGCAATTAGTGACATCAACTAATCAAGACAATGGATCTGGATAATCTGGATGAAGCCTAGTTCGATGACGTCGTGAATAATACTCAACACTGGATGAAATTAATTATAACACTTGTCTCATCTACAGCGGTAAGTCTTTATCATGACAATTATATTAAACTACCCTCGATTAAATGATCTGCATCTATACCTTAAATAAATGCTGACTCATTGTTGTTTAAAGCCAGCACTATTTTTGTTCATTTTCATAAAAAAAATTCCCTAAAATACAGAATAAAATATATATATGTATATATTTAAGTATTTTTCCCACAACTTATCCTAACCCAATTTCTAACAAACTCCACTCTAGGGTATACTTTCCCAAAAAAATGCTAAATGAATTGAATGCATTTTGCATGTGAGGCAAAGAGTTTCGCCCCTGCCCCTGCCCCAGCCACTATCCCTTTCCCTTTCCATGTTTTTTTTTTGTGCCACGCCCCCTCCACAAACAAAAACACAAGCACACACACACACACACACACACACATAGACACAACCACACATAATCCTTCGCCTTCACTCAATTTGCACTTGGCCCGGGTTCGGATTTCTTAACGAAGGATTCGCATTGTGATTGTGTGTGCTTTTGGTTTTGGTTGTTCCTTGGAAATTCGATTCCTGCTAAAGTCCCCCCCCCAAGTGCTGCTGACTGGGCTTGTATTGAAATTTAATTAAAAATGTATGTAGCATGTGCACTTGCCGGCGGAAATGGGAAATGGAAAATGGAAAATGGATGCAGGCGCTGGTGCTAATTGAAATTACAAAACTAATTCTATTACTTGAGGTCGAGTGGGAAGAACTTTTTGGGCCAAAGAGCATGCATAACATAGATGGCTGCCGTTTTATGACCGACTATATTTTCCTTGATTTTCCATTGGCCATGGCGAAAAACCCAGGGAAAAGTTCAGTCTGAGTGAGAGATAGAGAGAGAGCCATGAAAAGTTTTAAGCTGTACAATTTCGGGTTTAGTTTTTGCCGTTTGATGAGGCCATTAAAGTCACTTGGCATTAACTCGATTTCCGGTGTTTACGACTCTGTGTTTTTTTTTACACATTTTCTTTTGCAGTAAAAAAAAAACATCATTAAGCTAGCTTTTTAAACTGATTTCAAGAACTATATATTTTTAAAGAGCTCAATTTTTTTGATATAAATCATAATTGATTTACTATTACATTTCCTGTTCAGCATTTAATTTGAACCAAAAGAATTGCCGGAACAGGAACTTGCAATAAAATTATCATAAATAATTTCTGTCAAGGAAAATGTGTGGAAAAGCAGCAATTTCTGACCTACAAAAGGACACAAAAAAATAAAGGATCCCAACATCAATTTATGGCCATTACAAAAAACAAAACAAAACAAAAGCAACGAGTGAGAGGGAGAGCCCATTTAGTGTCCTGCGATTGTAAATTGTCTGACATTTGATGGCGGCCAATTGTCCAGGATCCAGCGTCCTGTGTTCAGCCTCCTGCGGTGTCCTTTGGTGTCCCGTGGCTGGACAATTGATGTCCCTTCATTAGCTATTAATGCCAGTTGGGGCAATAAAAAGGTGTGACAATTGCCAACAGGAGGAAGGAGCTCTTAAAGCTTGGGGTTTTGTATTTCAAGGAAAAGCCTTAGAAACAAAGTTAAAACTAATATTTATTAGTATTATATAGTTTTTCTTAGATTATTTGTAGTATATCCTTTTCATTATTTTCTGACAATTAAGCAAACTCCATTTAGTTCCGCTTTTGTAGTGCCAAAGTCACAACACTTTTTGGCTCTGGTTTTCCCTCTCTTGTCACACGGGGCGTATACGCGATGGTTTTCCCAAGTGTCCGCATAATTTTTTTGTGTTTTGTTCAAATGACGACTACTAGATGGGGGGGGGGGGAGAAAGGTTAAGGGAAATGGAAATGGAAATGCTGTTAGCAGCATTTGTTGTTCGCCAATTTCTGTGTTGGCCTTTTGTTGCCGGAGTTGAAGCCTTGGGCAAAACGCCAAATGCAGGCGCTTTGTGAATGCGTTCACAGCTCATTAAACGCTCATTGCGGGAAAAAGGTAAGGGACCCAAGCACCATTCCCATTCCCATTCCCATTCGCATTTCCACACCCATTTCCCATTGGTATCCATATTATCGATCGTATCGTCTGCATTTGCATTCCCTGGCTCCGGACATGGAACTATTGAATCCCAGTTTCTGGCTGCGGCATTTCGCGCACTTCCTGCCTTTCCTCATTTACCCTGATTACCGCCAAGGTTGTCTTTCAATTGTTCGATTTGGCACTGAACAAAAAATAGGTACTAGGGATATGTAATAAAAATATATTTATGTTAGTTGGGATTCTTGAGAAATTTGTAAGGTTTTTAAAAGCCTGAAAATGTGTTTAAAAGTATGTAATACAATGTTTTGGGAAGCAAATTTAATGTAAATTTGTTTTCTTTTTAATATAACATTTTTCAACATATCTTTTGACACATTTTTAAGGGTTTTAAAAACACTAGTGATTTTTTAGGGCCTTCATGTATATATTTATTCTTGAATCATATTTATTTTACCAACTTCTAAAGTCTAAACATTTTAGTTGAAGTTCTTTAGAAATTTGTAAAGTTTTTAAAAGCCATAAAAATGTGTTAAAAAAGTATGTAATACAATGTTTTGGGAAGCAAATTTAATGTAAATTTGTTTTCTTTTTAATGAAATATTTTTTAACAAAATTTTTGACACATTTTGAAGGTTTTTAAAAACATTAGTAATTTCTTTAGGACCTTCTTACAAGTATATGTATATATTTATTCATCAATCACATTTAGTTTACCAACTTCTAAAGTCTAAACATTTCCTTGTACTTTAACTATCTCAAAAGCAAACCCTTTAGATGTTTTCTTTCTAAATTGCCTTGGGTTTATTTTTGCCAAAAATTTCTTTTTTTTTTTATGCTTCTTTAAAATGCAACCAAAGCCGACAGCTGACAAAGCCATAGGCGATACCAAGGTTTTTCTGGACAGGAGGGGATGCATCTTTTATGGGCTGCCACTCAGTGGAGGAGGCACTGGAGATGCCACTGACAAGTGCATATGCTTGGAAATTCTTTGTTATTGTTGATTTTGTGTGTATGTGTGTAGGAGGATAACCACAAAGGTTTGCTTTCTCTGTCCATTTTATCTTTTCCTTTTCTGTTTTTCCTTTTGCTTGTATCCTGTGTCCGAGCAGGAGTCCGAGGCCACCTACCTACCATATGGTTGCATTTTACGACTTTTGTCTGCGGCTTACTTTCTTTTTTTTTACTTTTTTTGCTCTAAATTGGATAACTTGCTGGCAGGATAATCCAGCAGCAGGCAGACTCCTCTTTACATCCTTATATACCGAGGAATTTTATTTTATTTTCCAGCTGCAAATAATTGCCCCGCAAATATGTAGTTTTCTCCCATACAAAGGCTTTTTTTCCCCCCATCAACAATTGATATGGAAACGGAAAAGCAAAGAAATGGTGATGAAAAGCGTAATAAAAGTCGATTTAAAGAGTGAGGGAAAGGAGGAGGAAAATCGTCAGGGAAATAAATCATATATGGTAAAGGGATTTTTTAAGCTCTTATCTGTCTCTGTGTTTAATTGTTCTGAATGAATAGATCTATATCCTGATGTCAGTATATTTTAGACTTATAAATCTATATATCCTGATGAATTTATATATTTATTTTTTTTTGCAATTTAAGATAGAGTTGTAACTTATTTTTTATTATTTCCAAGCTGCTATTAAGTCAGTCGTGTTGAAACATATCCTATGAGACTTTGTGGCGGTTTCTCCAGCTGCATTTTATGGCCGACCATTATTTCCAGCGAACGACTTACACACTCTGTATGCTGCATTTTTGGGATTTTACTCTCATTTCCCCTTGGTTTCCCCAAGCAGCCCCAAGTGCTTAATTGGATTTTGAGGGAAAAAAAAGGAAAAACAATGACGAATGCAAGTGGCTACAGCTGCGATTCCTGCTGCGTTTACTGTGGCAACTGCTGTTAACCGGCGATAAGTTTCAGGACAACAATGGGCAGGTCCTGTTGTCAAAGGCGCCAGTGGAAATTATAAATCCGTTCGCAGAGAGAAAGAGAGAGAGCGAACAATGGACACTAAGTGTTAATGCGCTGCCCTCATAAGTATGCTATACAATTTCAGTCACTCACTTGGTCGCTGTTTCCGAAGGACTTTTTCTTTTTCGAATGTGTTTACACATCTTTTACGATTTTTAGTTGGTTTTTATGATACGAATTTGTATAGGATTAAATATTATATTTAAATAATTATTTACTGAGTGTAATATTCGCTTAATTACATTTCTTTCTAAGATTTTTTGGTCTGTCTGGGAACTTGGCTTCGGAACTCACTTCGTAGTGCATTTTATAGGCCTTATAAATATGATTTTAAAGGGTTTTTTTTGTTATAATAATTAACTTTGAAAGGATAACAAAAACACAGGACCTTGTGTCCAGTGTTAATCCATACTTTTCGGCTGTCACTGCTCAACTAAATGTCGGCTTTTAATTAGAAATTGCACAGAAAAAGTTATAGTCCTGGCCAAAAAGAAGAAGAGCCAGAATAGGCCAAGAGACAGCAGTAGGGACATAGAGGGACAGAGATAGATAGATAGATAGAGAAAGAGAGAGAGGGAACCAACGGCATTCCAAAAATGGTTCCCGTGAGGAATGGCGAAAAAAATCATTTGCAACATTGAAGGCAAAAGCGGAGAATGTTGAAATGGAAAAGGAAGATTACACTTGGACTTAAAAATAACAAAAATAATAATAAAGAAGGAAAGTATATAAATATTTTTGGAATTTAATATATAATTTGTATGATATTTATTTATTTTAGTATTTATTTCAATATGCAGAGAACAGGCCCTAAAAACAGGCATCATTGCATTAAAATCAAATCAAAATATCTTCTGTTTGGAGGAAATTTTTTATAATATTATCAACAACTTTAAACAATTTTAGTTAAGTTAATATGGCTTAAATATAATGTTTTTTTTTTTACAAAACACAATTAAAATGTCAAACTGTTTCCTTTTTTTTAAATACTTTTTAATTGCTAAAAAAATATAATACATAATATATTATTGTTTAGGTCTTACTATTTTTTTCGAGTATATAGCGCCCACACAAAACTTTTTTATTGCCCACACACACCCACACACACACGCCAGAGGAAAAACTTATGTCATTATGATGGACTTTGGGTCCTTTGGCTCATTTATTCGGTGACCCAACCCCACAACTCCTCACATGCCTGCCCGGCTGACAATTATTAATGAAAGGGTAAAAAGTCTAACCAAAGACCTTATCCTTATCGGTCCCGGCATGCAAAATTTATTGTCTACTTTTATTTATTGATCCGAGTTCTTCGCGGCGTCTTTATCTTGGCCGGAAAAACTTCGCAACTCTTTAGGCCAAGTAGGAAAAACGTATGTCGCAGTAAAGGGGAGAAGAAAAAGGATAACAATATATAGAACTATAAAGTATAATCAAAGGAAAATTCAGTTTTCTTATGTTAAGTTAGCTATGTAAGTTATTTCTTAAATAATATATTTATCTATAGGGACTTTAACTTAGTATAATGCTTTTTAAATTATATACTGTTTATACCCCAAGAAAATCATTGATCCTGATTTTATTTCCGCGAATCACTGAGCCATGTCACATTAAACTCAGTAATAAAATATTTATTCGAAGCCGTCGACAAAGTTATAAAAAAGTGAAATGCTTTTCAGCTGTCATTATTTGCTCATTTAAATCGAACGACGACAACGAGTTATTTGCAGATTTTAACAAAACAAAAAGAAAATTAAACCAAAAAAAAAAACAAAAAACATATTAAAAGGGTCTCAACTGAGAATAATTAAATGCGAATCAAGTCCCCTCTCGGCAACCGTAATCAGCTTCTGGCAAAAAGTTTTTGCTTCAATTTGTCGCCAAAGAAAAGTTTTTCAACTGCCTGAAGAGAAGAGAAAAGTGTTTGCCAAGTTTTTGAAGCTAGATTTGGCAGACTAAAAAATAGCTAAAAATACAAGAAATAATTAAAATTAATTAAGAAATAATACATAAAAAATATATATCAATAAATAAAGTATTTACTAGAATATGCAAAGACTAAAACTACATGCAAGTTGTGATAGCTTTATAAATCCTTCCATAAATTCAATAATTTCTATGTTTAAAACTGACTTACTTTTCGTCCTATCTTGTATACTAAATATAAATAAAAATGAATATATTTTTAAAGTGGCATAAAATAGCCAAAGTGACAGTTTTTAAGAACCTTTTCCTTAACAAATTAAATTTGAGAAAGGAAAATCAGGGCATGGCTCAATTATTTGCTGGGCGCTATAAATTTTATTTGTATTTTATTAGTTTATGTCTGCACCCCCCTCGTATTTCGGCTCTCAAAACTCCCAAAAATAAGGTAATAAAGGGCAGGAAATTGACGTTATGGACCCACTTATTTATAGCCAAATAGAAAGTGGAAGCAGGTATATATATATATAAATATATATGTATATATATATATCGATATCAGCAGCCGCCATGTGCCCTGGCAAATCGAGTTTTGTGTTTTATTTATGGCCTACAAATACCCCGAAATAATGAAATGCCAATCGAAATCTCACTCCCCCCAAAGTCAATTACCCGCCCTTGAGCTTGGAGTGTATAATTTGAAAATTTATAAACTGTGAAATCTGAAAGGGGACAAGGGAAAGAGAGAGAGAGTCCTGTTGTTTTATTTATGAATTCTATGCCTTAAAGGACCAAGCGGGAATATATTTATCTGTGGCGCGTCTGAAGGCAATTAAAGGAGCCTAGAAAAACGAAGACGACACTTAATCCCTTCAAGGTCTTGGCACAACCCCCAAAAAAAGACAAAGACAAAAGGCATTTGCATACTTAATTAACTTGCCTAAAATATGTATATTTTGATATTAAAAAAAATCCAAGGCGTGAATATAAATATAAATTAAAGGAAAAATCATAGCAACTACTTTGCCCCTTATCCTTGAAATATTCCAAGCAATAAAATAATCATTAAGTATTGTGGAGAAAACATGATCAAGATGGCGTGAAATATGTATGCAAATTAGGTGTAAGAAAAGGTGGGAGAGTCCTGTAACAGCTTCTACTTAGTATTTTTTTTTTGTATTTTCTCACCTCATCCTTGGGCACCAGAGTCACCTTTTTGATGGTGGGCGCACTGTTGTTAACAACGACCGTTTCCCGTTTCAACGATGGCCGCTTTAATGCCGAGTGCGGCTTTTGTATCTCAACCATTGTGGATGCTGTGCGAATTATTATTATCACGGGGAGGGATGATGATGGTTTGGGATAAGATGGGTTGATGATAAGATGTCTTATTAGTCGGCGGAAAGTTGCTTAGCCCCCTCCCCCCTCCCCCAGCTATGTTGGTCTATGAATTCAGTTAGAGTCTCAGCCTTGGCATCAGCTTCAGCTGTTGCCAAGTCAAACGGCTCATTAATCAAACAAGAACGGCCATTATAGCAGGCATTAAGGTATACACTGAAGGAAATTTGGCTTAGGAATTATAGGGAGTTGAAATATTATATATATAAGGCAGTGGAAAGGGTGAAAATTAGTATGATAAGGATGCAGGACTTAATTAAATCATATATATACAAAAAGAATTGATAGGAAATATATAATAGATGTAGGGATAATATTTTTAATATTTTTATTTTGACAAGATTTTGGTTTTAAATAAGTCTTTTGAATACTTTAATCTAAAGACTCCTTTGAAAATATGTATTATTATTGATTGATTTATTTTAATTGCTTAGACAAGAACCCTAATTATTTCTTCTTTAAAGAATTAACTGAAAAAGACTCTTTCGCTCTTTTCAACAGAGTGTAAAACTTTAAGTTAATTACAAAGGAAGTTATCTAAGGTTTCCTAATTAAAACACCTGTTGCTTGCCTTGAACAAGATCAGGATTATTATCCTTTCTGAATAGTATACAATATATTTTTGTAGCAGTGTCTTTTCTTGCTGGGATTTTCGTGGCTTGACTTTGTAAGCTGTGTGGACATACACATACGCCATGCTGTGCGCCAGGCATTATCTAAATTAGAGATGTGTGTGTCGTAAAGATTCCCAGCTCTCCGGCACAGAGACCAAGGAGACTTCTTCCGGCCCAACACCGAGCTATATACATACATACATAGGTATGTGTCTTTTAATGAGCTGTTTATGCAATCATCAGTCCCCATACCCGGAGCCTCCTTCTCTTTTTTTTTGGGACAATAAATTTAGGCCCATCTGACTTGGTGGCGAAATGAAAAATTGAATAATCGCGGCAATGTCAGGCGACTTAACCTGAACGCGTCCGCATAATGTGACCGACGTCATGATTATAATAATAATAATGATGTGGCGGCAGTGTTCGCTGCCAGATAAACGACTTAGAGGCGGAATAGCATACAAAAAATTGAATTAGTCGAGGGTTTCTTCTTCCCACATAATATATATATACAGGAAAGCCACATTTCAATGGAAATCGGTGTGGAAAAGTATTGACCAAGAAGTGAAACTTCAACAGAATCAGCAGCTGTTTTGGCTGGGAGAAAAATGGAAATTTGGGGGGGGGGGGGGCCTTGGAAAGAAAGAAAAGGGAACACTTGAAGCACATTTGCAATTTGCATATTGCTCAGCAAGTTTGAGTCTAGGGGAAAATTCGAAGAAGGGAAAATTCAGGGAAAGGACTATGCAAATGTTTGGCTCGCACAACACTGCGTATGATTGATGTGGTTGGTCAGTTGCTTACTTCGACGCTTGTTTGCATAGGTTTTCCTCAGGTTCTTTTTCACTTTTTCCTTTCCTTAAATGTTTTTCCTCTTTTTCAGCCTTTTAATATAAGTCCCTTTCTTATTGTTGTTGTTAAATTCTGCGTTGCCGAAACAGGAAACTATTCTTGGCCAAGCAAAGTTTCCGCTTGTAAAACTAAGAAAATATATATAATTTTTAGGCAAGGAAAAGTTTCTTAAGGTTAAATAGTTTTCCAAAAAGGAAAGGATTATAAAGATCTTGCTTTAGAAGTGGAATTTGTTGGTTTACTTTAATTTAAGATATAGTCAGCAGCTCAACTTTGACCTTATTAAGACCGCTGTGTAGCTAAAGTGATTTTAAAAATTGATCCAACACCCAGAGGAACCTGATATTGTTTTTCTTCCTGTGCTGTGACCTATCAATTCTCAATCCCTGAAGCTCGGCACTGGCATATATCAATGCCCCATCAAGGGGCACAGGGACACATGTTGAAGAGAGCTCTCTGCAAACAGAGAAGATGGCCGGAGGAGGTTCCAGCCAGCGGAACTAAGATTGAGAAGAAAAAATAAAGCCAGCAACAGAATATATAGCTCTTGGCTTTAGGTTGGGCAAACTTTTTGTCTTGTGGGTGTGTGGGGGGTGTGTGTTCTTGGGGTGTGTGTGCAGCAGCTGCAGCTCCTGGTAGGAGGTGTATAAGCCCGGGCATTGACACACTTTGCTCAGCCTGTCCGCTCTGTTTGTTTGCATTTTGTACGCCATTGAGCAGGAAATTAAAAATGTCCATAAAGATTTATATGAGAACATATTACCACATATGTATGTATGTATGTGTATGTGAGTGGCTCACGCACACATGATTATCTGCACTGCCACAAAATGCTGTGTATTTTTCTAGGGTATTTTGCATACAGTTTCCTAACTTTCTTTGGTTCATAAATATAATTATAAGTATAGGATCTTCCTCTTAAATAAAAAAAGATATAATTATACAGGCTGTCAATGGTATTTTATTTTATTAATTAATTGTGTGTAAATAAAATAATCACAATGTAGATAAATAATAACAGTTTAATGGTATTTTAATAAATTTTTCTATATATATTCATTTTACAAATAAATTTAATGTCCTAGGTTTTTTTTTAAACAGAAAATACAAATATGCAAGTTAAATAAATAAATATATATAAATACAAATTTATAACTAACAAGAAAGCATGAAATATTTCAATTTTTTTTAACCTATACATCTCGATATTGTTATTGATTTTTAGGACAAATCTAAATTTTGAAATCTCATAACTCAATTAAAAAAGCATTATTTTAAATCCGGAAAGCAGTCGTATGTTAATTTTTAGAAGGTTAACAAAACTTCATATTCCATTTAAAAGGTTAATTTTTGACCGATTTTTGACAATTTTAACGATGTAACCCCTTTCCTTTTTTTAAAAAAAACTTTCTAAAAAATTTTTTTTGGCCGGAGGTTGGCTTAAAAGATTTGCCTGTTGATACTGATCAAGAATATATATGATTTATGGGGTCGGAAATGGCTCCTTCACTTATTTTTAAGCTTCTGACTGAAGGTCCATTACCATTTTTTAACCGATATTACCAATATTTTTATATGAAATTTTTCGACCAGTCAAAATTTGAAAATTTCATAACTAGGCCAAAAACGCATTAATTTCAATTCGTATGTTAATTTTTAGCAGGTTAACAAAACTGCATACTCCATTTCAAATGTGAATTTTTGGCCGATTTTTGCGAATTTTCATGATGTAACCCCTTTCCTTTTTTCCGAAAAATGGGAAATTTCTGAAACATTTTTTTTTCGGCCGGATAAAGCTAGAAAGAAAGGCCTGTAGATGCTGATCAAGAATATATATAATTTATAGGGTCGGAAATGACTCCTTCACCTTCTTTTAAGCTTCTGACTGAAGGTGCATTACCATTTTTTAACCGATATTAACAATATTTTTATTGGAAGTTTTTCGACAAATCTAAATTTAAAAATCTCATAACTAAGCCAAAAAAGCTTAAATTTCAAATCGAAAAGTTGTTCTGTTCTTATTTTTATTAGTTTAATAAATCTGCATACCTAAATTAAAACTTTAAACAATTAAAATTTTTGTCAATATTTTAAAATGTTAACAATGAAAAAAAAAGGTTTAAAAATGTAAGAAAAAAATTTCAAAAATTTTGTTGCTTCCTAAATGCCTAGAAAGATTCGCCTGTTTATACTGATCAAGAATATATATGATTTATAGGGTCGGAAATGATTCCTTCACATAGTTTCAAGCTTCTGACTAATATTATAAGTCCCTGCAAGGGTATAAATATCTAAGCCTCTACTGGTATGATTTGTTAGTACAAATTCATAAATATTAATTAAAATAAATGAAATTATATAAATAAAAATAAAAATATTACAATTTTGCTTTGATTTATTTTTAAATTATTTTAATTTGAATTAATTTGAGAGCTAAATAAATTAAAATAAATTTTAATATAAGCCAAGTTTCTTTAATTTTATATATTTTTTTACTTCTCTGTAATTTGTATTAATGTTTATCCCTATTGTTGTCATTTGTTCTAAGTTTGTTTTGTTTTTCTGGAGCGTTCAAACCGGGGAATGAAAGAAAGGATAAAAAAGTAAAATAAAAGGATGAGGAGGAAGTAAACTGGAGCAGGTGAAATGGCATAACACACACAAAGACAACAGCTGTTTTCGGGGGCAAACAACTTCATCACACTTTATCCCTTCCCCAGGCAATTTCCCACCTTTTATTATTAGTTTTATTTATTCGTAGTTTTTCGTCTTGTCTTCTCAAATTTCTATACTATTTTTTTTACATTTTTGGGCTGTAGTATTTTCTACGTTTATTTTATGCACTGTGAAATATATTGACCACCAAAAATAATAACAATAACATCAATCGGACCGGAGAGGAGGTGAGACGGCGGCGATGAAGTGAGATAGAAAAAGAAAGAGAGAGTGCGGCGAACGACCGGACGGGAGACGAACGCGAGAAATGCGAAAGCTGCGGAAGTCAAGCGACGACTGAAAGTGAAAACCAAAACGAGAACGAGGAAAAGAGCGAACACGAGACTGCATGCCAAACAGAGAACAGAGAATGGCGGAGCACAGGAACTAACGGTGTTTTACATTCCAAACGCTCCGCCATTTCTCTGCTGCGTCTGCGTGTGTGTGTGTGTCCGTGAGCGTGCGTGCGAGAGATGATGCACTTGAAGAAATAAATAAAAGAAGAAATATAAATTAATTGCCAAAGGGATAAAAACAAGACTAAGGAATGCAATAGATAAAAAAATGTATCTAAATGTTTTTGGTATTTTTTGATCTGCCATCATTATTCGTAGGAATGGAAAGGACTGCCCTAAATGATAAACACGATATTTTGATACCCTTTCTGGGTCTTATTATTTTAGTCAGGAGCTCGAAACTAGGTGAAGGAGTCATTTCCGACCCTATAAA